AAGAAATTTGGTAAAACTCCATCAGTGACCTTAAAACGTTTAGTACAGAAAAGATTAAAAGTTAGAGACATTAATCGTCCAAAAAGAAGATTATTTAAAAACTGTACTAAAATATCGAATAGCAAACTGACAGATTATGGCCTTCAGTGCCAAAAACCTGATTTGCCAAACATAGAAATTCAGGCATTAATTAAACAGCAAATTCAGGCGTTACAAGTCACTTCTGAAACTGCTGTAGAAATTGAGAAGTCGACTAGAGGCCAAACAGAAAATCCTAAATGGTTTGAGGAGAGACAATCTCGTCTTACAGCATCAACCTTTGGTGAAATTTGCAAAAGAAGAATTAATCATGGCAAGCTGGTTCACTCAATTCTATACAAACCTTTACCACGGCTAAAAGCTCTGGAATACGGAAAAATAAATGAATCAGTTGCAATTGAAGCCTATGTACGTCAAACAAAAAATAGTGTTATTCAATGCGGTTTTTTTGTGTGTTTGGACAAGGGTTTTGGTTTCTTAGGAGCTTCTCCCGATGGTTTAGTGAATGACGATAAAATAATTGAAGTCAAATGTCCTTATTCCGCTCGAGAATATACACCACTAGATGCTGCTAATCAATTAAAAAATTTTTACTGTAATGTAAATAAAGATGGAAAAAGTATGTCGCTCAAAAAAAGTCACAATTATTATTATCAAATTCAAGGGCAACTCCATATTTGCAAACGCAAGTTTTGCGACTTCATTATTTGGACACCGAGAGGAGTCCATATAGAAACAATAAAATATGATGAATCGTTCGCAAATTCCATGCTAAAAAAACTTCACAGTTTTTATTATACGCACTATGGAGTTGAACTTGTTGATAGCAGGCACGCGCGGAATATGCCAATTAGGAGTTATTGTAGCGACATTTTTTAAGACGGTAATAGTACGTCACATGTACGTCATTCTTTATCTTTATTCAGTTTTATGAATAAAAAATGTATTAAAAAAATTATCCATGATTTAACAGTAGAATGGTGATCGAACGAATGGCTTTACTACTTCATAAAATCACTACGAGTAAATATAAAAATGGACAAAATAATATAAAACAAATTTAGAAGAGTATTGAATGTTTTTTAGATAATAACTTATTAATTTATGTAACTCCATTTGTGTTTTTTAGTACTCTGCTAATATTATTTTTTTGATAATCTATGTTAGTCAATTTATATATTTTTTGCAAATGTGTCATAGTTATACTTTTTCAAAAATTATGTACTTAAATTATCAATAAACATTTATTAGCTATTTTCTTATTTATTTAAAGTTGTAAATATAAAATTTATACATATATGTTATCTATAAACAAATCGCTAATAATCACGTGTATTTTAATTATCAGGGAGTATTGCTATCTAGAAGGGATATTTTTGACCTTGCCCGGTCAAAAAGGAAATATATAATATGTTTAGTTTAAGAGTAGCCTATACTGGTTCAGGGAAGTGGAATTGTAGTAGGTACCTATTTATTTTAAAAACAGCAGACAAACGATTTTTTTTCTTCTAATTTCTTCTAATTATTCTTTAGTAAATAAAGCGTTCAGCAGATCTTATGATATTTGGTCCGTCTAAATCGGCGTGAATAGGAAAGTGATAAGTAGTCCAAGTTACGAGTGTCTGTAAAACGAAATGGACATTTTCGTACATAAAATATATTTATGTAATTAGCAAACCCTTTTATTATTTAATTCCTATGACGGATGATTCATCTTTCTAGTTCTCTAGCAGTGAGGGGAGTAGGGCCGGTAAGATTTGCGTTAACTGCATGTCTTGTTGTTTTGTGTTAAAATTTTAGGAGTATGAGAGGAGTGAGGGGAGTGGAGGCGGTCGATTTATTTTGTCTGAAAATAACAGGAAATAACTGAAATATTGCTGATGTTTTGCAAGATCCCTAGGTGCAGGTAAGTCATTGTGGGTCATATTGCTCTAAAATATTTCCCAATAAACTCTTATTTGTAGAGGTGCCGAGATACCCATTTACTGTTAGAGACATGTAAGAGGCTGTCAGCCGACACGTAGAGAGAAACAGAGCTATACTACGTTTTTCATTAGGGCCTTCGTTTTTGTTAAATGATAAAATTATATTTAAAAAATTACTTTTTAAAAAACAATTTGAAGGGCTGAAATTTTTTTTAAATAAGTATAAACAATTACTCACTACAAAGATTTTATTGTGCATTGTACCAAAATAGTAGTTATCGCACTTTTACGCACGAAACTGCGAGATCAAAGCCACTCTCGAAAGCAAAAAAAAAATGATTTACTAAGTTCGAAAAAATATACATTACTTTAACAGCTTAAAGAGTTGTTAACATGCTGGAATTCATTATTCTTAACTCGAAGATGTATTCATTAAAAAAAAACTCCCGTGCAATATAAAAGTTAATTTATAATTCAAATCTCATTGTATAGCTTTTAATTTCGGATATATTTTTTTAATAAACAAATGATAAAATTAATTTAAAATAATTGTATGTAAAAATAACAAAGTGTCTAGACATAAAACAAAATAAAATCAAATCACTTACGTACGTTTATCACTTGTAAAAAGTAGAAAAGGATATACATTTTGTTGGTGTCGCCCTCTAGACGAAAAAGATTTTAACGTATTTTTTTAATTTTTATTGAGAAAAGTAAATGTTCCTGCAAAAATTAAAAACAACATATATTGTTCCCTTCTAGCATTTCTTTTTTTTTATTTCGATAGAAAGATATCTTCTTAAATTTTCTTAAAATAAACCGATTCAAATGTTCAAAAAGTGACTCCTTTACCTGTACTTACATAATTTTTCAAAAAATAAAAAATAATTCGTAAAATTGGTGTACTATGAAACCCATTGCATATTATAATATAAATATGTCTATATTAGTATTACAGAAATGATTTACGTAAAACAATAAGGTGTACCTACAAATACGTAAACTTTAATTATCCCTCGTAAAACATCAGTAAAATATTTTGTAAATTGTTTTCATTCACAAATATTAATTTCTTAAAAATCTAACAGATGCGCCACTTGCCAGACGAAAAATCTTGCAATGTAAGGGTTTCGTAGTACCCCACTTTTAAAGTTTATTTTTGAGTATTTTTAAAAGAAAAAAAATATGTACGTGTAGATAAAGGTTAAATCTATGCTCCTCTGGAACCACTTTTTCAAAATTCAATTTTGTTTTTTCTTAAAAAAATTGAGAAAATGGATTAAAAAAGTCGAGTTTTGTGTTTTTTTTTAGAAAAAACACATGGAAATTTTGAAAAAGTCTTTCCAGAGGAGCACATATTTAACCTTTACCTATATGTTCACATTTTTTTCTTTTAAAATATGTCAAAAATAAACTTTAAAAGTGGGGTACTACCAAACCCTTGCATGCTCTGCTCTAAAGCCAAATAAATACTCCTCTTAAGGATAAGTAAAATCCATAATTTAAAACATTGCCAAAGTAAGAAGATTCAACAAAAACAACGGTAATCTGGCAACATCTTATTAAATACCTGCAGTTGGACTGAAAATGGCGTCTACAAAAATGGTCGTCCTACCGCCATCTGTTGACAGAAGTACAAATCAATAAGAGATGGCAGCAGTGACTAGGGAACAACAATGAATGGAGGAAATTCAAATTTTAGTTAGAGTTTTTCTCATTTTTTGGAGTGTTTTTAACGAACTGTTCAAAGTAATACCACAGATATTTAGTAATGATACTCTTCTATATATTTTCTTATAGATTACACCCAAAAACCTAATACTTTCTTTATTATATACATTATTATTTGTTTTTTTATGATTGTGTTAAATTCACACGTTCAAAAATTTTGAAAAAATTCATCGATGTTTCTTATATTATGCTTACTTATTTTATATATAGAAAACGTAAAAACTATACCTCGTTTGTTTACAATTGAAAAAAAAGTGAGTTTTTTGAATATTTGCACCCTTAAAATGTATAGGATTTTAACCATATTTTGATATAATATTATATGCAGCAATATACATATTCATGATTTTTTTCAAATTTTTTGAACACATGGATAATTTTTCCGAGGGTCCATATAAACCTTAATAGTATATTGATGATAGTAGTTAGAGACCTGTTGGTAGTTACTCTGGTGACAAATGGTGATTCTTTTACATAGCTATTGTTACATTTGTATGACTCTCAACTAAAAGTATTGTTCTTGCGGACATTTTGTATTCAGTAATTCTACCCCATTCGCCATAATTTAGACTATTTTGACATTTTTTCTAGAAAACCCGGTGTGAATTGAGGGTTTAGTCATGCAAACAATTTCATAGCATTAAACCACTTTTCGACATTTGGTTCCGATTTTACACCTATTTCAAATTTTTTTTTTTTGTTCATATCAATCCTTTCGTCGACACCGGAAGTAGCACACCCGGACGACAGAAAATGCTTGCAAATAGATTTTGTTATTGTTATAGACGTCTAGACGCATATATGTCATTGCCAGCAAAAAAACGAAAAAAATCCATCGATAAGCAACTTTACTTTGAATTTGACAGTTCACAGGATAGCTCCCACCACCGGGATATAGTATATACATATTCATCCCCCTTTGCAATCAGATGGGGGACTATGACTCTCCTGTCTTACCGTCTAGCTGCATGTTTTATCTCTGTTTACTAGTGGCTTTTTGCCTATGATAAAAAAAAATTAGCTTTTTGTGCCGTTTTCAGTGGATTTTTGTCTAAGATATTTTTTTTGTTGTGTTTTATTTGTGCTGCTTATGTTTCTGTTGTTTGCGTTTTTTACAAGTTTATAATATTTGATTGTTCTGTGTTTAAAGAAATAAATAGTTCTGTGGCTTTGTTTTCTAATTGCATTTGTTTGCCTGTCCAGCATTTGGTCAAAAGAAATATGGTCCTTTAAGGACCACTTGTACTTTAAAAAGAAAAGAAAACTAGCCTACATTAAAATATAAGAAAACACAAAATCCTTTACCTATAAATCATACAGCAAAATTTAAACATCTCATCTAATATTTTCTGCTTATATTCCCAAAATGTATCAAATAGTTTCAACGCTACTTTGACTAAAAATCCTGTTAGTTTGGCCCGATATGAAATTGTCATCAAATCATTAGAGTCCTAAAATATTATTTATTAATTTTATTCCATAATAAACTGCCTGTCAAATAGTATTTCAGCATTTCTCAATACTCACTGTATCTAAAAGTGTATCAAAACTGTCTTGGATTACAACTATAAGGTTTGTAATTGGCCTTTTAATGTTTATTTGACCTTTTAGGGGATCCAAAAACTTTTGCACAATTGCAAAATATCCTTTCCAGTTTTTTACTAATAATTTAAAGTTTAGGGAATATAATATCTCACTAATATCACACACGTTATCTAAAACTAATCATGATTTTAGTAAAAGAAACGTATTTTATTTAATATATATAATTATGTAGGTATACCTTCCAGAAGGATTTCAACTAATTCGCTATTTTCAAAACCATTAGGAACTGTCACCTCAGACTCAAATAATTGGAAAAATAAGGAATGAGCCTCTTCTATTATTTTAAATATTTCTAATAAATCTTGACTGAAGATACTTTTATACGGTTCAGGGCTAAAAAATAATTTAAATCAAAATCCTCACAGTGAAACAAAGGCGATCATCATAATATATGGAAAACTAAGGATTTAAAAAAATTATATTATTGTTATTTACCTTTTCTTACAATGGTCAAATATTAAGTATATAACTTGAATACTTGTAACTGCGACACTTTTATTATAAGCTAGATTAGTAAAAGAATATTCAACAAGCAATTTCAATATGTCTTTTACTACATCTATCAAATTGAAAATCAACTAGAAAAGAAGAAACTATTTTTATAAAATACTTCATACTTATTATAATATACCTAGAAATAATTGCATATATTTTGCTTTTCAATTTTTTTTAATATGCATAGTTTGACTCAAGTTATAATTTTGAAATGTTTATAGGGACTTACTTGTAAATTATTCTTTAATATATCTATAACGAAGTCATCATCACATGTCTCTGCCATCAAAAAATTATCATCCAATGCCTGAAATATTTAATAACAAACATTAAAAAAATATCTACCTATATGTATAGAATACTTAAAAAAGTAATTCAATATTAAAATAATTTATATACAGGGCGACACACCGAAAACTTCCTACCCTGAATATCTTCCTTCCAGTAAATAATATAAAAATCTCAAAAAACCGTCAATTTTATTTTCAAGGAGGACACCTACAATGAATACTTTTAACACTCACTGCTCAACCTCCTAGGAGGGGTAGATGTTACCCTTAAAATCTTAAATGGGAAAGTGGGTCAAATTTATTACATTCTAACCGCCCTATTTTCACAAAACAACGTTGTAACCGACGTGGATATACAACGTTGTTTTATTAAAATATAGCAACTAAGTTCATAAAACCCCATCCTTATTTATACTCTAAGGCAATAATACCCAAAGTAACATTATGCAACCCAAAGTCAATCATATAAGGTTTATAAATAATTTACATATCTTGGCAATTAATAATAAAACGTTTATTTTTATTTTCCAAAAAAGCAGTATTTACAACATTGTTACAGCATATCGTTCAAATGTAGTCTAATTGCCATCGAAATTTTACTATTAGATTACTTTTAAATGTAAAAGTTTGGTGCCACCTAATCTTCTAACCATTTCTGCCAAAAGGATACCCACTACAATAATTATTGTTTAAATACTAACGTGAAAACCGAGAATCTCAGTGCAGCAACGTTCCAACTTCTATAAACGCCCTTTACAATGATGTGCCACCTGACCCCCTTTCCCATTTAAGGGTAACATCTAACCCCCCTAGGGGGTTGAACCACGAGTGTTTAAAGTGTTCATTGTAGGTGTACTCCTTTAAAAATAAAATTGACGGGTTTTAGCGATTTTCGGGATGTTTTTGGGTGTGTCACCCTGTATTAATGAATGATATTTTACCAATGAAAAATGTATACAAAATATTGTCATGTGAGGGCCGGTTCGACCCTGATCTTCTCGCCGTACAAGCCGCTGGGCGGTAGAGACAAAAACGAACTTCTTCGAGAAGTTACAGGAGGAACCTTTGCGCGCTGACTCATAGAGAAAGGATTTCGAGAGCTTCCAAACTATAACTCGGACAAAATATTGGAGGTGAGTCATATGCATGATCAACACTGTTGTCTATGAATGAAAATTCCGACAGAGTTAGCATAGGCGGCGTATCAAATACCAAATAATTATTTATTATTTATTAGGTATTTGTTAGTAAACTATATTAAATTTGTTTGTCAACATCTTTATTTAAACAAAGATGATGCGTTAAATATACGTTTTTGAGTTTTCAAGAAATGAATATATTTATTCCCTAATGACTTCGTTATCTGTGTTTAATGGTTTTAAAATGTGTTTCAAGTAAATAAACGACAGACGGGTTACAGATTGAATATTGTCAGCACAGGCATAAAGACAGTTGAAAACTAACTTTCGACGAAGTTAGATTTGTATCGCTTTAACTATTTACGATAATTATTTTATATTTTATAAACACTTTTTTGTATAAGTGTTCTTTTCTGATATACGAGTAGGTGTTCATGTTTGTGCCTTACAATTTGGTAGTGGTAGTGCATATTCGAGGAGTTATATTTATTGTGTAGTATATTAGATAGGTACTTTAAAAGTTTATTAAATAGTAAAATATTGGTGTCTTTATAAATTTAATAAAAACAATAGTAGAATTATATTGTTACAATAGTAAAATGGATTCAGAGGCGGGTCCAAGTGAAACCCAATTACGTCGGCGAAAGCCCTTATCAAAGGATGAAAAGAACATTATATGGAACGTGTATGATGGGCTGAAACAGACACTTCCTACAAATGAAGCTGTAAACCGCAGTTCTTTTTTAACTGGAGTATCTGTTTCAACAATTGAACGTATTGTACGCGAAAAGACAAAAAAAGGCTCCTTAGAAGCCCCTAAAACGCATACCCGTGGTCGAAAATTGTTGAAATTGGACGATAACCAAAAACAAATCATTCGAAGAACTGTACATTTTTTTTTTTTTTTTTTCGAAAACAAAGCCCAACACTTAAAGTTGTTCTTACGAAATTAAGAGAAAATGAAGAAATTCCATTAATGAGCCGTGAAACTTTACGAAAAATTTTATGGGGCCTAAAATTTCGTTTTGTCAAACGGTGTAGGAAATCAATTTTAATTGAGAGGTCGGATATAGTATCATGGCGACGGCGTTATTTACGAAATATTAAAGAGTTTATAGCCGCTAAAAAAAAGATATACTATCTCGATGAAACGTATGGGTGAATGCTGGACACACGGTATCTAAGATATGGCAAGATACTTCTGTAACTAGTCATCGCCAAGCTTTTATAGAGGGATTATATACAGATTTGAAAGCATCATCAGGTAAAGGACAGCGCCAATTGTTACCCATATCGGAAGTGACAGTTGATTTTTGGAAAATAGCGCTATTGTGTTTATATCGAAAAAAACAGGAGACTACCACGAGGATATGAATGCGGAATGCTTTGAAAAATGGTTTACTGAAGTATTACAGCGTGTAGAACGAAATTCAGTTATTGTACTAGATAACGCTTCTTATCACAGTCGACGAGTTGAACGCATTCCGATAATATCCAGTAGGAAAGCGGATATGCAAACCTGGCTGCGGGATAAAGCAATAACATTTACTGAGGAGATGCTTAAAGTGGAATTAATGGACCTAATAAAGGAACACCGCCATAAATATATTCAATATGTTGTCAACACAATGGCTCGTGATCGTGGTATTACGGTACTAAGACTTCCCCCTTATCACTGCGAATTCAATCCTATTGAACTAATTTGGGCTCGAGAAAATAAAACTTTTAAAATAGCCGACATTCAAAGTTTATTAAAAACCGGTATAGAACGTATAAAACCTGAAGATTGGCAGAATACTATTTCCCATGTAATTAAGGAAGAAAATAATATGTGGCGCTTGGACGGTATGATCGAAACGGTAGTTGAACCTTCAGTCATAACTTTAAGTTCCGACGATAAAGCCGATTCCAGTGATAGTTCTGCAGAATCAATGGATTACGAAACTTCATAGATTTAGAATTCAAGTAAGTGATACCAAGCTTAATTTACATATTTTTATAATAAACAAAATACAATTATAAACATAGATGAATTATTATAACAAAAATAGATAACCAACCTACTTTCATCTAGTAATATTCCCAAATATCCATTAAATTTGCCAATATAGTATTTCTGCGACACTGGAAGAGTGCATTTTGATATGATAACGATACCTTTTGCAGTTTTAAGGCGCACCTTCTTCAATATTTTGTTCTAGTATAATGCCCCATTTAATATTCCAATAGTGTTTCTACGCCACTGTCATAATATTTACATATTTTAACATTAAACAAAACAAAATTATAAACATAAATTATTATTACTACAAAAATAGATAACCAACCTACTTTCATATATTATTTACTATTACCGCATTTAATTTGCAAATAGTTTTTATACGCCACTGGCGTAATTCATTTTGGCAATAAACATGCATTTATGACTAGTTGGCACGTGATTCCGATAACTTCTGCAGTTTTAAGCGCGTGATTCCATTCATTATGCTCTGGTATAGTATTATTGTTGTACGTGATCAGGGAGGAATCACCTTCTTCAATATTTTATCCAAGTATACCATCGAGAATCTTCTCGAGCAAAGCTGCCTTTATTGAGTAAGTTAGTTGAAATTTAAATAAATGTTGTCGAGGTAAATTGTTAAATAAATAAAAGTGTGAATTATAATAGTGCTTAAGTATAAATAAATTAATTAGTACTTAGTGTAGATAAATTATAAATAAATGCTATAATTTCTTCAATTTCCGATAAGGAAAGTAAAATCTATTCCTTACAAACCGAAATGTCTTCTGACATGATCTCTATGAAAACCGATAATTCTTTTAACATTTCTTCATTGGAATCTTAAGTTTTTTGGAACGTAAAATTTCTTCTGACATTTATCTTCCTTAGACAATGTCTTATTAGAAGATAAAAGTCTCTTCCGATATCTCGTCTTTAAAAGATGAAATTTCTTCCGACTTGGAAAAAAAAAATGAAAAACGAAATTTCTTTTATGGAAAATAGGATATCTTCAGTCTAGGACAAAATAATGGAATGGAAAAGAAGATAGAAGAAATGGAAAATACAAAACAGGCCAATCACGGTAAAATAAAGTGTCATGAAGTCAAAGTTGAAATGGGAAGAAGTTGTAAATTCTGCCCGTATTATAGCTCCAACTTTCGACGGGAAGATGTCCTGGACCAAGTTCGAAACAACTGCGAGAAACTAATGGTCTGAAAGAGAAAGGGCTTTAAATTTGAGCATCGCCCTTCAAGAAGACCATGGTCGGACTGGCCCTTGCACGACATTATATACCTATTTTTTTGTAATTATGTTTTTGATAACCTGTATTCATCTGAGCAATAAAGTTATTATTATTTATTCATTTTATATCTTTTAAAATTATGTACCTTAGGGGTAAAGAATCGTATCTCCAGTTTTGAATTATGTGGAGATAATGCATTCACTAAAATACTAGAGCTTACATGTTTTAGTTTTATTAGTACAAATTTTTGGTGTAGTAAGTTTAAAAAAAATATATTTTCATTTATTAAAGAGGTAAAAAGTCGTATTTCCAACTTTGGGACTTATTTTCTTCTCCAATTCTATAAAATTGGGGATAGGATTATTTACAGAATTACTTTTATAATTGAGGAGCAGACCTGCAAAACGCAGTTTGTCCGAAATTTCAGTTTTTTAACTATAGATGGTGATACAATATTGAATTGAATAGCTATCGTTTCATAAAATCGCATTATATCCTGCTTAAAATGTATTGTGAAAACCACTTGGACATGCAAAATGCATTTAGTCCATCAAGATCTCCATAACTAAGGCCGTTTCAAAGCACCAGTTTTTTGCCATTCCTGAAAATTTACAATTTTGGACAAACTGCGTTTTGCATGTCTGCTCCTCAATTATACTAAGAACTCTCTCTCTCTCTCTTTACACATTAAAACCATTAAAAATAATGTTTATTTTACCTTTATTAGACTACTTTTTAGAGGTGGCATAATCAACTGAAATAAACTCTTGTTAACTCGAATATATGGTAAACTTTTCCTAAGATTTTCTACCAAAAGTGAGGAATCTGTAATTTCATTGGATAAAAATCTGTAAAGTTGTGTTAAGAAAAGCAACAAATTCTTATGAATTTTAATTTAAAAATAAGCAATATAATGTTTCACATTAGGAAAATTATTTTAAAACTGAGTTTAACTTTACTTCTTCATACTTTTACTTGTTATATAAAAACCTACGATTCATGTTGAGAAACTTCAATTTTGTTCTACAGGATGTGCAATAAAAATACAATAATTTAAGGGCTTATTGTAAAAACGTGACAAGCCACACTTTTTCAAATAATTACTTTTACTCTACGACAATAAGTAAAAAGCCACATACCAAATGATATTCTTCAATAAATGCCATCATTAGCCGAAAAATCAAGTTATTACATTTTAACAAAGTTTTAGTAGTTTTAGAAATGTATTGAACTGTGTTTTTTCAATAAATTAATTTTTCTATAATCACTACACAAAGTAAACTTTTGCACATTCACATTTAACTGGAAAGTTGACGATTTCCGTAATTATTCATGCTTATTTGCATTAAAAAGACAGTCATGATTAACTCCAGTTAGTATTTTAAAACAAAATGTAGACTAATCTGCATAATTTAGTTGAACATCCAATATTCAAACCCATATCCCTTAATATTAAAGGATAATTGAAATATTAAAAATAGATTACCCCGTTTTAAATATGTAGGTAAATAGGCAACACAACATACACATAATTTACTCTTGCCGATCACTGTCAAATAAACACTGAAAAAATATTGTAATTCGGGCGGAAAGCTATTTGCTATTTTATCCAAAGTGGCAAAGCAATACATTAAAAATGTTTTATTACAATTTTTTTCAATCGTTCAAATGAAGAGTTTGCAAGGAGAAATTGAAAAGCCAAATAAAAATTTTTAAAAGTACTTCCAAAATAAATTTACTTAATTTTTTTTAATTTTGCCAATCGACAATTGTATTTTTTGCGCACCCGGTACCACAAAATCGAAGTCTCCATGCGAATCGTATTTTTTTTTAACAAGCAAAAGAAATTATGAAGAATTACTTTCTTTGAAAAATTTAAAATAAATATTTTTACAAGTATAGTTTAAGGCTATCCATAAGTGACATAGACGCTAGGTAAAAATAATTAGCAAGGTCTTTTCTTAAAATTAATATAAAAAGTTTTGCATCTTAGCCAATTTTTAAAAAAAAATCGTTCTTGTAAAGAAGATTAGGAAAGTGTTTTATTAGATTATTAATAAAATAATATGCTTAGGTCATAACAGAACTAAAAAAAAATGATATTTTCTGGGTTTTTGTTTAAAATATTAATTTAAGTATTATATTTTTAACCCATCTACGTCATGCCAAAGAAGGCAGCAGAGCACCTAGGGAACTTTTAGTTGAAACCTATGCTATATTTTTAGGCCATTTTAAGGCTATTTTTATACCCTATTCAGAAAATGTATACACCTTGTTTTAAGGAGCCAGCAAAGTACCTCAGTTATTTAAAATATTTTTCTAAAAACAACCATACCATATTTTTAGGCTAATTTTCGGCTCTTGAAATATAACTTTTCAAAAAATATGGGGTGCTTTGCTAGCTTTGAAAGAAGCCAGCAGAGCAGCTTGGTTTTTAAAGCTTTTTCCTAAAAACGACTCCACATTTAGGCTAATTTTAGGCTCTAGTAATATTATAAAACTTTTTTAAAAAAATACTATTTTGAAATAATACAGGGTGCTTTGCTAGCTTCGAATAAGGACAGTAGATTACCTCAGTTTCTTAAAGATTTTTTTCTAAAAACAAATAACCTACATTTTAGGCTGTTTTTAGGGGGTGCCAGCCAAAAACCCCGGCGACCAAATCCCCGCGACCAAATCCCCGGGACAAAATCCCCGGGGACAAAATTCCCGACGACCAAACCCCCGGAAACAAGAATCCCCGGTGGCAAAATCCCCGGGGATGAAATCCCCGACGTCACAAAATACCCGTGCTAAAAAACAATGCAAAAAAATCGAAAAATATTATTCCATTAAGTTTCAAAACATGATAAAGCATATTTATGCCCGATATACTCAAACTTTCACAAAACAATTTTCACGATTAGCCGCGTGTATTTTTCAACTGTTATATGTCGTATATCAACGAAAATAGAAAATATACATAGCATAAATAATGCTCGCAGGTGAAACTGTAAGTAGGAAAAGAATATTGTAAAAAATGGAAAATCGCTTTGTCGGTATTGGTGCAGGTTTTTGATTGCAACGACAAGTTATTGTTCCTCCATGGCGCTGCGCAAAATTTGCGATTATAATATTTCTTATTGTAATGTGTACATATTGTTTGTGTTAATTATCGAAATAAGATTTTTAGCTTTGTTATTAAGATAATTATTCATAAATTTGTATTTATGTACGATATTGGAATTATGAGTCTGTTAGAATAAAATTTCTGAGTTGTGCCAGTTTATGGTATTTTAAGCAATTATTTTTTTGTATCCAACGGGTTTTTTTACCGGGATATATTTTTATTCAAGGGATTTTTGTTTCAGGGGATTTTCTCGCCGGGATTTTAGTTTCCGGGGATTTTGTCGCCGGGATTTTAGTTTCCGGGGATTTTGTCGCCGGGGATTTTAGTTTCCGGGGATTTTGTCGCCGGGGATTTTAGTTTCCGGGGATTTTGCCGCGCTGGGCATTTTGTCGCGGGGATTTTGTCGGCGGAGCTTTTGTCGCCGGGGATTCTGCGCCGGGGATTATGTCGGTAACTCGTTTTTAGGCTCTTGAAATATTATAAAACTTTTAGAAACATTTGCTATTTTTATAAATCCTGAATGCTTTGCTAGCTTCCAAAAAACGACAGCACATTTTAGGCTAATTTTAGGCTTTAGAAATATTATAAAACTTTTATAAAAAAATTATTTTGAAATAATTCACCTTTGCTAGCTTCGAACGAGGACAGTAGATCATCTCAGTTTATTAAAGATTATTTTCTAAAAACAACTAAGCCTAATATTAGGCTATTTTTAGACTCTTGATATATAACTTTTAGGAAAATTTGCTATTTTTAAAAAATCCAGGGTGCTTTGCTAGTTTAGAACGAAGCTAGCAGCAGAGCACCAGTTTTTTAAGGTTACTTCTAAAAACAACCACACCACATTTTTATGCTATAAAAATTCTGAAAAAACATTTTTTTTCTAAAAACCATGCCTCATTTTTAGGCTATTAAAATATTATAAAACTTTAAAAAAATGCCATTTTAAAAAATTAAAGGGCGTTTTGTTAGCTTCTAACGAAGCCAGCACAGCAGAGTACCTCGATTATTATTTTTTTTAAACAATCACATTTTTGAAATATTGAAATATTAAACATTAAAAAAAAATACTATTTTTAAAAAATTGGGCTTTACTAGCTTCGAACGAAGACAGCAGAGCACCTCAATTTTCTAAAAGCAACCATACCCCATTTTTAGGCTGTTCTCTCTGGCTCTTATAAAATATTCCGAAAAATTGCTGTTTGTTTAATGAGCTTAGAATGAACTAGCAAAGCACCAAGTTTTTTATTTTTACTTTTTTTATGGGATGCTTTATTAACTTTTAATGAAGCCAGTAGAGCACCTCGGCTTTTTGAGGTTTACTCTAAAAACAACAAAGCCACACTTTTAGGCTCTAGAAGCCAGCAGTGCACCTCGTCTTTAATTTTTTTTTTAACAACTGTGCCACATTTATGTGCTATTTTTATGCTCTTTAAATATTTAAAACATTCTGAAAATTTGCCATTTTGTCATTTGTTGACTTCAGTTTTTTTTTTTTCTGAAAACAACTAGGTGTGCCACATTTTTATATTCCTTTTAGGCTCATGAAATATTATAAAACATTCCAAAAGATTCGAACGAAGCCAGCAGAGCACTTCAGTTTTTTTAAGGTTTTCTATAAAACCTATAATTTTTTTAATTTTGTTTTATGTTTCAAGTGTCTAAAAAATAGACTAAAAATATGGGGTGGTTGTTTAAAAAACCCGGGTATTTCTCTGGCCTCGTTGGAAGTTAACAAAGCATTTTAACAAATAGTTTTTTTTTGAAAACACTTTAATATATCAAGAGCCAAAAAATAGCCTAAAAATGTGGTAGTTATTAAATAAAAAAAAACTAAAAATTAAAAACTGAAGTGGTCTGATAGCAATTTTTTAAAAAAGAGTTGTTTTTAGATCAAAAAACTAAAACAAACCAAGTACTTCGATCAAAGCTAGCAGAGCACCTTAATTTTTGTAAAAAGAAAGGAGCATAAAATTGTTGAATGGGGTATAAAAATAGCCTTAAAATAACCTAAAAATATGACAAGTTTCAACCCAAAATTCCCTAGGTGCTTTCCAGCCTTCTTTGGTATATATAGGTCCCAAATAGTAAAGGCTCACTAGACTTTTACTCATTTTTGTTCATGCTCTTTATTCAAATTTTGTTGAATAAATATACCTATATGAATAAAATCGTAAACATGGCTTATAGAAACTTTGTGAAGTAAGTGAGTACATATAGCTTATAATTTAAAAGGATATTAGAATTGTTGAAAGAGTGTCCTCTTGGCTTAAAGTAATTTCTTGGCTCAAAATAATTCCTTGATTTGACATAATTTCATCGTTTGTGGAAAAGTCTCTATTATCATTCATATTCCTAAAAATACAAAACAACGGTTCAAAACTATTTTTAAAACAATAAAAGTTTAAAAAAATTTTAAATTTTAAATTAACTTCTTTCTTCTTCTTTTTGGCCTTGTCTTTTTGGTAAATTACTACGGTCTCTTGCCTATGGGTCCAGCTGCATTCCTAAACAACACAGCACAGTCATCACAAACTCCACAGAAATAATTCTTTATATATTTTTTATTTTGTCTTCCTGTTCTGATTTAAACATATTTTGAAAAGGATTTCTTTGGAGGCTAATTACTATTTTGGAATTTTTTATCACTTTTATCTTTGTCTGTACATTTTAACACAGATAGTGCCTTTACCCATGTCTCCTTGGTCAAATAAGTCTATGTACGAAAAGTATGGCAAAAAAAGAAGCGAATAAAAGGTTAAGTCTAGGTTAACTGTCATGTCATTTTGTTAATAAATAAACAAACTGACAAGGTATAATTAGGGCATCTTAACTATATCTGTTCCCTACAATGGTAGATTTAGCTGGAGGACAAGATGGACCTATCGAACATGGTTTTTCAAATTCAGTATTTATTATTCCTGGAATAGTTTTCGTTTCGTTATCAAGTGAGTAAAGTAAAATAATACTTCCGCTACCTGTTGTATCAACTTTTTTTAACTTACGTTCCGGACTTTTATCATGATTAAATAGTTTTATAATTAACGTTGTATATATTTTATTGTGATATTGATTTGTTTATATTAAGTCCTTAACACATATTGTTCTAGAATACTTGGGATTTTTATTGGGGAATTCAGTTGTAATAAATATTTTGTTATCAAAATAGAATTTTGAATACTTTTCAGAACCATATTGAGATTAATTGTATATGTATACTAATCTGATAAAGTGAATTACAAACTTTTGATAAACAAACTTGAATGCCCTTGCCTCTTGGATAAATTCCACAATAATAATGAATTTGTACTAGTTGTCTAAAGAATATTTGCTAAGGAAAAATTTTGTCAAACAAAAATACCTAATGTACTTATAACAAATACACATTCTTATTTCCTAAGCGGCAATGATACTAGCTGTATTATTTTATTTTTTGTATACAATGTACCCTTTCCACTTAGGGAATTATCCAAAATTAGTCCCAAATATTTGGTGCTTATAAAATTTTTACTTTGTGCTGAGTTTTTCTTATTATTGGTAGGTACAGTTTTATTATGAAGCTCTTGTTGTGCAAACAACCTTTTATGACGTGAAATTCAAAATTCCTTTTTTAAATTGTCTGTATTTTGTGTTGAATCATGTACTACTTACCCAGTTCTTCCTCTGACTGACCAATACATTATAAAAAGTGGAATATTTAGCATAAAAGATTTTACTATTTGGAGAAAACTTAAATGTTTTTCTGTCTAAAATATTTTAGATTCATAAAATATATTAATTTGTCATGAAAACCACCTTTGTTTATTTTGTTTTCTTGTAGTTTAGATGGGTGATAATGCACATGTCCACATCATAGTTGCTCTGACTTATTCTGACAATCGGAATTGTTACATAGTTGCCAGGGTTATGTACTAATCTTTTAATTCTAAGAAAAAGTAAATTTGAGTTGCAAGGGATGCTGTCAAATATAAATTTTGCTGGCATGGATTATTTTTAAAAGTAAATAAAAATATTCTTTAATTCTAGAATATTTTAATGTACTTTTTTGTAGACACAATTTCCTGTCTCTCAAAATTAAAAAATAAAAAAAAAATGCAAAACAAGAATGGAAATTTGGCAACGTGAGAGGTGGAAAATTTAAATTCTAAACATCAGTGCAGAGTAGTACTGACATGTGCAATACTGCCCACATAAACTACAAAATTACCGTTTAGTTTTAAAAACTTTCAAAATAATTAACTTAGCAGCCATCTTGAATTTTCTAAAAAGCAATTGTTGGTTCAGAAAACACGGATGGTACCTAGGTATTACAATACACTCTGTATCATATCATCAACTGTCATACATATTTATAACCAGTACAATTTAATACATTTGAATTTAGCAAGCTCTAGCGGGATAAACAAATGTCACATATTGTGAAGGGTGACAGCATTCGAAATAATTAAAAAACCTTTTAGAACTAATAAGAAATTTATACCACCCATTAAATAACTATTTAAATTAGCTTTCAAATGGAGTGTCACACTTCACAGTACATGACAGTTTTTTATCTCGCTAGAGGGCGCTAAAATGAAAGTAATTCAATGAACAATCAAATTGCTGAAATCTCCATAAAATTACCTTTTCAATGATGTGTCATTCTTTCTACTTTCCTTTTTAAATTTGTTAGAGTGAAGGAGGAAAGGGGAATGGCATATGCCAGTGTAGGATATGGTAGAAAGGTGTCCCCCTTAGAATAAAAATCGATCTGTCTTTGTGTTCAAAAATATTCTAATAGCATTTTTCACTGGCACACTCAGTTTGTTCTGAGTGTATTCTCACCTTTTTCTTCACCTTCTTTTAAATATCGACAAACAATAATACAAATATACTCAGTGGGAACCGCCTGTGCCAGTGAAAAACGCTAAAAAATTAAATCACTGACAGACATTTTTCCAAGTAACAATGCGAAAATCGTCTAATTTACTGCATACTTTCTAGAGCGTTCTGTATACATATAAATGGATAACAATTCACTTTTTATTTCTGGTAATGTGAACCACTTCTAAATACTAATCAGGATATTTTTTTACAGATTTTTTACAGCGTATTTTTCTTAAATAAAAATCAAAAATTAAATTAAAAATAAACAAAAAAAACTCCGCATCCGAGTAATAATAATGTAATAATAATAGTGTAATAATATAGAGTAGCGAAAAAGTCTGGCAACAAGTTATTTTCTTATAAATAAATAAATGTATAATTATGAAATGTAGGGTGATGAATGGGATTGTTTTCTGTATTTTTTAGAATACATGTCAAATTTATGTGACTTCAGCGGTTAACGTACCGCCGCCATCTTGAATTTTTGTAAATGACATTGTAGCTCGAGTTTCATTGTACTGTTACGTTTATTTATTTTCAACAGATTAATTAGTTTAATTTATATTCACTAAATACACAGACTTCTTTTATAACTAATTTATTTGTACTCAAAACTTCACACGACAATATTTATTTCTAAACTAATTAAGTACCGGCAAAAGAATCCACTTATATACAAAAATATATCCGGTCTAGAAAAATCCAGTCCGGTCTCAAAGAATCTCGATGCTAGTCTAGACGTTCTTGAAATCCTTCTTCAACACGCGCAAAAGAACCTTCCAGTAATATCTCGAGGTCAGCGGCAGTGGGACACATGCGGGCGGCTTGAACGACGAAAAGGTAAACAAAGACCAGAGCCGAACTGGTTGAAAATGGCTCGCACGACAGTACTCATTCGTGTGATTTCTTCTGCAAACGACGGTTTTTGGATTGTATTCAATTTGTGCGGTTCATATTTTTATCAATTTCGTCGCTAGTTTCACCGCTATCAGAGTAAATTACAATATTTTTCCTATATTTATTGCAGTTCTTTAGTTATATCAATCTCATTACAAAGTTTAGTCGCAAAAAGTTGTTTTAATATTACAGTATAATCTGAATCAATCTCTTGATAGTTAATGTATAAATGCTTGGTCATTCTTTTTCCAAGCAGGTAGCAGGTATCTAAAGTTGTCAGTCTTATGGATTATCTGAATCCATTATTATGATTTCATGTGGTTCAAATATCATTGGATTCATTATGATAATGTTCTCTAGTAGTGCATAGAGATTTAAATTTGCATTTGTTTTTAATTATTATTAATATTGATTACACAAACCAACAGATATTTTGGTGCCTGCGATTTTTTTAACTATTCCTGGGTAATTGTTGGATGCAGAATCCAAAATAGCCATCATATTTCTTCTATCGGATCTAGTTTTTAAGATAGGCAATATCAAAGAGTTATTGCAAGTTCACTTAAGGTCAGTCACTATTAGTGCCGCTCTTATTTTGACATCTAAGCATGCGCAGATCATTTATGTTCTAAAACTGACTTTATTAAAGATTGTGCCTGTCCTTAATTGTGGATGTTTAAGGGCAGCAGGTAGTGCCGACTTTATAGCTTTCGGGTGCGCTCGCCGACATTCGTATCCGTTCGAAGTTTTTTAATATTAAATATGTAATATAATAGTCATCTAAACCTTCTAAAATTATAATTTCTAATCCTGTTCAATATTATGCAGGGGAAGGTGCCATACCTTGCGACCACTTTAGCAAAAGTGTTCCTAAAATGTAATTGAAATGACATTTCGGTAATATGATTGTTGCTATCATAACTTTTTACTTTTTGTCTTCACTATGATGATATGGTTCGTGAAAAAAAATATGGATAAAAATCTTATGAATTAATAAAAAAAAAAGTTAAAAGTGGCTCAAGGTACAACATGGGGTTGTACCTTGATCCATATGGTAATGTACCTTGAGCCAAGATATAAAAACAGCAATGACAAAATAAAACTTTATTGTTTTGATTATTTTAAAGCATAAGGGCTAAGATCTACGGCAAATTTTAAATATGACTGCTGACGAGCTGATCCTCCAGTGGTCATTGGAGGAGGTAATTTCAAATTCACGTCTTTTTTATCAACCATGTAACTTTTGGCCGAATCATCCAACAAAAATTTGTTTGCCCCAGCAGCTTTTTTAGGTAAGTGATACATATTTCGGGTTCTACTGTAAAAACCTTGGCCACATAATATCCGAAGCTTTTTTTACCGGACACTTTGACCAATAGGTATTCACCTTTGTAGACCTAGCTTTATAGGGCCTGACATATACTGCATTCGATCATGGTAGACTGTATTCAAATTAGATTACCTGAGGAGGAGGCCTTATGCTCCACCCTGTAGCCTCTGGAAGATATTCTTGAAGTTCTAGTTGAAGCACTGGGTGTATTAAAATAAAACAATCACCCTACATTTGAATTTGATATATTGACTGCTTGATACGTTCACATTTAACACATTTACAACTGTTTGTTACATAGAAGTATTGACAAGTTACATATTAACTTTTTATAAAATCAAATCGCACATGCTTGGAATCGTTACCGCGAATGCCGGCTTTTTAGGTTAAAGTTTTTGTGACTTGTTGCTTGTTCGACTGAAAAACCGAAAGTGATTTTAGTTTTGTGCTGCCGTTGCTTGTCAACCCGCACCGGCTTTTTACCTTTCTTCTAATTGGCTCTCTTTAATCGTATGTTTTGCACACGAGACCATTGCTTTTAAGATCTGTCGTATAATTGTGTGAAATGTATCGCGTGATTACTTTTAACTGTATTAGAGGCAGCAGGTGTCTTTGAAGGTTACTTGAAAGTTAAAAGGGTGGTTATTGCACAACTTTGGATAATTGGTTTATACAGGGAGTCTCTATTTAGTATTTTATTCTTTTTTTATTTGTTAAGTGAGGAGGTTTATACAGGGAGTGTCTATTTAGTATTTTATTTTTTTTTGTTTGCTAAATGCTGATTTAGATTTAGACATGTTCTATCTGCAGGGCAGATAGAACATGTTGAATGTAATTTCAACAACCTTCGTTGATAGTTTCAGTCTCTAATTGCTTTTCCAGTTGCTGGGCGTTTACTTCGTCAGTCAAACTAATATCGTCATCAGAATTGCAAGTCCATCTCATCTTATTCGTCTGAACTGTCTAAGTTTTTTTGCTAATATTGGCGCAGGTTTTTTTTTGAAAAATTTTCTCTTAACTGTCTCAACTTTCTTTGTTATTTTCAAATCCTTCAATCGTTTAGCCTCTTCTAATTCTCCTTTTTCATGAGTGTCGGTAAGGATTAGTGATTTGCCTCTTGGTCTCCCTCGGTTCGTGGATTTTCGAGCAGCGGCCTTGGGAAATGGTTTCACAGCTTCAGGGGACACAAAACTAGTAGAAGCTGAATAATGATCGTCGACGTCAAGTTCTGCAGGGGTTCGAGTAAATGAAGTGGACGATCTAGCTTCAACTTCTGCGTTGGCTTTAGGTTGTTGTCTTCTGGTATAGGTCGATCAGTGACACTGGATGGAAGAAAGTCATCATCGCCAAAAATGTCTTCATTTAAAGGAACAGTTGCAGAAATTCTGCATCCACTAATAATATTCTTTGGGACAAAACTCAGAGGGTATGCCTTTCCTACCATATCGGCGTTTTCATAAATTGTCAGAGGTTTTCCGGAATTTTCTGGATTCATCATCCAGTTATTTACAGCATTGTTATAAAAAGTTTTAAAGGGGCCAAAGACGCCTATGTCAAGCGGTTGCATTTTATGGCTTGTATGGGGATTAAATGTGAGCAAAATTATTAAGTATAATGATTTAATCATTTTTGACATTTTATTTTTCATATGTAGGTATTGGATTTTCTGAAATATATGTTTGTCTTCTTTTAAATAAATTTAATAAACAATGAACTGCAGATTTTGTTTATTTTATTTTGAAATTATATTTAAAAAAAAAATATAATAAATCCGCGTGTTTCAATTAGGATTGGGCAAAATTGGCGAAATCTCTTTATTATGGCTAAATTGTAAGTTACAATTATTTTCAATATAAAGATGTTTCGCCCATTCATATTTATTGAATGAATCATACTGGAGTTGATTTTGGAAATATTGGTACATACTTAAATACTATTCTAAAAAATCGTCTATGCCCAGACAGCACACATAGTCCAATGGACGTACATTTTAGATCCATTTGAGGGTCAGGACGTCCATATCCAGACATCCAGTGTACGTTTGTTTATGCTAATTAATTTGACAGCTGAATATCGATACCCAGAGAACGTCTGTTTTTTGACCTAATTTTAAGTTTAGTAGTATTTTGACGTCCAGTGGACGTCCATCTTAGGTCATTATTTATTAAGCCTACCAGATAATTCCCATCTATATACACTTCCTTTTTTTAATATAATTGGTCAATCAAAATTGACAAATTGAATCTATTGCATTTCATTCTATCGGCGGAAGTTTGAAATCTTATTCCATTATAACTATATCTTGTAAAAAGTTTTCAAATGGTTCCTTGGTCGAGCTCGTCTAGCGATTGAAAGCATAAAACGATAATGGATGTGTCGTGAGTTCGATTCCTGCTCAGGTCAAGCGATCTTTAATTTAAAAAAAAATCGTGTATAGCGGTTTGCGAAAATAATAAACAAATTATTAATAATATAAAATAGTGTGTGGTGAGTTGCGGTTCTCTAAAAAAAGTGGGGATGAGGTCTCAATGGAAATATAATCCTGGACGTTTTTTGAATGTCCAATATTCGACGTCCAAATATATTCCAGAATTGGACGTCCTCTGAATGGTCAAAAGTGTGCCACTTTTATACTTCACTGGACATCCACTGGATGTCGAAAGTCCAGAAAAAAACTCATTTTTGGACATCTAGACATCCAAAATTGTATATCGAATGGACGTCCAATGGACAAATTTGTATTGTCTGGGTGATAGCCAGGCCAGGTATTTGACTCTAAATGATATCTGGCTTATCTTTGCGAGAAAACACTTGTTACTACAGAAATGAGTAATTAACTTGAAAGTTCTTTTAATATAATATAAATTCAGAAATTCTAAAAATATGTAGGTACTTTTTAAACCTAAAAGCTTTGAAAATATATGCACATTGCAAATATTTAGTTAAACCTCTAAAACTTAATGTCTTTTTAATTGTTACGTAATTTATTTTTTTTTTTTGGTACCCTTAATTTTATTTACCTTATTTTTACTTAAGGAAAAGGTAATTTAATTTAAATATGGAGCTTTTATTACATTTTTAACAATAAATAAACCAAATATTGAACAAATTTTATAGATAAATTATAAAATAATAAACGTCTTTTACTTTTATAACAAATAATTAAATATTATATAATGTATTATATTTTGGTGCCAAAATTTCACCATTGCTATTAACCCTAACTACTTCAATGTAAGTAAATCACATTACAACATTTGCGCATGGACTATAACAATGATTTCAGATAATTTGCCAACATATTTCGCTCAGTGTAGAAAATAAGCCTGTTTTCTCAGCGTATTAAGTTGTGTATTAATCAAAGTCATGTTGTGAAAAAGGTCCATCCGATATCAAAGGCACCGACAGCTACTGTCGCTTCTCCTTGATCGGTATTCTCGGGTTCTAACACTTACGCATGGATGGTGTCCGACTAAAATTAGCGCGAAAATTGAAAGTGGCTCAGGGTACAAACCTGTGCAAGGTACGTCACTTTCCCCTACTATTATAGGCAACAAAAAAGATGAACTATAATTTAAAGTTATTAAAATGAGGTTAGAAATAAGTATAAGGACAAGGATTCTAATGTCTCTCTATTTACTATTTTAACAAAAAGCCACACAACTTTATTATTTTTTTTTTTTTTTGAATGTGCGATAATAAAGGTGGTAAATGGTAATTTATAATGAATACCTCTGAATTATTTCATTAGATAACAATCAAATATATTGGGATGAAGGGATGGTTTGACAAGGGGTTGATTTCAGATCACCCTATAAAAGACTTTCATTCCATATACGAGTACATCATAAAAAAAAATATCAAATAACTTAGACATTTGCTGGTCAGAAACTTATGGAACACCCGGTATTTTGTATATATTTATAAACACTTAAACTTTGTTTAGAATTACGTAAAAAGTTATCAAAATAATTTAATATGCATACTTCTACTGATAACCTATCGCTAGATATTACTGATGATTTGGCGGTAGTAAAATAAGTGCAAACGTTTTAAAATTGTTCTGCTTAGAAATTGGTGAAAGTGAACATATTGTTTCAAAAATGGCTGACGAAGAAAGTGGTATTCCTAATTTCGGTGTACCTGGTGGCAAGCCTTTACCTACCGCAGAAGAGCTTTTAAAAGCTCTGGAAAATATGCCACTTTCAGAAGAAGACAAAAAAGAATTGCGAGAAAGCATAGTCAGAGGGGGACTAGCTCGTGAAGCTGAAAAATTGATTGATCAAGCAGCTGGAACTGCTGGCAGTAGTAAATCAGGAGAAATGGTGTTATTGTTTGTTATGATTTCTTTTGTTTTTTTGGTATTAGGTGAGAAACTTTTTAGTGTACAGATTATTTTTTGCATATGAGGTGGCACTTGTGTTGGAATTTTTTTAAAGTAACTATTGTCCTAGTTGGTATTTATTTATTTAGATTCAAATAAAACTATCAGTTCTTTTTGCTCCCATCAACGTTTTATCCGTTTCCCTATAATGTGTCTCCAAATAAAGAGTGATCCACAAAAAAATGTTTCTAAAGTAGGCCACTACTGACAAAGACAGAGATACGAGTCATTTTCGGGATAACTACGCGTGGCTCTGAATTAAATCCAAACAGACACATAAAAATTAGAAGTCCTACTTTGGAAGCTTTTTTATCACACCTTATTTCCTTCATATGTTTCCAGTTTTCTTTTTTTTATGTTTTTGGATTGCCTACTCCTTTGTTATTAAAATGCAAACATTATTTATAAATAAGTGTTTTATATAAAATAAAAGTGTGGAATCTCCAAATTTTGTCAAAATGGGATTCTCAAAAAATTGATTTGGGGATTTAAAAACATACCGATTCCACTTTGCACTTTTGCCAGATTGATCATTTTTTCGATAAAACGTACCTTTTTTTAATCAATTTTATTGTTACAGTATTCTTTGGTTACAAATTATACTCATCTCTGATGGAGAAAGAAAGAAGGAGGGAAGAGAAGAAAAGGCAAAAGCAGCAAAAGAAGAAAAAGTAAAATTATGTATTAAAGAAATTCAAACGACTGTCACACAATCATTCCATTAAGCGTAAGATTAAAGTGTCCGTTATACATACCTCGTTTTACAAAAATTGTGTTCTGACTCATTAAATATAAATGTTTAATGTTTGTCTATTTTGACGTTGTACTATTGTAATATTTTATTCTATATTGTTTAAGTAAATATATTTATGAAAATTCGTGTTTCTATTTTTCATTTTACAAAATAAATCATAGTGTTTATAAAGAAACAAAATTAAAAATGGAGTCATTTACTGAAAACTTTTGAAAATATAAATTAAGGATTGATACTCACGAAGGTTTGGTGCTTTTCAGCGTTTTGGCCTGTAGTGATAATATGATTATTACTTTTAAATAACCATCTCTTGTGCAAAAATATTCCTGTTCTCTTTTTTCTCACGATTCCTTAAATATTTCTCGATACGTAAGTGGGTGATTTCCCACTCCACTATTGTAATCAGTGTCAGTTCATGAAGCTTATTAGTACGCTGTATTAGTTATGACGTAATTTATGTACCGAACAAAATTTTTTATAGACAATAATCACTGTTATTATTTCATTTAAGTGGCTTTATGTTATTTAAATAAAAATATTCTTAAAGTAGTAGATAACATAGTTAAATAATATCAATTACCTATGTAAAACAAATACAAATATAGGTCAGGTATACATTAACATTGATGTATTTCTGTTACTTTCAAGATTATATTCATTTTAAACTATACCACTGTAATAACTATATTAAAAATATGATGTGTCTAACACATTATTACAGGCTTTTTCCGGTTATTTTGTACAACCTTGTATCAGGTCCGTGAAGTTGTCATGCACCACCAATTAAACTTTTTGCACCCCCTTCTAGTAGTTATAGCTGTTCTTTTACCGTGAAGTTGGCTCCCCCAATGATTTTTTTACAAAAAAAAATATTGCACTCATATGCACTTTTTTGCACCCCCTTCCTTTAATAGTTATAGCTATTTCTTTACCGTGAAGTTAGCCCCACGCAATATTTTCCCAAAAAAATATTGCACCGGTATACACTAATATGCACCACCACTAAAACTTTTTACATCCCCTACTTTTGGTAGTCACAACAATTTCTTTATTGTAAAGTTAAACCCTTCCAATGATATTTGCGCAAAAAAAACTATTGCACCCGATATGGATATATATCAGTTAGTAATTTTTAGCGCTAAATAAACTTTGGCCACTTCGTCCTGATTATGCACATTTTAATGCACTCATTATTTCAGGTTACATCTCTCAATATCAATCCAAATATACATTTTTACAACAAATGAACATGTCGGCCAAAATGAGTAGAATTTTATATTAGTGGTGATAGCCTAGGTTATCTTCAGGAACAATATGCAGTATACATACACAGATAGAACAGCTTAAAGGAAAATCGTAACGGTTTTTCGTAACCAGATTTTTTTTTATATAAAAATCTAATGTGTCCAACACATGACTTTCCTATCTAGTTATTATAGGCTTTTTCGGGTTATTTTGTTCAGCCTATTGCGACACCTCTACAAATGTTTAGAGGATAAACTAAATATATACATTTTCCACATACATCTACCTCGAAACATTTTTCCATAGATATTCGTTGAAAACGAAAATACTGAAAAATTTTAATATAGCACTTTTCCTAAAATTTTTCCATTACGGTCCATTTTAGAAAAATCATGTTTAAACAAAAATTATAAAGACTTTTAGTTTAACAATTTTGTTAAAAATCAGAATTTTGCACATTTTGTCAAATTTCTCGAATACGGACCATTTCAGGAAAATTTGGCATAAAACAAAAGTTATAGATAATAATATTAGCAGTAACTTTTATTTGAAGAATTTTCTCCTCCAAACATAAATAACAGATATATTCCATAAAATATAAAAACGGCCTCCTATAAAGTATCCCCCCCGAGATGTTCCGACTTTGTCCAAAATCTAATTATTTCACGTCAGGCCGAAATAAAACTTAAGTTTAAAATTTGGTGTTTTTCTGTGTATCGGTTCATGAGTTATGCGACACACAGACATCATCGCGAAAATAGTCAAAACGGATTCAAGGGACCTCAAAACGTAAAAATCCGTCGAAAACTCGAGGTCGAAAAAAATCATGATTCCTATACTTTCCTTATATCTGTATACAGATAGGAAAGTAAAAAGTATTTTAGTTAGTTTTCAAGAAACCGTGGTTTCTTGATAAATCTATATTCAGAGTGAAATCTGTGCAATTTAAAAGTTGTTGTTGGACTGTTAATTACTTTAATTTTTTAAAGGTCTACTTATATATATATACTAATATAATTTTTGTATTATCATCTGGGTTGGGCTGAATTTTGTCTCGTTTTCGTCTTCTATTTTTTTTAATTTAAACGTACCTACACCTATGTGTATCGTAATAGTAAACTTAAGGCATTTCTTTATAAGATTACCATCATAACTTACCAGAACATTTATTTATACAGTTTGGTTTCTTCCATGACGTCATATGTTATCAAAGCATACTTCTAACCACGTCGGTTATGTGGTAAGATGGTAAGATACATATTTAAACATATCGAGCATGCCCAAAATGAAAAGAAATCTGAAGAAATAAATTTTTCTGTGATTAGGGTTTGTTTGAACATTTTTGTATTTACTATAAAAGAAATTAAATTTTAAATACAGGATACTGAAATAACTAGAGATATTAAAACAGAGATGGAAATTTATTTCAACACAAATATAACCTTTTGTAGGAGGAGATATAATTTTAAATAAATAACAAATTCAAAAGATTCTAAAATTTCTTATAATTTTAATTTGGTTTAGAAATCCCTAACTTAAATTAAATTTGACATATTATATGACGTTACACATTTAACGTTACCACATTATGTTTGACGTCAACAGAGTAACCACAATACTGTTACCAAAAAGTAATTTCTTTCTATTTGGTTTCAAATTCAGAGATGTACCATGAAATATTTTATGAATATTAAAATGTGTATCCTCGTGCGAATTGGCCAAAATTTATTTAGGTCTAAAAATGAGTAAATGATGTATATCGGAGCAATATTGTTTTTGCTCAAATATCATTGGTTGGATTAACATATCAAGTTTTTTTTTTTTTTTTTTCGAAAACTTCATTGTTTAATTGGTGGTGCATATGAGTGCATGACAAGAGCTAACTGGTGCATTACAGTAAATCCTAAAATTTTCACGTGTCGGACGTCTCTCTTGCACCATATAGTAATCAAAGTATTTGTTCAGAATCCCAAAGATAATACACTCACTCGCCAATAGGAATGTTTCACAAATGGTTAGTGGGTGGATACATAAACATGCTCTCAAAGCGAGCAGTAAACATAAGTGTAGAAGATGTGAATATAAGAGTCTTGGTTGCGAGGGGATGTCCACAGGGAAGGGTGCTATCACCTCTACTGTGGAATATGGTCCTCGACACCCTCATCAGCCGCCTCAATAATGACAGTCACTACACAATAGCATATGCAGAGGACCTGGTCATTCTGCAAACGGAATGTTGAGAACATACTCTGCAAAAGAATGCAAGTAGCTCTAAAAATTATAGAACAGTGGTGCAAGGACCATTCACTGTCTATCAATCCTAAGAAGACAGAAATGATCCTTTTCACAAGGAAATGGTTGAAAATGGAATTAAAACCTCCAGAACTCCTAAATACAAAACTAAACTTTGCAACAGAGGTGACGTACCTAGGTCTCACTTTTGACAGCAAGTTAACATGAAACTCACATTTAGAAAACAGAGTTAAAAGAGCATACATTGCTTATGAACAATGCCGCCGAACCGTGGGGTGCACCTGGGGTTTCTCCCCCAGAGTCGTCGCATGGACTTACACGGCTATCATAAGACCTATGCTAACATACGGTGCATTTATCAGGGTACCGAAAACCCAAAAATTAACAGCTATCCGTAAACTAGAACAAATTCAAAGAACAGCATGTCTCAACATAACAGGAGCCATGAAAACAACACCGACTAGAGCCATGGAAGTCATTCTTAGTCTCACTTCCCTTGATATTTACATCAATGAGGTTGTTCTGACGACAATGACACACCTCCGCACGGTCGGAATAGAACCTGATGAAGGATTTGGTGAGGCGAGACGTCCCTTTTGGCAGGAGGCGCTGGATACGCTGCCACTGCTTCCATCTCACCAAAATATATCTTTTATAAGCCATATAAAGTTAAAATAAAACAAATAGAAGAGCCAGAAGTGGCAGGTATGATTCATATCTACACTGACGGTTCTAAAACAAAACAAGGCTCAGGATTTGGAATATATACTCCAGATTCTTTAACCTAAACATAAAATGGGCTGTGAGCAATAGTGCCAGTGTAGTTCAAACAGAGCTGACGGGGATTCACATAGTAGCAAAAGAAATAACCAGAAACAATATCACTGGAAGGAACATGCTCATCTATACAGCTATCAGACAAGCACTACACACCCTGAACAGACCACGAATTTGTTCAGGGTTAGTACTAGAATGTCATGAAGCTTTGGCCGAAGTATCCATCAACAACGTGGTCACCTTAAGATGGATTAAAGGTCCCGCCACATCGAAAGGTAACCGTCTTGCTGATTCACTAGCCAAGAAAGCAGCCAACCAAATACTTTTTGGACCTGGCCCTTCTATTGGCCTGACAAAATCGGTAGTGACAGACCTAATCAAAGAACATTCCCTTGTGAAATTCAAGGAAAGATGGGATGAAACAAGAAACTGCAGAGTTGCCAGGGAGCTCTTAAGTTATCCAGACAACACTGCAGCAAACAAATACTTGACTATGACTAGAAAGAATCTGCGTCTGGTCATTGCCAAGTACGAAAGTATCTCCATATCATGGGGCTGTCAGAATCCGCACTCTGCAGAGGGTACGAACAAGAAGATGAGACCATCGAGCATATCTTTTACGATTGATCGACGCTTTCATTTATTAGAAGATTTGTGTTTGGCGAGTATCGGCTAACACCGGCCGATATAAGAGAAGCAACTCTTGGCGATGTTGTCAACTACATTAAATCTGTAGGCTGGCTTACGAGCTAGGAGGTGCACATTTTCCACACACATCTTACACGAAACATTTTTTATATATATTCATTGCGAAGGAAAATATTGAAAAATTAAAATTTTACACTTTTACTCAAATTTTTCCAGTTCGGTCCATTTTTAAAGAAATAATGCATAGGACAAAAATGATAGGGAATGATATCATGAACAACTTTTATTTTAATTTTTTTTTCTCCAAGCGTAAATAACAGATTTATTCCATAAAGTACCTCATAGATATTCCGAATATGCCAAAAATCTAATCAGCTCACCGCAGGGGACCATAAAACGTAAAAATCCGTGGAAAAAATCATGATTCCTATACTTTCCTTATATCCGTATACAGACGGGATCGTAAAAACCATATACGCCATGGATTACTAGAAACATAAAATTCATGTAAAAGCTGAGGCAAAGGGTTAAGAAAATTTCAAAATAGTGGTGCATTCCAGCTAATTTGTCTCATTGTAAACAACTTAGTTTGTAATGGAATAAAAAAGGGCATAACTCTTTGAAACAAAGTGTGTAAATGGAAATACTAAAGTGGACTATGAAAACGCATCGAAATTTTTAATCCTATTTATTTTAGAAGCAATCAGGCCCGACTAGAGGGGACTAATTCCCGGGGCCCGGGCTCAAATGGGGGCCCGGCAGCACTATAAGGGGGGCTCGACAATACGGTTTACATAAGAAGTGAAAGGGGAGGTGATGTGATTGAAAGTTAGAGGAAAAGTTTTAGCTTAGAGGAGTTTATTTTCGGCTGAGGACTTTTTTTTAGAAGAAGAAGTAATTAAGGTAGGGAGAAAATTTTCCAGACGAGGACTTTTTTTTTTTTTTTTTTTTTGTTAAGATTTTTTGTCACAGGGCCCGATGTAGAGAATTGTCCCGGGGCCCAGCCAGGCTCTCGGCGGCCCTGGAAGCAATCAATTAAATGGATAAACATCTTCGTTTATCCATTTAATTAGGAATTTAAAAGCAAATTGGCACAAAACATTTATAAGTATAATAAGTATAAAAGTAAAATCCACAAAACTACCAAACAACTATACTCTTTGACCAAACACTCGATACACCCTTTTGACTTTCCCGCTACTTTATATAACTTATTTCATTTAAATTTGCTGCTGTCGTCACAAAGAAGTAGACAAGACACAATTTGGCAACGTCGGTATTTGATACTGGTCACGTGCTATGTGCATCCGCTCAGTGTTGCCAGTCTAGTACAATAGTACTAGATCTAGTACATTCTCTGAGAATCTGGTACTCTAGTACACTCGAAACAAAATCTAGTACTTTTTCAGCGTAGGTATGTTTCCATTTGAAGTGTAAAATATATTGGTCAAAAATTGCAAGAGAACTCAAAATAGTTGTTAAAAATTACTTCAGAGATAAAATAGTAGACATTTCTCGAGAGATAAAACATTGTTTAAAAATTGCACGAGATCAAATATTGTTCAAATATGGCTTGAGAGGTAAAAAATTGGCCGAAGTATAAAATAGTATTAGAAATTGCTTGAAGGGTAAAGTATTGTTAAAAAATTTCTCTAGGGATAAAAATACTATTAGAAATTTAATGAGGGATAAAATATTGTTTAAAAATTCCTCGAACGATAAAATACTATTAGAACATGCTCAAGAGATAAAATATTGTACACATTGCTCGAGATAAAAAACAATGTTAAAAATTTATCGAGAGTTAAAATATTTTTATAAATTTGTCTAGAGTTAAAATATTGTGCAGTTTGCTAAAGAGATAAAAAAGTTGTTAAAAATTGCTCGAGAGATAGAATAATGTTATAAATTTATCGAAAGATAAAATATTGTTTAAATATAGCTCAAGAGATAAAAAAAGGTTTAAAAACTATTTGAGAGATAAAATAGTTCGAGAGATAAAATAGTATTATAAGTTATTAAAATCTTATTCAAAAATTACTCGAGAATTAAAAAATACTGTTAAACATTTCTCGAAAGATAAAACATTGTTTAAAAATTGTTGAAAAGATAAAAAATGTTAATAAAAATTGCTCGAGAGATAAAATAGTGTTCAAAAATAGCTTGCTCTAGTGATTAGTGTTAAAAATTGTACAAACATTGCTCGAGGGATAAAAAAAGTTGGTAAAAATTGCTCGAGAGATAGAATACTGTTAGAAATTTATTGAGAGATAAAATATTGTTTAAAAATAGCTCAAGAGATAAAAAAAGATTTAAAAACTGTTCGAGAGATAAAATAATATCAAAAGGTATTAAAATCTTTTTCAAAAATTGTTCGAGAGATAGAATAGTGTTAGAAATTGTTAAAATTTTGCTCAAAAATTGCACGAGAGATCAAATATTGTTCAAGTATAGCTTGAAAGGTAAAAAAGGCTGTTAAAAATTGTACAAACATTGCTCGAGGGATAAAAAAAAGTTGTTAAAAATTGCTCGAAAGATAGAATATTGTTAGAAATTTATCGAGAGATAAAATATTGTTTCAAAATAGCTCAAGAGATAAAAAAAAAATTAAAAACTGTTTAAGAGATAAAAGAGTATCAAAAGGTATTAAAATCTTATTCAAAAACTGGTCGAGAGATAAAATAGTAGGTTTGTTCCCGAAGCGAGTTCCAAACTTGTTACAAACATTATCTGATATGCATGCGTGAGCAGAATAATGTTCGGAATGAGTTCTAAATAAATGTGTGCTGGAACGTTAAAAAAAATAATGTTGCTGTTTTAACTAAATATAGATCATTCGATTATATTTTTTAAGAAAAGAAGATAATGAGGATGTACTTTATGATCAATTCAAAATCGCACAAACAAAAACTACCCTCCTTATTATATTTTTTGCTGTTACAACGCTGAATAAGATTTTAATCAAAATTAAAGATAATAGGCACTCACAAAACTAACTTAAAATCCAATTAAAAACAAAGGAAGAAAAGAAGAAAAATTATTTTAAATAAGCACGCATGCGCGAAAGTAAAAGTTCGTATTTTATTTAGGAACTACTAAAACTAGTTACAAACACGTTATGAACGTTATGAAGTTTTTAATTTTGCGGAAACGCCAAACAAGTTCAATTTGTTTGGAACTTAGCTCTGCTGGAACAGTTATTTTTTACTGCGCATACTCAATATGTTAGGAACTCGCTTCGGGAACAAACCTATTGTCAGAAATTTATCGAGAGGTTTAAAATTGTTGTGTTCGTGTTATCTATAAACCTTTTTTTGCTCTTTAATGACCATACTTCATAATTAGAAAAATCTGGTAATTTTATAGAATCTAGTACATTTTTATGAAATCTGGTACATTTTTTAGATAAATCTGGTACATTACAAAAATATATTCTGGCAACACTGCATCCGCTCATTCGATCCATCCGCTCCTAAGTTTTTGTGGTGTCGTCATCGTACAAAAACTACGCGAAGAATGGTTCGGCAATCCTAATCAATTGACATTTACGTCACCGGTCACATCTGTCACTACTGATAGACAAGTCAAAATTGCAGTGGGTTGGGTTATTCTGTAACTGGTCATTTATTTCATTTAATTGTCAAGAAGTTAATAACTTTTATGGAAATAATATTTACTTAGTAAATTGTTTAATGTACATTGATTTTAAATACTAAGCAAAATGAGTAAAAAGTGTGGAAGGTGCGAAAAGACGGTTTACCCAACTGAAGAACTCAAATGCTTGGACAAGGTAGGACGAGTTTTTTGTTTTGATTTTTTCTTGTGCACATGTATTAAGATGAGCACCACTCAATTGGCAAAAAGCATTCAATTTCCTGTTAAATATAATTCATTTGATTCTTTGAAAAGGTATTATAAGTTGGCATATGCAGTCAAGGCTGTTACAATAAGAATAAATGAGTCATGGAAATTAAACCACTTCCCTTAATGAGGTTACTATTCTGTTCCATTCGTAGAAAGCTTTACATTACACATCCTTTTATTAACTAATTGATTTTTACAGGTTTGGCATAAGCTATGTTTCAAATGCAAGGACTGTGGGATGGCCCTTAATATGAGGAATTACAAGGGCTACAATAAGGAACCTTATTGTGATGCGTAAGTTTAAGTGCTACTACTATATTTTCAATGCATTAAATCATTTTAAAAACAATTATAATATGCCCAATTTATTTTATATGACCTCTATTGAAGAACTGTTAACATGGATCCAACTGAAGACTTTCTTTCAAAAACAACACATGCCCGAATTAAGTTAACTGTAACAATTACTGGCCAATTGTTGTATTTACTGGCAAAAATGGTGGTTTCCTACAAAAGTAACATAGAAACTGAGATATTTACAGTCAAATATACAGTGTTTCTGCATAGTCTATTAGGACTGATAAATTGGTTTTTGTGTTTCTGACAAAAAGCGTATTTTGGATATGTGTCATTTTTGTAAAAAGGTCTTCAATTCCAAAGAAAATACATTAGGTATACCTACTCGAAATATTAAGTGAATAAAATCATATTTGAAGTAACATGTTTCTGATCTTAGATCTATTAAGAAAATTTGAAGTTGAATAGAAACTAATTTTAATAAAAGTTAAATCTAACAAGTATGTTTAATAGTTGAAAAAAAATAGTTATAAATAATACTCAGAACAACTAGAGTTTGGATTTTTCCAAAGTATGACATTTTTGTCAAGAATCTGTTTTACTAAGTTTAAATATTAATAGAGTGTTATCTTTATTAAACATTGATTTTTGTTTATTAATAAATGTTAAATTAAATTATGACTTTGTTATGATGTTAAATATTTATCTTCAACCTCAAAATCATTAAAAGTGAGAAGCTATAAAAAATATAGTATATCATTAGGTGTCAGTTAAATTTATTTAAATCACTAATAATGGCTTATATTAATATTATGTTTTTGCAATTTTATGTATATTACATATAAAAGTAGAATACCTACCTTAAAAAATTACTTAATTTAATAGTTCTTGTTTTTATCACAGTATCTTTAAATAATTGGGTTGCTCTACCATAACAATATAATTATTTTGGACATTTTCCTATTCCACTCAACCTTTGCAAGTTAATTGTAGTTTTCTTTAGTTCACTATCCCTAATTTTGTCCCATTTAGTATTGAGAGTGATACCGCGTTCTATTCAGACTAAGGCACAGACTGAGAATGTATTTTACAGTCTATATTCTGCTTTTTCTAACATCTCATTTTTTCCTAAGAATTGTTTTTTGTATTCCAGCCATATTCCAAAAGCTAAGGCAACAACAATGGCTGAAACACCTGAACTTAGACGAATTGCTGAAAACACCAAGCTACAGTCCAATATAAAGTACCATGCTGATTTTGAAAAAAGCAAAGGAAAGTTCACACAAGTTGCAGATGATCCTGAAACTTTAAGAATCAAACAGAACACGAAAATTATCAGCAATGTAGTTTACCATGGAGATCTAATTAAAAAGGCAGAAATGGAACAGAAGAGGCAAATAAATGAAAATTCAAATGGTAACATTGAAAATATAGCATAATTTTAGAATATTGTTACAAAAAATAATAAATATTAGAAATATATTTTATATAATTAAATTATCAAATTTAAAAATGAAGGCATTAATAATTTTCGATTTTGTATAATTATGTGTTGATAGTATTTTTTGTAGAATTAAGTTTTAAATAGGAATCTATTGAAACTTCATGGAAGTATTTTTATAATTTTCAAATTTATATTTAAAGAAAAAGTACCTACTGACTAAAAAAAGTAATCTTTATAGATCAATTAGAAATAGTTTTGATATATTTAGGGTTGTTTTTTATCACTCTAAATATATTTGTAAATTAATTTTTAGGTTTCAAAGATCCAGATATTAAAAACGCAAATCACCTTCCTATTCAATCTCAAACTCCAATTCAACCCCCACCTTCCTATAATCCTCCCTCTTCTTCCCAAATTTCTCAACCTGCACAGGTACCTACAGGGAATCCAAACCATATTGGTAAAATAAGTGAGTATGATCCTCAAGCTACCACTGGTAATTACCAAAGTCCGTACTCATCTAGAAATTCTCAAACTTTAATCTATTCTTCAGACGTTGGAAGTGTGAACAATCCACCCCAACGACACATAGGTGAGTTTCTTAAAAATAAATATGCTGAATTTTTAACATTTGTATTTATCATTTTGAGGCTTAAAGAAAATGATTTGGTTAAAATTTATACAGTCTGTTCACCTAAACTTGATATCTCATGTAGCTGTGGTAGGGTACTATATCATTATTGTAGAGTCAAAACCTCCTAACTCATATTTTAGCATACCTAAATGTAATTTTTTTAGAGATTCATTTTAAAAATGTAAATCTTTAACCATTTGGTATCTTTTTGACTTTCGGTGTTTTCTACTACATTAAAAAGCTACTTTTACAAAATTAACAATTACAAAAAAAAAGTTAGTGTTTCCTGAAAATCTGGTAATTTGATATATGAGGTTTTGACTCTAGGATGACGATATATATGTTTGAAAGCATTTGTCATTAAATTTGAAATTTCTATTTTTGTCTTAATGGGGGTTATGGCAATATGTTTATATTTAATTTATTTATTTGGAACTGTTACATAATTAAAAATAATTTCTGAGATGGGATAAGATCTGGAAAAGATTTCAAGTTACGCATTGTTGTGGCTCAGTCAAGAGTTGGTTATGTAATAGTAGGGGAGCCCTCTGCAAATTGTGGCTGTCATGAAATATGCTCCAAAAGTATGTAACAACATTTTACTGTACCAAACGGCACCTACTATCCTGAGCAAAGTAGTTTACATTCAAAAACCAAATCATAACAGCGATATTTTTGTTTGCCCTGAAAATTACAAACCTAATTCATTGTGAACCTACCTTTTAAACCTGAATTATTATTTTTACCTACCTTTTAAACCATGTGTGTGTGAAAGGAAGAAGGACACATTGGATAAACCATTTGCACAGGTAGTCAAGGGTAATATACCAAGACCTTGATAATAGTCGACTATTTTTGTTGAATCTAAATCTCGAGAATATTTTAATATCATTTTGATGAGATATAATTTTGGCATTAATAATCTGATTAGAGCCCTAGATCTTTATCTCGGGGGCTTTTATCAGTTGATTTATTAATGCCAAAATTATGGAGAATCAAATTGTAAATTGTTTGAGAAATTTAGCAACAACAAAAATAGCAGAACATTAATCAAGGTCGTGTTATATTTGGAACGACTATTTCACTAGATCAAATATCGACTATTTCTCTAGAAAAATAGTCGCTGATATTTGGTCTAGGGAGATAGTCAAGAGTAATATGCCAAGACCTTGATAATAGTCGGCTATTTTTGTTGAATCTAAATTTCGAGAATATTTTAATATCAATTTAATGAGACATAATATTTGGCATTAAAAATCTGATTAGAGCCCCACAGCTTTAGCTCGAGGGCTTTAATCAAGGGTAATATACCAAGACCTTGATAATAGTCAGCTATTTTTGTTGAATCTGAATCTCGAAAATATTTTAATATTAATTTGATGAGACATAATTTTTGGCATTAATCAATTGATTAGTAATGCCAAAATTATGTAGAATCAAATTGTAAAATGTTCAAGAAATTAGGTCCTGTTATATTTGGTCTAGGGAGATAGTCAATAATAATTATAAACTCTTGTTAGACAATTCTTTTAAACAATAATCATAGTAGTTTTTTTGTTATTTCTATAACAACCTGTAAAAATGATCACAACAATAAGTACTTATACAAATAAATCTTCAAATCAGCAAAAATTGATTCATATTTTTAAACCAAATTATGGATAGATGCTTTTGTGCGATGTTAAGGGGAAGAAAGTGTTTCCCTTTAACGATGTACTCAAGAAATATTTGAATATGTTATTTTCTGGAAAACTTTCAGGGTAAACAAAATTATCAGCAGTAATATCCCAAGGACAGCGATAATTCGAAATAATTTTTTTTCACTTACCAAAAGCTTGAGGTATTTAAAAAAAAAATTATGAGTATTTATGACACAAAATTTTTGGCATATTTTTACTCATTTATCTAATAAAAAATAACTAGTTACTTTAAGTCGATATTATATTTTTTTCTCATATTTACTGCCCAATCCTTCAGTATCAAAATTAGGTCTAAAATACCTCCATTTGCATCTAACACATATTTTCTAATTTCATAAAAGTTGTATAAATAGTTTCCACATATATATTTTTACTGTTAACTGTATTTATTGGTGTGTTTTCTTCGATTAAATTATCAATATTTTGATTATTAGTTTTACTAAATCGAGACATTTAAAAATAAATAAAATTGAAAGTATCAAAAGTTTTACTTTTTAAAAATGTCATATTAAAACTGGTTTACATATGGGGTACACCAGATTAACGTTTGTATTTAATAGTGATTGATAATGAAATAAGAAATGATAAAAGGTCATAAACAGTAAACCTTTTTAATAATTATTAAAATAATTATTAGACGACACGTCCAATTTTGAGTTTTATCATTTAGCGGAATATAAAATAGACGTAATAGTTCATACATAATGGTTTGTTTGGTGCAAACTTAAGTGATAACACCCCTAAGGAACTTGTCATAGCTGATTGGATATAATGCTGATACACGTGACTGAAAATGAACGATTTTAATTAGTTTTCTATTGATGCCAGAAATTTTCTCTGTAATGTATTATGTAATTTTTTGAATATACAATAATTTTTTTCTACTTTGCTCATGTTAGAAAGTATAATGTTTTTACATGCTTTTAGGGCTTATTTCATTTGGTTATCAGATAGCCAAAATTTGCAGTGGGCTCTTGGGCTATAATGAATGAGTTAAAATTATTCTATGACAGCTCTGAATTATTTTCTTTCGGCCAAGGAAAAAACTATAAAATGGGTCATCTCTTGTTATAATGAGTAAAAACTAATTAAGAAATACAAAATTGTGCTACATATCTTTTTGGTCCAATCATGTATGACTGGGCTTTTATACTAGAACTTTTTAAAACAAGACTCTTTGAAAGTTAAACAAATTTGTATTGAAATAACATCTGTTAAAATGTAATTGTAACAGATGTGTCATTTCATGTTGATGCTCTTTCAAAATTTCATGAATAACATACTTTTTTGTTGAATTGTTCTGGTTTTTATTTGTAATATTTTCATCAAATTTCAATAGGTGATTAGTCGCATATGCCTGGCAGTATCTGTTTTTACAAGAAAACGTCACTATTCATTCTTTTGTGATAGTCAGTCTTGATTTTAAAATGAGGAATATTCTTTATTTCTGGTTACAATAGCTTCGTTCACGAAGCCGATCCCGAACGTATTCTGAAAGAAAGAAATCTTTATTTACTCGAAAAATACCTTTAGAGGTGTAGAGCAGCGGTTCTCAAACTTTTTTTGGCGACGGAACCCTTTTGGAAAGCGAAATATTTGACGGAGCCCTAACATAATAAAAATAGATTTTTTAAACTTTATATTAGAATATTTAGATAGATTTTATTTCACTCTGCAACCTTATTTTGTAACTGGTATTTTCGCGGAGCCCCTACAGAGGCCCGTATTTTCAAGTGGAATATATTTTTCTAAGGCACCTTTTTTGTAAAATAAATATATGTTGTGCATCTGCTGAATTACCCCCAGAAAATTATTCCATAATTAATTCCAGACTGCACAAAGGCATAGTATGGGGGTAGAGCAGTAGTTTGATTTATATTAGCTGAAAGTATTCTTAGAGCATAGCTAAATTTGGAAATATTACCCGATACTTGTTGAATGTGTTTTTTCCAGTCCAATCTCCGATCAAGCGTCACTCCCAGGAAAGTGAGGTTTCTAAAATATATTTTTGTCCTTGTATGTAAATATGAGGCTTTCTTCATCCGTGTCATGACTAAAATTAATCACTTGAGTTTTATTGATATTTAACAGGAGATTATTGTTTTTAAACCAATGTTCTAGTGTATTTAATGTGGAATTTAGTTTTCCTTTGCATAAATCAAGTGTTGGTTCACTAAAAATCAATAAAGTGCCATCGGCATATTATACTAAAATTTCATTAACAACTTCTGGTAGTTCATTTACACATAGTATGTGGAGTAAAGGACCCAATATGGAACCCTGAGGCACCCTTTTTTATAGATTTAATATCTGATTTAACTAGACTATTTTTGTCTATTGAGTAAATATGATTTCATAAGAAGCAGTGGTACCCGTACTATTCCCATTAACTCCAGTTTCCTACATAGAATGTTGTGATTAACACTCTCAAAGGCTTTACACAGGTCCAAACATAGCGGCGACGTCTTCTGATTTTTAATTAAGGATTCAGTAATTATTTTTAGAGCTTGATATATGGCACCCACTGTGCCTTTTCCCTTTACTTTCTAAGAAGGTCTCAATTCTGATAAATACATTTGTTTAAAATATATTGTTTATATTTGAAAGTAAGGAGATTGGCCTGTAATTTTTAACATCATATTGTTCACCTTTTTTATATATTGCCTGCACATAAGCTAGTTTTAATTTTTCTGGGTAGACACCAGTACAGAAACAATAATTAATAATATTTATTTATTTAATAAAAATCCAAACAGGCTTAACTAGCCTAATTACATGGATAGTATAATTTAAGTAATTTTTTACAGGCGACATAATATTAAAGTATTTTAATTGCAGAGGATAAATCACTTTAAATGGTAGAATTAAATAATTTTAAGAAATTTTACATGTTTTTAAAGTAGTTGTTATTTATATTATTTAAATTCAAAAGGTATCGAAGTAAGATATTATCAACTTTTTAAATTGTATTAAATACAGAGACCAATCTAAGTTTACTATAGTATTAATATTATTGGCCAAACACAGAATTGAATAAAGTGGAGAACCAGCAGAGTTTTGTATATTGAATATTAAGGAGTTCCGTGTGCGTTTAGGAGGGACATGAAACGGTATGTAGTATAAAAGTCTGCTACAGTTTGTTTGATTATTTATCACTTTGAATAGCAAGTTCATCATTGCTATTTTACGTATCGTAAAGACAGGATTTTAAATTCTTCACGTAACATTTGAGATCTTACATAATTATATATATATAATGATACTTTTTATAGTATGTATAACGTAGGTATTTATTTTGAATTTTTTCGACAGAATCTAGATATATTTGCGGTTGTTGCCCCCAAATCATACAAGCAAAATCTAACTTTGACCGGACTAATGTTTTATATAATAAATCAATTGTTTTCAAATTATAAAATAGTGCTGTTTGTCTTATAATAAAACCTAATGTACGATTGGCATGATTTAAATGATTCGCAATTTGGCATGCTTCTTCTTTTAAGAGGACCACTGGTACTACAGATTTTTTATTCTTATCTCCCTAAGTGACATCAAACTAAAGGTACAAGTTTTCATTGGTTATTATATTGTCATAGTTTATTACTTCATCTTGTGCAATAATAATAAATAATGAAAAATTGATTTGTTATGTTTAGGATATTCAAGATATCTGCCTACTATTTTCTAGAAAGGAGTTTTGTCTTGAATTATTTTTTGTTATTTCTTTTACAAGTGACCAAGTGGCTTTGCTTTTATTATCAGATTTTCGGATGAACTCTTTTCGAGACATTTGTTTTGCTACCCTTACAACAGTTTTTTAGGACAGTACTATATTGTTTATAATGTTCATTTGAGTTATTTCCATTTAGCATTTCCCTATATAAGAAACGTTTGTTTCAACAAGATGTTTTTATACAGATGTAATCCATTTTCTTGTCCTTTTCTTTTTGAATTCTTTTACTGGAAAAATTGTCTATGTTTTTATTTTATAATGGAATAAATCGTATGTAGTATTGACCTCGACAGTATCCATAATATTTTCCCAAGTTTCAAATTTTAGTTCTTCGACAAAATGTCGAGTTTTTTTTTTGTTTGAAAATGTGCTCCTTTTTGATGTTTTTTCCATTTGCTCTCTAGATCGACCACATGGATATTTTTATAAACATGCAAATTAACGAATATATTATCTCTTAGAGTCCTGCTTGTTTTGGTTACTCTTGTAGCTTCAAAAACTAGTTGTTAAAAATTATTACTTTCAATTATATCTATAAAAGTGCCAGACTGATAATTTATTTCAAAGAGATTGATGTTGAAATAACCAGATACTATTATTTTAAAAGTTTTAAATTTATCACTATTGTAAGATTCATCTAGCCTATCAATAAATATTGTAAAATTTCCTATACATTTTTCATTGATTTCAATGCATGCACATTCAATCACACTTTCAATACTTAGGTTTTCAACATGTTCGACCACCTCAAACAATTAAAACTTGTCACTAGTATACAGAGCTGGGCAAAATACTTTTTAAAAGTATTTAAATACTAAATACTTTTATATAAATTCGAATATTTAAATCTTAAATACTTTTTTAAAGCAAAAGGTATTTAATAACAAATACCTACAGTATTTATATACTTATTTGGGATAAATACTTACACAAAAGTATTTGAATAAATAAAAAGTATTTAAATGCTTTAAAAGTATTTAAATACTTATGTAGTATTTAAATCCTTGAAGTATTTAAATACTATAATAATAATAAAACAATTATATAATTTTCTTAAATATTAGAGTACATAGCTAATAAATACAACAGAAAAAATAATATTTTTTCGTTTTAGTACATATAAAAAATATGGTATTTAAAAAAATTATATACAGATTTCAAGGGATGAATCCCCAATGAAAAATAAGAAACAAATTTAATATCATATATGTCACCTTAAAACTGCTTTATCAATTACGATTCAGTTCTGAACTGTTTAAATTATAAAAAGTAAAATAAAGCCTCTATTAGCTAATTGGAAGTTTGTTTAAAATAAATTGCAAAATTTATACCGAACATACAGACATACATATATACAGGAAAGCGAGTTAATAAAAACGTGCTGAAGAACGTATTCTTATAAGTACACTGCAAGAAAAAAATGCGTGTTTTACGCAGCAGAGCTGGGTAATTCCTAGTTAGAAAGTAATTAATAATTACAATTACTTTTTTCATGTAATTTGTAATTGTGTTTAAGTACTTTTCTCTCTCTCTCTCAAAGTAATTTGGAATTGTAATTGCAGCAAAATCTGCGAAGGAATTGTACTTTGTAATTATTTTAATTTATATTATTTAAATTGTGTAAATACAATTACTTGTCATAAGTACAATTACTTTTCCAATTACAATTACATTTATAAATATCAAATTTTTCAAGCCGTATACGAGGTTTGTCAAAAAATATGAATTTTGCTCAAGAGTAAAGTACGTTTATTTTTGACAAAATCGAAAATTTTCACTAAGAAAAGTTGATTAGAATTGAAAATTACATTCAAATATGCAATTACACCGATCTATCTGAAAAAACAGATTTTCTACACATTGATTGTAAATATCTGAAAACGTTATAAATTACGTTAGCTTTTGAAACATGCTCTCTTTTTTCCTATAAACATAATACGCTTTCCTTTTCTTGATGTTTGTGAAGAATTTAGCAATTTTCTTAATGAAGAGTAAGTAAGAGTAAAATCACAAATCATAATAATACATACTTACCTTGGTTTATTTCTTTTATCTTGTAACACAAATCACAACTTGACAACTACCACAATGAAGAATCTTCTCTAACTCTTAAATACGAACTGATACTTCAGCACTTCATCCAGACTATTTTGCACATTTGGTTTAATAACAAGTTGAAACTTGTTATAACATGTTACCAGAAAAGTATTTAAATATCAGAAAATTATTTAAATTCTTAAAAAGTATTTTAATACCTAGTATATAAATACTTTTATTTAAATAATAAAAAGTATTTACATATAAATACTGCCCAGCTCTGCTAGTATATATACAGGCTCCTCCATGAACAGAATTTTCTCGAGATACACATGACATGTCCTTCTCTTTGGAACAAAGCAAATGTTCAGTAAAACGCAATACATCTGGTTTAAGATCCGATGTTTTCAAGTGAGCTTCGATATCAGCAACTTTATTTTTCAGGCTTCGTATATTTAAGCGCTCCTTCGCTTTTTTGTGTAGGTAAACTTTGTTTCGTTGGTGGGTGGTGGTGAGTGGCATCTTTCTGCTCGATGGTTTGGACAACATTGATCTGTTAGTGTACATTTTTTTTAGTTCACTTTTTGTTATTTTTGGGATATCTTGGAAGTACTTGATGCGAAGGTTGTTTTCTCCGTTTTGAGTCCTTTGAAGCATTTTTGCTCTTAGTTGCCTGTACTTTTCTATCTGTGTTCTAGTTGTATCAAAACCTAGTGATATAGTAGACCGTACACGCCTACATAACCATTTATACAATACAAATCCAGTTACAATATGCAGTGTAATTTTTACCTTAGCGTTCAGAATGCGTTCGGGATAGGCTCCGCGATCGACGCTAATATATTTTGTATTCCATGATCAAAATTTCTAAATAATATATTGTAACGATTGTTTAATTTAAAAACAGTTTATTAGAAATAATTTATTTATAACGTACTAATTTATTTATTACAATTTATCTTTTCTGTCCAACACTTAAATTGAATCTTAACCTTTATCGACAAGTCGCGCTATTTATACAGAAATGTAACACTATCGAAAGAACCAACTCTGACTAGAAGCTAAGTCTAGAAGTTCTGGAAATTAGTCTCCACGCGTCAGACTGCGATGGAAAACATTCTATTCGGTTTCTGGAGTATCGAGATGGGTCTCGATATTCCAGCGCTAGACTTCCTGTCGGGGGTACGGTAATAAAGAACAGAGGCGGCTTTACGCGACAATATAAACAAATTAATATTAAGTTTAGGTGAATATAATCTTGTTTCTAACGAATTGTTAGTTCTCTTTTTTGACAATGTCCTTTTACTTTTAAATGTATCTTCAAATACAGGATCAGTACATGATATGGATCCAGTCAACCACAATTATGGCTCTTTAGGTCGAGTGTACCGCGCCATGTACGACTACGAAGCGCAGGACGACGACGAAGTAAGTTTTATAGATGGCGACCTTATTATCAATGTCGGAAGCATTGATGGTGGATGGATGACTGGCGAAGTGCAGCGCACTGGCCAGATTGGAATGTTGCCTGCCAATTACGTACAATTGGCAAATATTTGAAAAGTTTAGTTTTTACTTTTTGACATTTTTATGATAATGTTTTCGTACTGCATTAAATATCCTAGTGAAATATTAAAAAATTGATTATAATGTTAGCTACTAAAAGACAATTTTTTACTCAAGCAAACAAAAGCGATTAGATTTTTAAGTAAAAAAGACTTAGGCCTATAACAGTGCTTTATTAATGTTTTAGTAGTCTACTTCATAATCAATTTACTTTACCAAAATATTGGGCTTCCTTATACCGTTAATCTGGGATATTTAGTGCAAATTTATTAAACCAAACACATTTGTAGTAGAGGCAGTAAATAGTTTACACTTTCGGGTCAAGTTAATATACAGTGTCCGCGAAAATAAGGCATTCATTCCACATAAAAACTATTATTTTTTGAAGAGTAACTATTAAGATCTGGGGAACAACTGGCAAATAAATCATTGAAGACTGTTTCGGATGGTTGAAATAATGAAATCTACAGCTATCCATTAAAATTTTCAAGTGGAACAATAAAATTAACAAGTAGAAGCTGAGGGACTTATTGTAAAACCGTGACAAGTCACATTTTTTAAAATAAAAGCATTTTTATTTCACGACAATAAAATATAAGGTTACAAAAGCCATAAACCAAATGGAAATTCTGCAACAAATACCGTCATTAGCCAAAAAATCAAGGTATTGCATTTTAACAAAGTTTTAGTAGTTTTGGAAGTTTATTTGAACCTTTAAAGACGTATTTCCTCAATAAATTAATGGGGCTTGTCATGTTAATCCAATAAGCCCTTCAATTATAACATGTAAATTAAAACCTAGGAAAACTTATGTTTATTGCATATAGTCACGAAAGTTGACTTGCGTGTACAAAATGAGATAGGCAATGAAATTTTTACAAAAAAAAAATGGTTGAAGTGTATTTATATTAAACCACACAACCTCAAAATTCGGATACCATTCAACATGAATTAATATATGCATCGTTGTCAGACGTTATTCTTACAAATAAATAATATTTAAATTATTGGGAAAATGAATGACTTCAGCTATGTCTTTAAGGAAAGCATTGTTTTCACGAACTAGTACATTTTATTAAATATTACCGAACTAATTTAAAATCAAATTTGTTAAATTCACATCTTTTGTTTGTAACATAATTTGAACATTCCTAACCTGGTACCACTTAATACCTATAAACATAAATATGATCCATTCAATATGGAATGTGGTACCTACTTTAAAAATGCATTATTTATAGTTGCAAAAAAATATACACTATAAATTGACAATAACACTTTAAATCTCCTTTTAATTAAAAAAATATTTATAAATATAATATTTTTTTGCCATTTTTTATATTTTTTAAATAAATAAAAGCCTGATAATCCTAGAACCAGAATGAATTTTTTTTGTGGATTATTAATGTTATAAATCTTTCAATATAAACAAAAATAAGTTGCTTGCAATGTGCCAATATTTAAAACTTATTAAAGCAACAAGCATATGAGTAAATATTTACAAAATTATATCAATCACGTTTGCTGTTTAATTAATTACCAAATAAAACTGCGTTTTTTGAACATACATAATTAGTAATAACTGTACACTATAAATCAAACTACTTTGTAAATATTTTCGAATATTTAAATTAAAATTCGTCCCGTTAGACTGCCTCGTTATCTGCATTTCCAATTTAATTTAATGTATACCATGAATTTGTATAAATCAGTGTAAGCAATAATCGATCACTTATAAAATTTGCCTAAAAAATCGATAGAAACCCGATGAAAATATTGATATCATTCCATTAGCCATTGTACTTGCCATTTTTTGGTAATTTTTTATTATGTGACCTTCGTTTACGTATTTTTTTTATAATACTTATAAAACTGACCAAATTAAGGAGTAACACGAGTTTCAATTTGATTTCTTATCAAAAAAATAATCATTTAAAACTTTTAATGAAAGCAATTGTAGAAAACTTCTTATGTTTGACTCAGTACAGGTTGGTTTATTAATTCTTTTAAAAAATTAATAAAAAAAGTTGAAAATATAAATATGGGAAATAATCCCAATCTTTCCACAAATCACCCCACTAAGAGTGAACCCTATAAAACACTGCTTTGGAGGAGAGGGTGGCTATTATTATCATTGCACCCCAGGTGATTGATTGTGCCATTTGACATACAGGTGAAGAAAAACCTTACTCATCATCATAAAACTAGTAGTAAGTATGTTGAATCATCTATTGATGACAACATAGTTGATGGGTGAAAAAGAGCATCCATTTAAAAATTCTAGAAATCAGTTTGGATTAATCATTGAAAAATATCAAATTGAAATTCGTGCATTGCATTAGTAATTATTTTTAAATACGGTCCAACAACTGTTTATTATTACATTACCCAACCCTGTGTATTTAAGAACTTCATTCCAATTGCATTTATTTATCAAAAAAGTTTTTTTATCCATTTAGATGAAGCTATTATTTGTGCCTTTTAATAAATATTACCTAAGTAGCATTTTTATATTGTTAATAGTAATTGTATATAGGATGAATTATATTTTCTTTATTAACAATGGAATCATATAGATCCTGGCTACAAATGAAATGTTCATACATTTTCATGACCAAATTTATAAAAGTATTATTCACTGTGATGAAAGCGTTATTTTTTATAGAAAAGACTTTAAAAAAACTGTAAATTTGATCAATTTTATTATGCCAAAAGAACGAGTAGAGAGAAAATGGGTACACCAAATACACGCTCATTAACCTTGGAAGTCATGCATCTGGAAATAAAAACTTAAAATCAATTTTGGCGGTAAGAGATTTCCTTTTGGATTTCGCGAAAAATAAAGGAATGAAGATAATTTTCATGTTCCAGAGTTCATTTTTCCATGATTGTATCAACAACATAAGTTACTGGTTCCCTAGAATTTAAACCTTTCCAAAATGTCTCGTGATAAAATTGGAAAACGGAGATATGTACTTTAGAAATATTTAACGATGTTTTATAAACAAACACCTTTTGAGGACCACAATGTTCCTTCGTATAACATATAATTCGTAGATTTTGGCTGGGATTCCAACACAAATAAACAAATTTAATTTATCCTATATTGACTTTTAATCAATTTTACAATGTTTGTATATTTATAATTATATCATACAAGGTGTCTAAAAGTCTGCTAATTTTTTCATTGTGATTTTTAATACATTTGAGATTTGAAATTAGTATTTTCGAAGTAATTTTATAAATATTATACATCATTTAGGTACTAAATCAGCCTTTAACTAACTAGGATATACATATCTAAATTTAAGATGTTTTTTAGATGCTATATACACTTATACACTTTTTAATGTATGACCAAGATAAAGAAACTCATTGGATCTGTAAAGATTGAGGAAATTTTTACAATTTTAACAAATTGTAGGTGTGTTGAAGTTCATTGTTTGACGTAATTAAATATATAATGTTGGCCTTAATATTCTGTTGAAATGTTATTAGTAAAATGTTTATACTATAACATAGTGAGATATTTTTTAAGAAATATGTCAACTGTATTATATTATCAAAAGCAGGGTAAGACATTTGACGATTATTTTTGGTTGGGTATGTCACTCAGTTTTGATAATTTTCTAATAAAAACAATGAATCTCTTAACACTTTTTTTACTGAAAAATCTAGTTGTATAGTTGACATTTACACCCTGAAATAAAGAAGCATTTATTTTATTATTATCAATTTAAGTAGTTACATTTTTGTCTTTCTTTAGTATTTTACAGATACTTCATGATCACCTAACCAAGTTTTAATGGTGAAAAAATTCTGTTATCACCTATCCAAAAGAACTATGTAGGATAATTAAATAATTTATGTATAAAGTTCAGGCGTTAAATGTAGCTACTTTTTGACAATACCATACATTTTGATTTTAACTTAACAATTTGCTCATTACAAAATTGTTTTGTATTTGTATTGTTTTTGTCAAAGTTATTTTCAGAATGTATCTTACCATTTTGTATATTTATTCCCTTTGTACTTTTTAACTTAACTTCTCGGTGCTTTTTTCTTCATCATATCAAATTGTTAATCATATTCGCAAACAAATCATATCTTTTAATTTGTAATATTTTAATATTCACATCACCTATCTTCTTTTCCTTTGTTTATAGAATTTCCTTTTTTTATTTTCAGTTTATCATGATTACTAAATTCTTAGAAAATATCCTTTTATGCTTTAATTTTGTGAATTATAGTTATTATAACGTGTTAAATAAAAGTATCAATCCAAAAATGACTTTCATTTAAAAAACCAACTTGTTCCTAAGAATTCAAAAATAGCCTGCCTGTAATTGTACAAATCCTGAACTACCTACCCAATACAACATTTGTATATTATTTACTCTATATATAGTCACCAGTTGTAAAAACATTAACCAATTTATAAAGTTTACCAAATTAATTTTGACCATTATTTTATTCTAAACAAAAATATCGACTTATGTTGCCTCAGGAATTTGGATGTTGTAACTTTTTAAAATTTTCGTAAACGTCTGTAGATCAGCTTTTCTTTCCAGTTGTTCAATTTCCAATCTAGTTTGCGTTGCTTTCAGAGTTTCTTCAGCTAATTCCAAATTGTCTGCTAAATTTTGTTCTAATGGTCTCAAATAACAACTCGATGAACTATAGCTTCCTCTGCTGGAAAATGAAATGAATTTATTCTATTATTGTGTAAATGGGAACTTGAACATGTTTCTCTCAAATTTAAATTTTCTTAAAAAGCCGTCTATGAAATTCAGGCTAATATGTTTGTGGAAGATATTGGAAATTTTACAATTTTTTTTAAAATGCAGGTGTAATTACATTACTTGAAAGGGACACTTATGCATAGAGAGGGGGTACATGACAAATTTACAGCCATATTTCTCTTATGCGTACAAGTGGGAAAACTGCAAGTATAGTGAGCAAAGTCTGTCGTCGCAATTTGCTTGTTATTAAAAAACGACCACTAATAAAGTTGAATATAACGACAAACACATGAACTGACAAGGAGCAGTATAGACAGCTAGTATATAGACACTTCTTGGTGACATAACTTTAGAACGGCATACTAGTTGACAAGGCTAGAGAGCCGGTTCAAGTACTAATTAAAGTATTAAAATATGTACTGTTGGGTATAAACAGGGTTTTCCCCTAAAACCCTCAAAGCTCTAACTTAAATTTCTACTAACTTGCTTGTTTCGAGTTCCATCTTAGCGATAAGCGCTTCTGCTTTCGTTAATTTATGCTTTTCTAATCTAAGTAAAGATTGTGTTTTACCATGATTTTCTCGTTCCACATTTAATCTGTGATTTACAGTTTCAACTACTTTTAAAACGTCTTGATACTTATCCTCAGTTTCAGTTGCTTTATTTACCTATAACATATCAAATTTTAAACATCTATAAAAAAAATATCAGGTTAATCTTGTAGTTTAGGGTTCTAGGGTTATATACTAACATTTGAAATCTAGGAAAAACAAAATTTGAATTATAATAAATTCGAGGATTTTTTTGGAAATGAATAAAAATATTCTGTGTCCACAAAATTAAAGTATAAAAAAAAACTGCAAAACAAAAATGGACATATAGTCTCTCATCCGATTGCAAAAAGTGGCACGTCGCCTTTTTCTCGTTATTTATAGAATGGTACTGGATAGGAGGTGAACAATAACATGTACTATGTCCCGGTGGTGGGAGCTGTCATGTAACCTGTCGAATTCAAAATTTAACGCATTTTTTTCTGAATCTAAGATGGTCCAAGAATTTTTTTGTGTCTCCGAAAGGGTTGATATGCAAACATAAAATTTGCAACCTGCCAAAAAGTGACCCGTTTTTATATGTTTAAAATCGGAACCAAAAGTGGAGTAATTGATCTCAAAATCTTTGTATGACTCTTAAATAAGAGTATTGTCCTTACAAGCGTTTTTTTGTATTAGGTAGTTCTACCCCATTCAGCCTTTTTAGGTTTTATTTCCTTGCAAGGGCAATGCCTTTATTTGAGAGTGATTAAAACATTTTTCGACTTTTGGTTCAGATTTTACACCTATTTCAAAAACAGCAGTTTTCCTCAAGTTGCATTTTTTGCATATCAAACTCTTTCACAGACACGAAAAATCTGATGTGTTCAACACATGACTTTCCTCATTCCTGTCTAGTTATTACAGGCTTTTTCCGCTTATTTTGTACAACCTACCCAGACAGCACACCAAATCCTTTGGATATCTACTGAACATCCCAATATCCACTGAATGTCCAGTCCATGGTAGATATCTATTTTATATCCATGAAATGTAATTTATAGACATGCAAATGTCCATAAATAATAGTAATTATATAGCAAATTATTAAAAAATTACGCCATTGTGGCTAATAGTACCGTTCAGATATTTAAAATTAATTTTTTAAGGTGTATTCAATATCCTATGAACATCCACTAAATATATCAAAGTCTAGGCACGAACGCAAACCATCGTGGATATCCACTAGATGTTATTTGATTCTGCTTACTAAGTATAGATGGCGATACCACTATCGCATCTACTCATGCTCGACCCGCCGTAATTGAGTTCGATCGAAATGTGTCTGTCCTAATCACTCCATTAGAGACTGGAGTCGAGAATGTTCATTTATTGCTGAAGAGTCCTAATAAGGATGACTTTCTCCATAGTGGGCAAAATCAAATGCAGAGTGTTGAAAATATTTTTTATCTCTGCTATTTTCTTCCGACGTTAATCAATAATCATTGGTTACTTGTTACTTATGAACCTCTACTAAAGATACCCATAAAATATTTTGCTGAATATCCGAATATCTTCTATATCCTGGGATATAGACGGACATTTGGTTGGATATCCATATTGGATATATTGAATATCCACAAAATATATTATGTGGATATCTCTGTGATTTCTTGTATTTTCTGGAAGATACCCATTAGCAAAGAATACCTACCCAAGAAGCGAAACTGAATGAGTTTTCGTATGTACCAATGCATGGGGACTTAATACACTGGGAAACGTATGAAAATTAATAAATTTTTGTCGTTTGGTTCATAAGTATTAAACACATACTAAAGTAACAATGGGTTCGTTCACCGTCATCAAACAGTTTCGTACGATTACGAATCGGTAAAAGGTAAACGAGCCAAGCCGAAACAGCTTTTTTGAAACCGTTTGTTAAAACTTAAAAGCGCAAATTAAAGTCGTTTCTACGTTTAACAATCAAAAGTATGCCAAATGGGAACTAAAGGAAGGGTTCTGTGGCAGTGTTGTTTTCGCAAGTTGAAGTAAAATGCGTTTTAACATATTTTAACATAATTTCAATACCTGACTCAAAATGTTTGGAATAATAAATGATACTAGGTTAATTTAAAGTACAAACTCTATAAAGATATGTCAAATTATTTCAACCCGTCCTTTGTTCGTTAATCGTCATCTAAAGTGACCATATTTTGAAAATTAGAAAGTGGGATAAATCAAAAACATTGAGATTAGGAGATTTCTTGTCAAAGAATTCTATTTTTTTAAGTAGTACTTCACTGGAGAGCAAAAAAACGTCACCTAACAGCATAAAAGCGGGATAAAATCGGGACTACTGATTTAAAATTGGGACTGTCCGACCTAAAACGGGACGGATGGTCACTTTACCGTCATCGCAACTGTTTACATGAAGCATAGAAACGTACGATTCCTAAAAAAATCATTAACTAAATGACAGTGAGCACGGCCAATGAAACAGAAAATTCTTACTATGTTCATTATGTAAAATAGATTATTTTAATAAAGAAATAAGTACTGTAGGTACAATAATGACAGTCACTACACAATAGCGTAAGCAGAAAATCTAGTCATTCTGCAAATAGGGCATTTTAAGAACATACTCTGCGATAGAATGCAAGTATGTCTCAAAATTATAGGACAATGGTGCAAGGATCATTCACTGTATATCAATCTCAAGAAAATGGAAATGGTCCTTTTCACAAGGAAAAGGATGAAAATGAAATTGAAACCTCCCGAGCTCCTAAACACAAAACAAAACTTTGCAACCATCAAGACAGAATGAAGTAGAGACGACATAAACATTGTTTTGCGATATGACATAAGGACGCACTTCTAGTGACGAAAAAGTGCTATGAAAATAACGACTTTAGTCGAACTTTGATTTATTTGAAGTCAATCATTTTATATTTGAATTCTGACGGAATGACAATAATTATATATCATTTAAATGCAGCTATTTAAAAAAAAATGGCATATTATTCTCACCAAAACTGATTAGCTTCACTATCTCGAATTTGACATATGACGTAAAAATGTAATGCAAAGGTGCGGACACTTTAGCATCGTCATAGCATCTCTTCTCTTTATTCTATCTCAATACTTGCAACAGAGGTGAAGCAAGTTAACAGGGAACTCGCACATGGAAAACAGAGTCACAAGAGCATACATTGCTTATGAACAATACCGTCGAACCGTGGGACCCACCTGGGGTTTCTTCCCCAGAGTCATCAATGGACTTACATTGCCATCATAAAACACATATGCTAACATCCGGTGCAGTTGTCTAGGTACCGAAAATCTAAAAATTGATAGCTATCCGCAAACTAGAACAAATTCAAATAACAGCATTTCTCAACATAAGATCCATGAAAAACACACCAACCAGAGCCATGGAAGTCGTTCTTAGTATTACTCCCCTTGATATTAACATCAAGGAAGTTACTCTGATGACAATGACACGCCTCTGTACGATTGGAATAGAACATGATGTAGGATCTGATGAGGCGAGATGTTACTTTTGGCAAAAGGCGCTCGATATGCTCTCACAGCTTCAAGCTGACATGAACTTCATCTCACCGAGATTTATCTTCCATAAGCCATGTATCAAAGGTCAAGCCACATCGAAGGGTAGCCGTCTTGTTGATTCACTAGCCAAGAAGGCAGCCAATTAAATACTTTTTGGACCTGGCCCTTCTATTGGACTGACAACATCGGTAGTAACAAATCTAATTGAAGAACATTGCCAAGGAGCTTTTAAGTGTTCCTGACAACACTACAGGAAACAAATACTTAACTATGAGTTGACAGAATTTGCGCCTGAATACAGGCATTCTGACTGATCATTGATCTCAAAGGAAGTACGGAAGCATCTCCATATTATGGAGCTGTCAGAATCCGCACCCTGCAGGGGGTGCGAAAAAGAAGATGTGACCATCGAGCATATCCTGTACGATTGCCCGATGCTCTCATTTATTAGAATATTTGTTTTAGGCGAGTATTGTCTAACACCGACCAATAAATGAGAAGCACCTCTTGGCAACGTTGTCAACTATATTAAACCTGAAGGCTAGCTCACGAGCTAGGAGGTGCCTATCCTCCTAGAAGGAAGCACAATGGACATAGTGAGGCATAAGTGCCGTGGGGTAACCCACTCTCCACACGTCACATATATAGGAGTACTCCCAGACAGCACACCAAATCCTTTGGATATCTAATGAACATCCCAATATCCACTGAATGTCCAGTCCATGGTGGATATCTATTTTATATCCATGAAATGTAATTTATAGACATGCAAATGTCCATAAATAATAGTAATTATATAGCAAATTATTAAAAAATTACGCCATTGTGCTCGCCATTGTGGCTAATAGTACCGTTCAGATATTTAAAATTAATTTTTTTAAGGTGTATTCTATATCCCATGGACATCCACTATAAATATAAATATATCAAAGTCTAAGCGCGGACGCAAACCATCGTGGATATCTACTAGATGTAATTTTTGATTTTGCTTCCTAAGTATAGATGGCGATACCACTTTCGTATCTACTCATGCTCAACCCGCCGTAAATGAGTTCGATCGAATTTTTTTGGCAATCACACTCTATTAGAGATTGGAGTCGAGAATTTCCATTTATTGCTGAAGAGTCCTAATAAGGATGACTTTCTCCTTAATGCCCTTATAGTGGGCAAAATCAAAGCAGATTGTTGGAAATATTTTTTATCTCTATTTTCTTTCGAGGTTATTCAATAATCATTGGTTACTTATGAACCTCTACTAAAGATACCAATAAAATATTTTGCTGAATATCTGAATTCTATATCCATATTGGATATCCACAAAATATATTCTGTGGATATCTCTGGGATTTCTTGTATTGTCTGGAAGATACTCATTAGCTATTTTGCTGAATATCCATAGGATATCTTCTATATTCTGGATATAGACGGACATTTGGATATCCATATTAGATCCACGGAATATTTCTGATATCCTGTGGATATATTGGATATCCACAAAAGATATTCTGTGGATATCTCTGGGATTTGGTGTGTTGTCTGGGCTGTAGGTAGCTGTAAATGCATTTCGATTGCATCCTGATTGCAGCGACTTGGTTCCTCGGAATGAATTTGTCATATATTTTAATTATTGTTTTGTATTATTTTTTATTTACTGTTTTAATCCGAATTAATTGAAAAACAAAAAAAAAACAAATTTTAAATAAAAGACTATGAATTTAAACGATGCATAATGCGTAAAACATCATTAGAGGTAATACTGATTTAGAAATTTGAAATATAAAACATTTACAGCCAGATGCTAGAACGGTCATTAAAATTTACGAACAATGCAATGTATTTGTTTCAAATAATAAATATCTTAAAACTATCTAATTTCTAATTACATAATAGTTAAATACAACTACGTACTTTACTGCAATTTTCACAAAACGCTAATGATAATATACCAAACGTTGCTCTACATAAATTGACAGCATGTTTGACGTTAAACCACCTCTAAAACACTGAGAAAACTTGGCAGTTTTTTGTCCACGAATTGCCCATTTAGTTTCGCTTCTTGGGTAGGTATTCTTTGCCCATTAGATATTTTGCTGAATATCCATTAGGATATCTTCTATATCCTGGATATAGACGGACATTTGAATATCCATATTAGATCCACGGAATATTTCTGATATCCTGTGGATATATTGGATATCCACAAAAGATATTCTGCGGATATCTCTGGGATTTGGTGTGTTGTCTGGGTATTGTTTGAAGCGGAACGGCGTTCCGGGACCTCTATAAAAAAAATCGGCACTAAAGTTTTAAAAAATTGACACTCAAATGTTTTTTGTCAGTGAGTTAACTATGAACACCTATTAAACTGACGAAAAATTGGAGAAAATCGTTTCGAGACAGCGCTTACAAGAAAAGGAAGTTACTAGAAAAATATTACAAACGGCACATAAGCTTGTTAAATAAAATCAGTCCTTTAACAATTTTGAAATTTATTAAATCAGTTTCATTTTTAAATAGGTTTAAATCCTTTATTGACAAACTTTATGTTGTCTATCATGCTTCACCAAAGAACAGCAGGGAACCCCGAAGCTGTGCAAGTCTACTGGAGACAGAAATTTTAAAAATTGGAGGAGTTTTGAGCACCCGTTGGGTTGCATCTAGTTTCAGATCTGTGTCAGCTGTTTTGGAGTCCTACGAGGCATTAGTAAAACACTTAAAAAGCTTTAAATCACGCAACTAGAGATAACAAAGAAAAAAATGCCTTTTCCGGCCTGGTTAACAAGATCACAGAAACGAATTTCATACTTGACCTGGGGTTGATGGCTGATGCTTTGCAAGAACTTTAAGAACTAAGCGAAGCTTTACAGCATCGCAATGCAGATTTGAGCTATGCAAATCACAGTTGCTTTATTTGAAGAAAGAAAAACAACTCCAGGATGCCTCGCAGGAAGTTGTAAACAAGAAGGTATAGAACCAACAACCAGCCCTTGAACCCCGAAATATTTTACGAGGCACTTAAAACGTCTATATTGACACAAGACTGCTTGATGAAAAAGACGTTGAGTTGCTGAAATTTTAAAAGTTATGGACACAAAAAACTAGTCACAAACAGTACAAATAACGTTTGGGGAGAACTAAATGAAACTTGTTTCCAGGTTTAAAATTAACGAAAGACAGTTACTTAAAGGTTTCCAAGAATATATCTACTCCAGATGATGAATGGTATCAGAGAAAGCCTCACACCTCTAAGGACCGATTCCACCGTTCTGTTAAACGGAGATTAAAATGATATTTTTAATATAAAAATGTCATTTTAAACTTCGTTTGACACAACGGTGGAATCGGTCCTAAAGCAATCAATCAACTCGATTGCAATTTCGTCGAGTGAATGTGAAAGAGGATTCTCTCAGATCTCAGATGAACTTAATCATAACACCACTGACATCTTCACTCAACATTACAACAGTTTCTGGCCTGTTATTTATGAGAATTAATGGACCTCCTTTTCGGCTGTTTGATCCAGAGAAGTATGTTGACTCGACTTGTTTCTGGACACCACTCCGCGCTGTCAAGAGTAAGGAGAGATCAAGAGAGGACAAATATGATGAAAACATGTTAAAGTTTTGGACTATGTTTTAAGAAAAACTTCTGAGACAAATAGTGATGCAGTGTTATTTTAATACTTAAGTTTTCATTGTGTTCATTAAAAAGTTTGAATTCAATATAAAATGTTTTACAGTCAAATTCCCAAAGCCACCAAATAAAAAAATTAATTACTTAATAGAAAAAACCCAATACGATTCGACTTTTCGAGTCAAATTTAAGATCTTAAAAACGACTAAAACGTAATTTTTAAGACCTTTCGTAATCTTTCCGGGGGAAGAAACCCTGGACCCCTCCTGGCAGTTCCGACTGTATATAGGTACTCATTGTCAATGAAATTACTGATTAGTTAAAATTTTAACACTTTTTTTTTAAATTTTTTCATTACGGCCTTTTTAAAGAAATCATGTAGAGAACAAAAATTGTAGAAAATGATATCGCAAACAACTTTCTTAAAAATTCGAATTTTGCACATTTCGTCAAATTTCTCGAATACGGACCATTTTAGGAAAATTATGTATAGTAAAAAAATTGTAAAGAATAATAATTAAAACATTACAAGCAACTTTTTATTTGAATAATTTTCTTCTCCAAGCGTAAATAACATATATGTATTTCCATAAAATAGAAAAACGACCTCGTATAAAGTACCCTCCATATATTCCGACTATGCCCAGGATGGATTAAAGCTTACATTTAAAATTTGGTGCTTTTCTCTGTATCCGATCATATAATTTTCTTCGTGAAAATAGCCAAAACGGATACAGGGGATTCCAGAACGTAAAAATCTGTCGAAAACTCAAGAAAAAAATCATGATTCCTATACTTATCTACATACAGACAAGAAAGTAAAAATGCTTGCAATATCGTCTTTAGATTAAAAAAAAAAAAACGCGTGTAAGCTATAGGTATCCCGAATTTCGTTTAAAAATGTAAATATCCGATAATGTGCCAGAAATCCCTACGGAAGTACCGGACGACAGAAAATGCTGCAAAGGAATTTTTTTTATTGTTATTGACGTCTAGAAATATATATTTCATTGTCAACAAAAAAGTGAAAATCCATCGATAAGCAACTTTATTAGGGATTTCAAACAAAATGGCTGCCCGTTTGAAATGACAGGCATGACAGGTTATAATATGGCAACACTGTGAACCTTGTGGTTTGATAGGGTCAATGATATAGACAGTTATATAGATTGATCATCCATGGTTTTAAAAATAAACAAGCTTATGCCTTCAAGTAAAAATGTAGGCAATTAATTTTTTTTTAATATACAAAGGCTGAAAATTGGTTTTAAAACACATTTTTGCCAAACCGATTCAAATTAATGAACATTTGCCGCTCGCAAACGACCCGCTTTGAGCAATCTATATAACTATATAGGTATCATTGACCCTGTTGATAACATGCCAACAGGTTTGCCAAATTTAAACTGTCAGATCCACTGGTAACCATTTGGACAGGTCATTGGAATGCCTAATTTTGAATTTGACAGGTCACACCAGGACATAGTACATGTTCACCCCGCTTCCCTGTACGGTGAGTTAATGTTCAGATACTAATTATGTTATATACTTGATTTATATATATTTTTTCAGGAATATTTGGTATCATCTCTTTATTTTCCTTTTGTTGATTAATCTTGTTGCGTAGACCATTTATTTCTTCTCGAAATCCTTTTACAAGAGATATGTATTCTTCCATTTCTTGTGAAAGTTGTTTATTTTCGGTTTGAAGTTTTATTATTGCCTGGTCTTTTTGCATCGATTCTACATTTTGAGCTTCTTTCGCACTGTTTATCTGTTTCTAAAAAAAAAATTAAGAAAAACACTGTACAGCCGAATTGTTTAAGACCAGAAAAAAAAAGAATTTAAATGACAATTATTGAGGTTACGTAGATTGTTTACAACATTTTTATTTTTGGAAAAACCAGACAGGAAAAACCCAATTTGTGTCATCTTCGATTTCTCCAAAATATGGTGTGTCAGTTACAAATTAAATGGAGAAAGTTATAGTTTAGTTAAAGGGTATGGTCTGTGGTTTAGTTGCTTAAAAATATTCGAATATATAAGATGTACATATACAATTTGCCATACCAGCAACGAAAAAAATTATGTGAACTCATAGATAAAGATAATAAGTGGAAAGAACTTGGAGGGGTTCACATGAAATACGATATAGCAACCCTGGACAGTATAATAAGGTTGGTCAAGAAGGGTTCTTCCCCTACATCAGAACTGCTTACAATATGGGGTCACCAGAACCATACAATTTTAGAACTATTTGTATTATTGAGACGGATGGAAGAATATCAGGCTATGACTATTGTAAAACAGTTTGTTGACAACAAATACCATGTTCTTATTAAAGATCAGGTCGATGAATTGGATCCTTTGGTAAGACAATTACTATTAGAAAATAAAAAAATTAAAAATGTAGATTATAAAATCCATCCTGACAATTATGATGGAGAGTCTGAAAAGGTAATAAATGCCCCTTTAGTACCCAAAATACCTGCAATAGTCAGTAATGAAAATAATGAAAGTGGTTATTTGCCTATACCCAAATCACCTGTAAACATTGGTAGATCAAGAATGATAACAGCTTCAGACATTTCTACTGTAGCAGAATCTGCAGGTGGAATACCATCTATTCCTTATGAAGATTTACAAAAATCTACCAATAACTGGGATGAGAGTACAGTACTTGGTAAAGGAGGTTTCGGAAAAGTATATAAAGGTAAGCTATTATGTTTAAATTTATCAATGTATTTTAATGACAAACACTATACTGTAAAGTCAGGTGATTTTGACTCAGTGTCAAAATTTAAACCTAGTTTTAATTGTTAAATAAAAACAAATCCAAATTCACATTTTCGCCATAATTTAGTCTTCAGTTATATTTCAAGAATTATTAAGCAAAAATATCTCAAATGGTCTAATTTTTCAAATAAAAAAGGGGTGTGCAAAACCACCCACAGGTAGAGGGTGACTTTGACTCACCCATCATTTTACATTGTTTTCTCTATAATATTACTTGCTGGTTTAAAGCCACCCATCACAGTTGATAGTAAAATGCATTTTATCATTAAAAAAATATTTTTTATTGCTTATGATAAAGATAATAACAAAAAATATTACAAACAACAGTATTGTTGGTTGCATACAAATTTTATCACTTTTCAATTTTGATTATTTTGCAATGAGTTAAATTTTTTATACTACAAAAAGCGTTAGCGTCCAATTGTCTTTAAATAAAGTGCTTCGGGTAGTTTTAATACCTTACAGTTCAACCCGTGTGAGTTTTATTTTAAAAATGGGACGTATAATTTTTTGTGAACAAAAATAACTATTTACTGATTTGAGCTAAAGTCACCCATGGGGGTCAGAGTCACCCGACTTTATGTTATACATAATTTATTAAAGTAAATGGTAAACTTCTATGTCATAAAAAAATTCAATTATGTATGCAACAAAACTTTTTTTTAATACAAATCACACTTTGCAAATAGATTTATGCAAGTTATTTTGAATCATAATAGAATTATTTTTTAAGAGCAAACCGGACTTCTTACGAAAAGCAAAATTGTTGAGGATTTTCTAATATAAAATTGTATTTATAATGCGCCACTGGGAATACTTCACGATGTTATGTGACTCGAGAATATTGAGAGCTTTAAATTTGGGCAACAATAAGGCAGCACTGAGGGCAGCACTCACTCTACAGAAACATTTAAGAAAAAAGGTAGGAAGCCCTCCCATTTAAAACCTACTAGATATTTATTAAAACAAAAATCTGATGTGTCCAACACATGACTTTCCTATCTAGTTATTATAGGCTTTTTTCGGTTATTTTATACAACCTATTGCAGAACCTCTATAAATGTTTAGAGGATCAACTAAATATATACATTTTCTACATACATCTAACTCGAAACCTTTTTCCATAGATATTCATTTAAAACGAAAATACTGAAAAATTTAAATTTAGCACTTTTCCATTACGGTCCATTTTAGAAAAATCATGTAAAAACAAAAATTATAGAATTGCAAACAACTTTTAGTTTAACAATTTTCTTAAAAATCAGAATTTTGCACATTTTGTCAAATTTCTCGAATGGGGACCATTTCAGGAAAATTTGACATAAAGCAAAAATTATGGATAATAATATTAGAAGTAACTTTTATTTAAACAATTTTCTTCTGCAAACATAAATAACAGATATATTCCATAAAATATAAAAACGGCCTCCCATAAAGTACCCCCCCAGATGTTCCGACTTTGTCCAAAATCTAATCATTTCACGTCAGGCCGAAATAAAATTTAAGTTTAAAATTTAATGTTTTTTCCTTTATCCGTTTTTGAGTTTTCTTCAAAATTCGAAATTTACACATTTTCTCAAATATCTCGAATACGGTCCATTTTAGAGAAATTATGTAGGGGATAAAAATTATAGAGAATTACATTACAAACAACTTTTATTTGAACAGTTTTTATAAAAAAATATTTTTTTTACATTTTGTCAAATTTCTCGAATACGGACCATTTTAGGAAAAATATTGATAATAATATTGTAAGTAACTTTTATTTGAAGAATTTTCTTCTCCAAAGGTAAATAACAGATATATTCCATAAAATATAAAAATGACCACCTATAAAGTACCCCCCAGATGTTCTGACTCTGACTAAAATCTAATCAGTTCATTGGACGCCGGAATAAAGCTTAAGTTAAAAATTTGGTGTTTTTCTTTGTATCGGTTCATGAGTTATGGGACACAGACACACACACAGACACACACACAGACACACACAGACACACACACACAGACACACACACACACAGACACACACACACACACACACACACAGACACACACACAGACACACACAGACACACACACACACACACACACACACACACACAGACACACACACACACACACACACACACACACACACACAGACACACACACACACACAGACACACACACAGACACACACACACACACACAGACACACATACACACACACAGACACACACACACACAGACACACACACACACACAGACACACACACACACACACATCATCGCGAAAATAGTCGAAACGGATTCAGGGGACCCCAAAACGTAAAAATCCGTCGAAAAAAATCATGATTTCTATACTTTCCTTATATCTGTATAAAGATAGGAAAATAAAAAGAAGCAAATTTTCATAGTTTTAATACAAAATGGCGCATGAAAGTTTTTTTTAATTCCTTTTAATAAAAAGTATTAAAATAAATACTGTTCGAAGGTTTACAAAAAATCAAGGTTTCTCCACCCTAAGTTTTATTATTATTGAATTTCCTGAAAATTTCACAAAAATCAGACTAATAATAAAGACTTATAATTATAAATTTCAAGCTGTTTGGTTTGCTCTTATTACGTACTTATAGGTATATTATACAGATATTTTAATGAATATATTATGGTATTTATGGCATATAATAAAAAAAAACGAATTGTTACAGGCACTTGGAAATGTACAAAAGTTGCAATAAAACGACTGGATCAAAAAGACAACCAGCCTGAATATGAAACGGAACAAATCAAGCAGTCAATAACAGAATTGCATTGCTTAAATGCTTATAGACATGATAACGTATTGCCTTTATATGGTTATAGTATTGGAGGACCTCATCCCTGCTTGGTATACCAATACATGGCTGGAGGTTCTTTAGATAATAGACTACATACAAATGACCCTAAAAAAGTTCTGAACTGGCCATCTAGACTAAATATCGCTATAGGAGTAGCTAGAGGTAAATAAATAAGAAAATACTGAAAAAAAAATCAACTCTACCAAATATTTTGTGAAAATTATTATTCATTACTATATTCCACTTAGAAACCACCAAAAGTTAAAGATCAGAGTCATCAAAATTTTTCTTCATAGTAAATATTCATAAATAGCAGACATACCTAACTTTTTGTCAAACTATTTCATTCTTTCTTAAGATTGTATTACTTTTTCTAGTTAATTATATTGTCCCAGTATCCTCCTCTAGGAGTAGTTGCTTTGTTCCTAATTTTGGACTGGTGAGACCTATGTAACAGTTGAGAATCACCTATTTTGCTATTTTAACTTTTATTTTTGGATTGTGTCCATCATATAAGTGGAAATATGATTTGGGGAAACCACAAAATCCAAATCGCGATTCCTAATACTATTGTAGTTAAGTTACATCCTATATTCTTACAAAGCAACCTTCACTAAAAGACTGTCCCTTATCAACATCATAATATTTTGGGTGACAGGTGGAGCAGCATCTTGCACATCATTTATCATAATATAGTGGATTTAATTTGATTTTACAACTTTTCAACAGGTCTACAATTCCTGCACACCAACATGATAAACAACAAACCTTTGGTTCATGGTGACATCAAATCTGCAAATATTTTACTTGACCCTTCTGATCAGCCTCGAATAGGAGATTTTGGCCTAGCCAGAGAAGGTCCTCAGAGCCAATACACCTACATCAGAGTAAGCCGCATTCACGGTACAAGACCATATTTACCCGAGGAATTTTTAAGGGCAAAAAAATTTTCAACTAAGGTTGATACCTATAGTTTCGGAGTGCTATTATTTGAGTTAGCAACGTCTTTAGCACCTCACTCGGAGAGAAGAGATGATAAATTTTTAAGGGATCATGTCGTCAACTACCAGGGAGATATCTTAGAACTAAAGGATAAACGGATAAAAGAATATGATGATTGTTTTAGAGGAATTTTAGAAATTGGGAAAATGTGTGTTAGAAGGTGGGCAAAAGAGAGACCTGAGATGGTAAACGTTCTTATATTATTAGAAGGAGTATCGTTGTCACAATAATTAAAAACGAGATTAATTTATGAGATTACATTATTTGATAAAATTATTTTTATTTTAATGGTGTTTTGGTATGCTAATTGCTATTTGTGATGCCAAATAATATTAAAGCTACCTTATTTTTATATTGTAGGAATTACAATTGTAACAGATATGAATACATTTTTTAAATAACAAATAAAAGCAGCAATTTTATTTAAAAAATATATATATATAGAGATGTGTAAAAAATATAGGCTTATTTTTTTGGGATGAAATTAAAAAAATCAACTCATAACACCTATATTGATTATTATATATTTCAAATATATTTTTTTAATTATTGGTTTTTTGTTTTTATTTCGTTTTAATAAAAAAAGAGGTTTTATGCAAAAAGAAGTTCCAATGGGGGGCAAAAAAGATCAATTAAAGACAGCTAGTGAAGAGCAAAAAAGGTCTTTTGAATATTAAAAAAAAATTGTAGAAATTTTATGATTTTAGCCAAATGATATAAAATTAAGGGGTGATTTTTTTACTCAAATCATATAAATTTAAGTGGGAAGTCGCCGAAATACTGGTACATTTTGACCTTATATAGTCAAGGCCGTAGCGAAAAGGGGACACATAGAGGCTATGCCATACCTTAAAAACAGCCAGTCGTTATTGCAAATCCATCACACCATCTCTATTTATTTATTTATTTACTCGTATCTAAGCACATTTATATCCGTCCTCTTCGCATGCTTTCTTGTCCTTTCTTGCGTTTTAATTTTTTATTTGTTATTAATTGTGTAATTGGCAACTAGGTAATGCGTAAATCAATATATTTGTAAGATTAACATTAGCATTGTGAGAATAACATAACATGATAGATAACATTTTGATTTAAAGACGTTTTATTTTCCTGTCAAATCAACTTTACTCATTCATATACGATGTAATGAATAATTTCCAGTCTGACCTATGGTGGGCTATATGATTTTGACCATTTATTTACCGTTATGTTAAACGAAGTTTAGTTTAAATTACTAAGCGAAGATTAAAATGACATTGTTAATGTAAAAATGTAATTTTAAACTTCGCTTAGTAGTTTAAACTTCTTTCGATTCCGGCTACGATCCTTTATATAGTGGTTTACCGTTCGGTATTTGCCATTTATTTTTCATATAATACATGTAGACTTGATAACCAGAGAGATAACTAATCTATAACCATGTTTTGGTTATTGAGAAAGATTTTTGAAAACTTTGTTATAACAATATACATCTAAATTTACAAATATATTAAAAAAATAGTTCTGTAAATTGTCTATTATTCAAAAAAATTAGGTGATTAAACATTTTATTTTAAAAATATTTCGAACTTACTGAAAGAGTGGAGATAGTTTTTTGATCATTGGTGTTTTGATCTTTCATTGTGGACAATTTTGACTTTGCTACGGTGTATTCCATATCAAGAACCTTGCATCGAGCTTTTGCTGCTTCAAGTTTCTTTTTTAAATCTTCAATCCTACTTTTCAGATCAACGTTTTCATTGTATAGTGCATTCAATTGGGTTTCATATTTATTGACATTTTGAGGAACTTCAATGGGAGCAGGACCTAATATAGAACATACTCGTAAAATTCTGTAATTACATATTGATATTTGTTTAAATTTGGTTTGAAAACTATACCAAGTAAAAAATAAATAAACAACGTTGTGAAAAACACTACAAAATTTCAGACAAAAGAAGCTCTCATTCAATTTGTCATGTAGTCCTTTATTTCGCACAGTCTCCGAGGTTCTATTGTTAAAAATACTGTACAAAATTTCAGACAAAAGAAGCTCTCATTCAATTTGTCTTGTAGCTAGTCATTTATTTCGCGCCATTTTATACAACAAGCAACCAGATACAGTACCCAAGTTTCTTGTCGCCAGTTTTTTTGCAGAAATTTACATCACCCAAAACAACAAAATCATTGATCCATTCCCAAACGGGGCGTGACTGGACAGATTTGAAAAATCATTTTTGAAATAATTCCTATTTCATCACTCTCACAGCAGACTTCAGCATGAGTCGAGAGAATGCCGTAGTGTGCACTATTATTATAGATAATTTAAAAATGTTGACACATTGTACAACACAACCTATTAACTCAAATAACTTTAACATTCTTGAATCACGCACATTATTTTTACCCTTCTACGAGCATTAGAAAACTTTAGGTAATAACGCAAAGAGAGGTACATCATAAAACAAATCAGCTAATAGGAAACATCACCTCTTTTCACTTTATATTGCGTCACTATTGGGTTATTCTCATTCGTCCACGTGCGCGTTCTGATTTGTTGATTGAAGTGAACTAGAGGGATCTATAGTCGGCGAAACTTCCAAAAAAGTCCACGTCTAGATATGTCAGCGGTCCGAACCTAGCAATACAACGACTGTAATTTTATGCTTTGGTAACGTTAAATCCTACTTCAAAACTAGCGCTCCAAATCAAACCATTGAACTTAACTTGGTCCTAAAGTCAGCAAGTAGGTACATCCTAAATAAAAATAAAACTACGTTTTTAAAGATTCAGCACTCCATACAGTACGGCAGCAATAGCTAAAGCCGGGAAGATCATATTATGCCCGGCCATATCCGTCATACACTCGTTCTCTGCGTCTCGTTTAACGTTTGTGCATCTCGCGGCTTTTATTATTGCTGTAGATCTGTACTTAGGGGGCAACAACCAAATTATTTCTCGCCAGAGAGGCACGAGCGGTCAGTACTTCGAAATTAGGAAATCCAACCGACTTTCAAAATCTAGCTCTAGCTACGTGAGCTTTTAAAGGAATGATTGAAACCATGGAATGTATTAAAACAAAATTGTGTTGCGCGTACACACCTGAGCATTCGAGCCGAATAAGCAAGGCGAGCGCAAATGCATATTCAGATGTAGACGAAAGAGCAACGTGCGCCGAACAGGCTCAGCCCGATCCAAAGTGAGCGGAAGAAGACGGTTAGCAAAATATACGTTGAAAACGCGCTCTGATCAGAGCATTCATGGAAAAGCTCATGTGGCTGGCTACTACTGACCCGTTCAGATGGTTTCGCCATGCCGCATCCAAATGCTCATTCGGTTTGAGCAAGGCGAGCGCGACTGAGCATTCAGATGTGGACGACTGAGCATCGTGCGGCGAACAGGCTCAGCCCGATCCAAATCTTGTCGGTACTTCAAAGTGAGCGCGTGCGGTGGACGCGCTCAAATCTACTCAGTACGGACGCCGACGTTTAGCAGAATATATGTAAATCCGACGGACACGACGATGGATCTCACCCGAAAACAGTGTTCATAAATAATCAGAGCATTCATGGAGCAATCCGAATGGAAGCTCATGTATCTCACTACTACTGTTCTGTTCAGATGTGTACGCGATGCCGCATTCCAATGCTCATTCGGCTCGAATGCTCAGATGTGTACGCGCCTTTAGATTTAATCTTCGATAGCACTGGTAGGTTGTAATACTTTATAGCGAATTATTAATTAATAAATTCTGAACGTTACTAATTAATGGCGGCGTTTGGACACATCTTAGGAACCGTTTATACTGGACAATTTTGGGATTTTTTTAAAAAATCGACCAATTGCAAATATTTTTAACTTTGTGTTTTTTATATTCATGTTAAACCTATATTTCAGGAAAACTAAACATTTTGAAGTGTGATGTGTTTCATTATTTTCCTGTGTTTAGTTTTGAATCAATGATTCCTCGTGGTTTAGATACCAAAAGTAATTTTTAAAATTTTACAACCCCTATAGGAACATTTTATGAACGTCTTTCAATATTAGAATGCTAGAAAGTATATTTTCTCAAAAGCTACGTTTAAAAGGAACTTCTGCATATTACGGCAGATTTGTATGGGCGAACGGCAACCTTAATAAAAATGCCTAAAATATGGAGGTATATAGTAAAAAAAACTTACACTTTTCAAGAGCCAGCTTTAACTTTTCTTTGAGGTCGGAGTTCTTTTGTTGCAAATCGCAAATCATTTGAGCTCTGCCTCTCCAACCGGCATAGTTCGCATTGTAGATAGCTTGCAGATTTTCAAAGCTCTCGCCAACTTCTTGCTGTAACATTTTCTTGGCCAATTTCATTTCTCTCTTTAGTTCCATGTTCATATTTTTAGCTTCGGCTACTTTATTTGTCAAATGGGAAATCTTGTCATTTAGCTTTTTAATATCGTCATCATTTAATGAATTTGGTGGAGTAATTGCTTGGGCCTTATCTTTAAATGACCATAAATGTTTAGCAAATGAATGGAATTATGTTCGCAAATCGTTATTAAATTAACTACCTACACCCATCATAAAATAACATTTTTCGACAATAACTTCGAAACAAAATATAATTTAAATAAATTCACATGAAGGTTGTTACAATAATTGACCTCTACAAGAACAATGCTTTACATCTGAGAGCACCGTAGTAGGTAGGTATATAAATTGATAGAAGGTGATAAGGACATGGAATCTCTTTTATCAATGTATTTAAATTCCAAGTTTCCGGGCCTATTTTTTATAATATTTGGGATCGTAGAGAATGGCGCTACGGAGTCCACATTTTGATATATATATAAATAATGAATTTTTAATGTTTGAACAATGCAAAATATTACTAAAATGAGTCTGTAGCGCCATTTTTATTCAAAAAATATTCAACTATTTGGCAACGTAGCACTGATGATAGAACTTGCCTCAGATTAAGGGCGCAACGTTGCCAATTTGGAATAATAGGTACTGTGTCCCATTTATAATTGTGCTTATTTTAAATCCAAGTTAGAATATTACTAGATTAGGTCTTAGTTATTTTCAAAAGTAAACTAACAGCGTTACTGGAAATTGTTTTTAATTTATGTAACGAGCTGTCGAGTAAAAATCACACAAAACATTTACTGGCAGAATTTTATCAAGAGTTATAGGAACGATTAATTTTAAAAAAATCGTGCATTGGTATGTAAAACATAGGGGAGTAGGAAAGGATTTGTATAAAAATGAGAAAACTTCTAGACCTTTGGTTTGTACCTATATAGGTACATGAGATTTCGGTGGTATCATAAAAGTTGTTTAAAATATATAACATACCTACAATACTATATTTTTGAGGATCGTTTTCCAATTGGTTCTTCAATTGATAGGCCTGCTTTTCTAATTTGGAATACTTAGTTTTCAGTGATTCAACCTCCGATGTTTTTTCGCGCAGCTTTTTACTTAACTCTATTATTTTTGAGCTGATTAACTGTGATGATGTGTTTATTTTCGATTTATCGCAAATGCTTTCGTAGTCGCTTAGTTTAAATTCTAATTTCGAAACATTTTCTTTACATGTAGAATAACGCTCTTCCAGTTCATTTAAATTTTTTTCCAACATACCGTTTTTGTGCACATAGTACTAATAAATAAAAATAAGTGTTTAGAATATGTTGTGCACAAACAGTAAAGATTATTATTACTAAAGTTAAAAATGTTGAAATGGCTAATTATTTTACACTTACACGAAGTTGTTCTCTCAAATAGGTATTCAGTTCATTTGGATAGATTATTTCTTCTGGGACTTCCGGTAAAAGAAAATCGCCACTTTCAGAAATATCCAGTTTTTCCGACACTCTTATTGTATCTGATTTATTTCTACAATTGCTCATTCTATATTATTTTTTTAATTAACTTTTCAAATGACATGAAAAATATGAAACGGAGATTGTCAAATTATAACTGTCAACTTTAATGGAAACTGCATGGAAATAAAAATGATGCGTGAGCCAATAATAAAACTAGTCAATATAGCGAAGGAAATGAAAAATATCTTCTCTCGATTATTAAAATTTTATAATTCGCCATTTTCCCTTGTACATCAGCTATTATACCCACATTAGGATCATTTTACCACACAACATTATTAAATTGAATTAGAACATTATTTTTAAACAAAATCGTCCATTCTATACTCTATTTATGAAAATTTAAATTGAATTATTATATTTTCAAAATTTGATTTTTTCTGACGGCATAGGTAACCCGATTTACTATTTATTCCCAAGATTTTTTTTGGATTGTCAATAAAAATTTAATTATTTGAAATACTCACATACTCCGGGCATACCTATATTATCCATCAACATTTTCTTACAAATTTTTTTCTTTATTCTTAAATTTAAACGAATCATCAATGATTTCAAATTTCCCAGGAAAACATTACAGTCTTGGCAACGTTGGAATGGGTTTATGTGCTCGCATGCGCAACGCACAACTCATTCTGTTACTCGATTCAGCCATTTTAAATTTTAAATCTTAACAGCAAAAACTGGAAAACTGCTTCGATTCGTTTAAGTTAAAATATATTTCTAAATGGGTCCAGCTGCAGAACAAAAAACACAACTCAATTTGGTAAGATTTTCAGTCAATATCTTCAAATGCCAGATTAGGTTCATTAAATATAAATAAATTTCTCTATACTAAAATTTAAATAAATATGAATGGTACCGACTCCTTTTTAAAATCCGTGATAACTAATCCAGTGACTTACGTCTTACGACAAGAGATCTTTTCCGTATATTAGGTATAAGCCGAAATTTGGTCCATTTTGCAGACTTTCGAAAATCGGGTCGTGGAAAATGTATTTTTTTTAATGTTCCAGAATCTTGAGAATTATTGACTATTGACTACATCGAAAAAATGTATTCTTCAGTTTTTATTTGTTTTAGTGGGCGTTCAAGTAATTCGTAAACATGCTTAGAGGGCGGGAGTTCAAATTTTTCTTATAGAATAAGAGCCAGCGACCGCTAGACCTACTATAGTAGTTATGAAGGTTAAGATTTTTTATAGTCTTGTTTTAATCTGACAGGTTACAACGATTAAACCGACAATTCCGGAAGCAGAAGCGGATGATTAAAAAGCACCTATTATGTGTGTCTGTGTGTGCAGAATATTCGCTCAGTGCAGTCTTGCTAGGGGAAGCAAAAGCGATACTAGCGCTAGGGCGATATTTTGTAATTTTGGCGTATCAAATATACGTATATATTTGACTTATTTAAAAAAAAGATAGTTAAAAGCAATACAATGAGCAACCGGAGTTGCTGTATTGTAAACTGTAAAAATACTAGCAAAAAAAAACAATTTATTTTATAAATGTTCAGTAGCAAACTGGAAATTAAATTAAAGAAATAAACGTTCCTTTAATTGCAGTACGAAGGGAAAATAGGTAATTACAAATCTTTATTTTTATAACAAGAGTATCTAATACCTATTGAAAATAGTTTACATCAGAAAACTGAAAGGTTTTACATACTTAAATTATTATTATTATTATTTTACGATGTTCTTCAAAATTCCTTAAGTTCATGTTCAAAATCGAAATATTTCTGCCTTTAATTCTGATTATTGTCTGAATCTGGAATGCAATTTTGTGACTGACTGATTGGAAAACAGTGGTTTAATAATAAATTTTATGTTTTCTTTCGAACTAAAAATGAAGAAAACAAGTATAAATTACATTCGAAAATATTATACCTACTTTGTTTTTGTGATTAAATTTTGAATACACGTTTGACATTAACCTTCAACTTTATTAGGCAACTTTTCATACATTTTCTCATAAATACTGTTGCCTAACTATCTGTTCTGTGTAGGTACATGTTTTATTAATTTTTTTATTAAATATACTTGTCTTTAGCTGGTAATAAAAATATATAATAATAATAATAAATGGATCTTATCACTTGTTTTATACATCAATACACTTTTATTAAAAGCAAAAAATACATTTTTTAATTAGGGTTAAAAATAATAGTCAATGCATAAAAAATCCCCCTTAATTTATAATAGTACATATTTAGCGAATAGTAGATACTAACGTTTGGGTGTTATGAATCTTGAATACGTGGTGGGTTTAGTAGATAACAGATCCTCAAGGTACCAAAAAATGTCGGAGAAAAGTTATAGTATGGAAGTTGATTTTTTAATATGTTCAACTAAATGACATTATATAATCTCCAATCAATAATTGCGGCACTTTTCGCGGGGAATTACGTCTGCCGCGATATTTTTTTTTTATGTATGTATGTTCAGCGATTATTCTTTAACACGGTGTCCGATTTCAATAATTCTTTTTTTGTTAGAAAGGGGCTACTTCAGAGATGGTCCCATATAAATTTGGTCAAAATCTAATAATTGGGTCCAAGAGAAAATCCTCAAACTCTTCATTTTTTATGTAGGTATGTTTAGCGATAATGCTTTACCACCTTGTCCGATTTATATGATTCTTTTTTTGTTAGTAAAGGGGTACCTCAGATGTGGTGATGGCATCTGCACGTTTTTGAAGTCGGTTTTTTTAAATTTTTAATTTCTAATACTTGTTTACTGCTACTTTTCTTAAAAAACTTTATTCTTGATAAAAGTTAGTTGTTATATGTTCTAAAACCCATTACAAGCTCAATATGTATTAACGAATTTGAACCACATACCTACGAGGGAGATAAAAAATGAATTTGGATTTGGATATTTTTAAAAACAGAAATAAATGTTTTTTGTTTTTTCTAATTTTGATATATAGTAACATTTTTTTTGTAATTGCAACAAGTGTCAAAGTGATCTACTTTACGCATCCAGTTGCATTATGTTGAACATTATGAAACTAGTTTCGAAATAGTATATTACGCAACGATCATGTATTAATAACCATTACATGAGAATTGCATACGCTATTTTTTCTAGACCCGATAAATAATCAAGAACTATAAATATTATATTTTTATTTGTATTGAACATAATAACAGTAATTACTTGTATTTCTATAAACAAGTCTTCAAAATTGTAATTAATGGTATTACCTCGGGTATTGGTATTACCATAGATTTTTGAGGCAAAATATTTTGTACTGCATTTTTTGCTTTCTCCGATATGTGTGGAGGAGTCGATAGTAAGTCTTCTATATCGCTAATATCAGACATTTTGATAATATAATTATTGAAGTTTAGCTATCTACGAAAATTTTATACGTACTGATTTTGACAACTAAAACAATTACATAGGAAATGAATCGAAAGTATTTAAAGTGTGTAGGTAGAGTTTTATTAGTAAAACTCAGTAATATTAGTCTAATTATTGATTGGAGATTATAATATAATAGAGTTGAACATATTAAAAAATCATCTTTCATACTACAACGTTCTTGCCTGACATTTTTTGCTACCTTGGGGATCTGTTATCTACAACACCCACCCGAAATCAAGATTTATAAAACCCAAACGTTTTCATATACTATAATATGCAGGGATATTATGTAACATACAAAATAGTTAAAATGTTTTCAAAAGAATATTTTTAATTTAAATGCATAATACTTATTACTTTAATAATCCAAGCGAATCAACGAATTTAAAGAATAGTACCAAGGTTGGAATGAAAATTCTACACAAGTGAAAGATTCTGAACGCGGGCGTACGCAAGCGTGAAGAACCAGGAGTATCGCATTCATTCCAAAAGAGTAACAGACTGTACTTTATCTACGGTCATAGTCACAGCAGGAGTTTTTTACCTATGCTGGTTGGCATCAAAGCGGAGTTTATGTGCCACAGATTTTTTTGTAATACTACGAATTTTGTATTAAATTTATCAAAATTGTTATGTTATTATTTTGGTTTCAATAATTAATATTAATATTGCATTATAAATATTTTCATTAAATGTATTTAATAGTATGGATATACGAGTATATTAGTTGGAAATTGAACTTTAAGTGACAGAAGGTGATATTCACAGCCATTGGCCAGCAGCTATTACATAATCAACATTCTAGAGTTAGAATGACATACGTGTAAAATACATAAGAGGCAAGTGTTTCAGAATTTTCTTTCAACCTCAAGAGCGAAAGTGTTTTCTTTCTGTTATTATAAGTAGTTTCGGAAGAACTACATTCAGTAGTGGCCGTGGAGAAAATATATTACAATTTTCAAATGTGACAAATTTAAAAATAATAACAAAGGAAAAAGAAAAACTCCAAGACTGTATCACAGAAACATCGCGCGACCGTTTTCCTTAAAAAAACAACTAGGTACTCCCTTGAGTGATACAGGTGTATTGCATTGTATCAAAAAAAATAGCAGAGATAGAAAATAATTTTCAATACTCGACATGGTCGCTCGACGTTTCTGTAACACGGCCTTTGAGTTTTTCTTTTTCCTGTGTTTTTATTTTTAAATTGATCACAATTGAGAATATATTTCCTTTAATAACTGCCAGTTTGGTTATTACTCCACCTTGTTTTAGAGAACTAGGCTTTGATTTTGATTCCTAAGTCCAGATGGCGTTACCATTGTTATTCGTTGATTACCTACATATTTAGCAGACTTCCCTTAGAAACAGAAGTCGAGATTGTTTAACTCTTGTTGATGGGTCCTAATAAGGATGAAACCGGTCCAAGAATGACGTTCTCGTTAGGAATCAAAATCAAAGCTACAGTGTTGAAAACTATTTTTTTAAACCCACATGGATATTATAGCGTATCTACGCACAGACTTATCCACTCTTGTTGCACAATCTACTGTTCTATCTCTGCATCTCCGCTATTTTCCTTTTGATATAATGCAATGTGTGTTGTGTTATTAGCCATTTTAATAAGGTGTCCGAAATCTAAATGGCTGTAAAAAATCGCTAATATAGGTTTTTAATTTTACCAATCTTTCTTCCTCCAGAACAACACGTCAATGATGGATATGTCAAAAAATCGCATTATGGGTGTATCTCACTGAAATTTACAGCTCAAATTAAAAGTTTATTAACTGAGATAAAGGCGTGGCACTTAACGCTCTTTACTTGTCAATATAATATCAAATGGGTCGTATCATGAAGAAATACGAAATAGGTACTTACCTATAGAACGTGTAAAATATTAAACCAATCTTTGTTTATTAATGTAGCATTAAAAGGTTAAGTGCACACGCTAGAAATAATATTTCCTCAGCAACATACGAAATTGAAATTAAGCGCCACTATATAATCGTGCGTTTGGTTAAGGTCACGTTTTTTTCATTTATTTATAATTTATTTATTTAAAACACTTTATAATTTATTTTAAACGTACTAATTAATTTAACTTACTTAGGCACTATTATAACTCACAATTCTAATTTATTTATTACAATTTATCTATTTTATATAGCACTTAAATTAAAACTTTCGGTCAATCGACAAACTCGCGCTATTTATATAAAGCCAGTTCTGCACCAGAACACTCTCGGGGATCCAGAACGTTCGGGAATTCTCTCTCTATGACTCTGACGCTACACAGCGATCTATTCGGTAGCTTCTCGAAGCAGTGCGTTTGTCTCTACGTGGCTAGCGCTAGACTTCATACCGCGGGCAAAGAACAGAGTCGGCCTCGCGTCACAGTCATTTTCAATTCAGTCTAAAATAATCCTTCCATTCGATTTTTTGCTGGCAGCTCTTGGACTATAATCTGTATACTTTTAATTTTATAAAGACAATCCTGTGTTCATAAGGATTTGAGACCGGTTTTTATTGTAAGTGGTCCGTCAACGTCATAAAAAGGTACTGAAACATACAGTATAATAAATTATAGTTACTATGGAGTCGGGGATAGTCTTAATAATTCGTTGGGGTATTTTTGAGATCTGTTCCCGATTTTTCAAATTATTCAGATCGATTAGAATTTAGAATAAAACACAATAATTCAAAGCATTGGAAACGGACACTGAAATTAGCAACTTCATATTTTTTAAGTGGCAAGTAGGCTCTAGCGGGATTAAAACTGTTTTGTATCTGTAACGTGGGGAGGGTGGGTTACCCTACGTCATTTAGGCCTCACTAGGTTTATTGTGCATCCTCCTAACTCGTTAGCCAGCCTACAGATTTGATGTAGTTGACAACGTCGCCAAAAAGTGCTTCTATTTTACGGGGTCCCTACTATTTCATAGGGACATTATTGATATTTCTTAAATGCAACAAATAGCAAGTTGGTTGAATTAGACAAAAGTTACGCAGTTTTGTGCTCATTAAAATGGTACCAAGAACCTTTGATATCTACAGGGAGATTCAAAATATCGAAAAATTTAAATTGTCATTTTTTAAAATTCATTTATTTTTTGTCCGAAGAAATAGCAATACTGTCCCTATAAAATAGTAAGGATTCTGTATCGGCCAGTGTTAGTCAATACTCGCCGTCCAATGGAAGGGTCAGGTTCAAAAAGTATTTGTCTGGCTGCCTTCTTGGTTAGTGAATCAGCAATACGGTTACCTTTGGATGTGGCTTGACCTTTGATCCATTTTAACGTGACCACATTCTTGACATTCTAGTACTAACCCTTGTCCAGGGAGAGTAGTGGTTGTCTTCTATCCGTATAGATCAGCATGTTCCTTCCAATGATATTGTTTCTGGCAACTTCTGCTGCTATAAAAATCCCTGTGAGCTCGGTTTGAACCACACTTGCACTATCGCTCTCATCCCATTTTATGTTTCGGTTTAAGGATCTGGAATATATTCAACGTTCTTGTTTTATTTTAGAACAGTCGGTGTAGATATGAATCGTACCTGCTACTTCCTGTCCTTCTATTTGTTCCGTTATACCTTTATATGGCTTCTGAATGTTGTGTATTATAATAATATAATACTAATTCACCCCCTTACGAATGAATTTGTAACCCCAAAATTGCGAGCGTATACAGGACAGTGTCAACAAAGGCCATCCAAGTAATAGCGTCTCATACACCTATTAGTAAAAGAAGAGCAACAGAAAATATAATGGGAGTTGGCAGGAAGACTGAAACCCAGGACACCATGACAGCGCAATGGACAAAGACACGGATATAGTGGTACCGTGGTTAGAAAGAAAATATGGTGAGGTAGATTACTACCTGTTTCTCTCAGGATGTTTCAAAACATACTTGTAAAAAATTAAATTGCACAATAATGACTGCAGCTACTGTAGAGGTAGAGACACACCAGAACACACAATATTAAAATGGAGAAGATGGGACACTATAGGACATAGAACAAACAACGAAATAAATGAACCGCTAACATCAGCAAATGTTATGAAAGAAAACAAAGCGAGAAAAGTGGCACAACATACATTATATGATTGCGGCAATACTGAAGGATGAGGAAGTAGATGAGAGAATAATATTAGGAAAGAAAAGCAAATAAATAAACAGAGCCCAAACACAGCGCTGAATCATCTTCTTTAAAATAATGCCAAAGGTAGTCCCGAAGAATATCACTTTATTCCTGAGTGGTTACTATTTAGTCGGTACGAATCCGACACTGTTTGGTAATTGGGCGGCCATTCGCCTTATTGAAGATTGTTTTTCCACCCAATAAAAAAGAACAGAAGCCGACTGAGCTTGTACGGGGATGGGATGGCTATTATTATTTTCCGTAGTGCCATTTGAATTACCATTGAAGCGGTAACGCACTACGAATTGTAATCAGAATGCCAGAACAACATAAATTAAATTACTGCTAATTCAGCAGTGTGACACTTAATTTGAATGATGATGTATGTGAGCAGATTGTTAAGTATGTTGTAGATAACTGGATAGAATTTTATATTATGGCGTGTGACAAAAATGGAAGATAACTATACCACAAAGATTATAACAACGATACGATAAAAACATCAACATTTTTTGTATATGAGTTGGAAGTTGCTGGGCGAATCTTCCCATTTGTTTTCGAAGTCTAAGATAAAGGATGTGTATTTCATTCTCCCAGTTGATAGGGGGCCGCTATAGGCTTTTCTAGCTTCTTCAGCCATACTCTGGAGGGATCAGGGGTCGGGTCTGATGGGAATGGGGTTGAAGGAATGGTGGTATGTATCTGAGAGGATTTGCCTATTCTTATGAGAAAACCAGGCGGTAGTGGGGCTTGAATCTATGACCTTCCGAATGCGATGCAGATGCGTTACTGAAGAGCCACCTCCCTTGGTTTCGAAGTCTATCTAAATAGTATGCTTTATATGAGAACAAAAACTGAGGGTCGACCTGTTGAGCTTAAATTTGCAGTAAGTCTTTCGAGTGGGAATGTTGATGAATATGCTTCACATAAATGTTAATAACTTCGTCGTTGGTCGGCTGAGAGAGTCCATGTCTTCACCACATTCGCCATATCAAAGCTTAGAAGAGAATAAAGGAAAAATATTCCTCAAATGTAACCAATTTATAAATAAATCATAGAAGACAAAATCTCAAAGACCGTGTCACAGAAACAACGAGCGACCATTTCCCTCTTGAAAACAACTACTCCCTTGGCTAATACCATAAATAGAAAATAATTTAGAAGAAATTGCTCCAAGTCTAACGTAGAAATCAAACAAAACACGAAAGGCTCGATACACAAATAAAACACGAAGAATTTAGAAAAAATTATCTTCTTAAAATAACTGCGCACCAGGAACCAGAAAGCGGTACAATATTGATAAAAATCGTATGGGTGGCAGTAAATGATGAAGAGAGTGCAAAGAATGTAAATAAAATATTGGCGAGTTCGAGCGTTTCTCAAAATCTTACCCAAAACCCCCATGGCTAGTTTTCAGTGGGCCATCCATTCATACGATTATTAGAAACATTTGTGCTAGAACAACCTGTGTGTATTTTTGATAATTTTATAAAGTTTGTTTTTTTTTAAGAGCATTAATGGAAGGTTGGTTAGCAATGCTACAGAGACATTCGTTTTTTCTAAAAAGTACGTTCATATTATGGTTCAGTCATCAATTTTCAATATAATATGTCAACGCATGGCAATAAATGAAAAAGAAATTTTAACAAGAAAATATGAAGGAGTACCATATTTTGTGGTTGCAAACGTTAAGAAGATTAATGATTCCATCATAAACATGTTTGCTTCTTGGTTAAAAGGAATCAAAGACGCCATAAATAAAAATTATGTAAGTACAAAGATTTTGCCTCTTTTGGGTCAAAATTTACCTAAATTGCATCCGAAATCCTACTCTTCCGACTAACAATTTCTCAGGTATTTCACAGCACACGATTTTTTAGGTATAGACAAAACGTGTTTACTATGAAGGTACAATTTGATAACGTGATACCGAAGCAAGCGACCGATGCACTTACGTTTACATGTTGAAAGTGCTGTCGCTGACTCTTGCATCGGTTGCTCGATCCCAAATGTGCTTCATTTAATTACATGTGATTCAGACGTAAAGAGACGATTTTCGGCCGCATTGCGCGGTCGCTTGCATCTGTCTCGTGTCTCGGTCTCGCGTTCCCAAACAATGCCCATCGTGATTCATTATATACATATAATGTTGCCAATCACAGGCAGAGATACCAATTTGTATCTGGAAACATCTTTTCCTGCATATGCGATTGCCATTTTTATTCACTACCATACAAGCAAAGCAGGCTCGCGGGTTTGATTTTTCCAGCCCTGTGTGTGACTGTTTAATAATCACGTAAATTACCTCAAATAATTATTCCTCGTACTATACAATTGGTAAAAATCTGTTTTTTCCTTTTTTTTACAAAACTTCAGAGACATGCCAAATTTGTTAAAAAAATGTAATGTCTAGGCAGACACAATTCTAGGTAGAATTCCCCATTCGACCACCCAGACAGCACACCAAATCCTTTGGATATCTACTGAACATTCCAATATCCACTGAATGTTCAGTCCATAGTGGATATCTATTTTATATCCATGAGATGTAATTTATAGACATCCAAATGTCCATAAATAATAGTAATTATATAACAAATTATTAAAAAATTACGCCATTGTGGCTAATAGTACCGTTTAGATATTTAAAATTAATTTTTTTTTGAGGTGTATTCAATATCCCATGGATATCCACTAAATATATCAAAGTCTAGGCGCGAACGCAAACCATGGTGTATATCCACTCGATGTAATTTATGGATATAATATGTACTTAAATATCGGAAAATATGTGAATTGATTTAATCATTATTAAATTACTTAAATATTACGCCATGTGATAACTAAGAAAGTATGTAGGTATGGTTTATAGAAATTTAAAATTGGTAAGTTGTATTCAATATCCCACAGATATCCGCTAGATAAATAATATTGGCAATGAACGCGAGCGCAGGCGCGGATATTTTCTGCCCTCACAGGTGCCATCGGCCATTTTATAGTTTGTTTTCGTTTTGTTTGTGTCGTGTGCATGAGTGTCATTTGATAATTTTGGATTAAAAGTAGGTAAGTAAGCTTTAAAACCTAAATTTATTAATGTAAAAGGTTGATAGACTTTAGTTAAATAAGACAATGGTTAAATTCACGTTAAAGATTGTTAAATAGGTTGTATGCAATGTATGTTAAAATCCGTGTCCTTTTTAGGTAATTTACAACTAGAAATTCATGTCGTTTTACGCTACCCCATTTTATTATAGTTAAGATGGATGTTATTTTACCTACCTTCGTATACTTTCTTTTTTCGTGCGATTATTATTGTTGGTGATTCGGTTTGGTTTTTATTGTTTAATGGTTGTTATAATTAATAATAAATAGGTATTTTTTCACTGGTTGAGGTAATTTTATTACATCTGCCTTGTATTCATCGCATGCATCAAGAATTCAACAAGTAAGGTTAGGTTATGTTTGGCTGAACCAACATTTTAGATAAATAAGTATAATATATACACAGATCCAACACTTTTAAATTATTAGTTAGTATTATATATTGTAGAAGTGACAATCTACACAAAAGGCTTTTTTCAGACTTACTTTTTTTTTGGGTATAGCTTGATTTAAAATATAGTTTCACTTTTTGAGGAATTCTACAACAGAGCGTCTTTTTTTTTCAGGAAGAAAATTCCAGGTGAATTTGCGGCCCCAATATATAATGTGTGTGTGTATGTGTGATTAGGTTTAAGTTTTCATTGGCTGCGCGTACTATGTTCATTCGTCAGCTTAAATGCTATGTTATTTAATATAATAAATAGTATGTCTATACTATAGTTTACTTTTTTTAAATATATTTAGCCTGCTCATAATATTTGTCTTTGTTTTACCTAACTATACTTAATATAACAACAATAAAGAATAAGATTTATTTGTAAGATGCTTATATGTTAGATAACTCGTGCGTTGTATTAAGTTTAAAACTTACTTCACATGACATTTTGGTGGTTTTTTAGGTATGGTGTACAATATTTAATTGTAAAAATAAAATGTTGATACTCTTTCTACTCTACATGATATACATATGCTGTGTAGCGTCAAAAATAGTTAACACTAGAATAGTAAACCTTGTATATACCAAATTAAAAATACAGGCGTTCCGATGTTATGCTACTGAAATGCTGATTTTCTGCATATGGAATGTTTTTAGATTATGCAAAACATTGTTCCACTTATCTTTCAAAAAAAAAATAATGAAGCATTAAATACACCCTATCGGCATATAATTTTCGATATCTTAAATATATCAAATAATGGATGTACACTAGATATGTTAAACATCTATAGGATATATCCATTGGTTACTTATGAACCTCTACTAAAGGTACCTATTAGATATTTTGCTGGATATCCATCGGATATCTTCTATATCCTGGATATAGACGGATATTTGGACATCCATATTAGATCCACAGGATATCTATAATATCCTGTGGATATATTGGATATCCACAAAAGATATTCTGTGGATATCTCTGGGATTTGGTGTGTTGTCTGGGCATTCACTGTAGGGTTGGTTCTAAATTAACAGTAGTAATGGCACGGCGAAACAGTAACAAAATACTTGACGCCGATGATACCCATGTAAAAAACATTTATATCGCACATAATAATTACATATATTTAATTTTCTTTTTTAGCTGAAAACCATACATTTGTTTTTAAAAAATTCCAACAATGATGTAATTGAAACTTACAGTCTAGGTTTAAAATATAATACCGACCCAAATTATCATAACCCTGATAGGCGAACACCAGATCACGTCAAAGTTGCCACGAAAGCCCTCCTAGAAGCCATTTATGGATTGTCGAAACAAACATTTAAAGAAGCTTCAAATATTTACATTGAATTTACTTATACAGATGGTACGTGTTTTTCTTGCACTACACCATACCTTTTATATCAAAGATGTGTTACGCAATCTAATGATGAATCAATACAGACAAAATTATATTAATTCAATCTTCCATAGTATTTAATATACAGATTCGGGTAAAGAATTGCGGGATATAGGTTTTACCATGCATTCGTATTGTAACGATTGGTTATTTTAAAAACAGTTTATTTATAATTTATACTACGTAATAATTAATTAATTAATTTATACTTAAGCACTATTTATATTTCTCGCTTCTAATTTATTTAACAATTTACTCATACTAATTTATATCACATTTACTTTATCAATGTTCTCACAGTTATAACTCGACTTCAACTGACTTCGTGTGCAACGCAGACCATTTATATTAAAATGGCGAAGGCGTTTTCCGAACCTTCCAACAAATTTTTCGACTGACCAGTTGCCATTTTAGGGCGCTCGATATTTACTCTATTATAAAGGCTCCGCTGGGTTCTAGTACATTCCCAAATGAATAATTCATACCGGCTATCTGTGACCATAGACGTCCCTATAGTTGGGTAAAGAGGGTTTTCCCCTTTATCAAATATTTCTGGTTTTAAGCACAAGTGGGGTCTTAAAGAGGCCTAAACAAGGCAAATATACTTAAGGATTAGAGCATGACCTAAATGGACGCATTACAATATGAAAATCATTTGATCGTTTGACAGTTGTATCGCTGTATAGTGGTGTAATATACCGGTGTTATTTAGTAATAATTAACGTTTAATTACCTTTGTTGATTAATTATATTTAATTTTTACTACTTCGTAGGTATGTTTATACCAAACAATTTACTTATCTTAATCGTCTTAACAGGGCCGACTAGAGGGGGGGTAGCCGGGACAAATTCCCGGGGCCCGGGCTTAAATGGGGGCCCGGCAGCGCTGTAAGGGGGGCCGGACAACAGGTTTTTTGTTCTGCATGAGAAATTCGACACAAGATGAGAGAGGGAAGTTAAGTTTAAATTAAAATTAAATACAAGTAGAAGAAAAGTTTTAGCCTAGAGAATTTTTCTTTTTTTTTAGAAGAAGAAGCAATTGAAGTAGGGAGAATACTTTTTTTTTTTGATGTGAGGATCTTTTTTTTAGAAAAAATTCTATTTCAGTAGAAGAGGAACAGTTTTTGTCACGGGGCCTGATCTAGAGAATTGTCCTGGGGCCCGGCCTGGCTCTCGGCGGCCCTGCGTCTTAATCCAATCAGAAAATCAAATGAGCATATGAGACTGTAGTTTTCTCAGTCGTGAATTCAGGCTTTTCTAATAGACACGTTTGGGAAATATTTTTAAGGATATTTGGGCGCCAGTAATTCTGTTTTTTTATTTTTAAAAAGCTAGTTGAGAATTATTACTATAGAGACAATATAAACTGATTAGCTCAGTTATATATGTTAACAAAAAGAGAATTGTCGTAACCATTAAAAATAAGATTCAAAAAGAATGTAAATAAATTTGTTTATTATTTAACAGTGGAAATGTTCCTCGACTTGTACAATTACCAAATAAAATTTACAAGTAATATCAGAAATCCAATTCAAAGAACTAGCGAATTTAGAAACAGTTGCAAACACTAAGATTGTCTAATAGATTTTATTCACAAAATTTGACCATTGTAATGGATATTTTTACCATATGGCGTCTATAATATAATACATAAAAAATAAAATAGGCACCTCAGCTACAGTGGGGTGATGAGGATGCTGATTCTCTGAGATTCAACTCAACGAGTCTACTTTAATTTTTTGATGTAATTCAATTACATCAAGGTACCGCTTAGGTATTTACTGCCAAATATACGCTCTCTAAACAAAAATAAATTCTGTTTTTTACGAGGTCCTTACGATACAAGCTAAAATTTCCAACTATTAAAAAATGTATTAATACATATACTTTTTCATAGTAATAAAAATTAATATAAAATTCCAGCAACATAAAAGGAATTAATAAACATCGAATAATTCAAAATTGACTTTCAAAAGTTAAACGGTAGAAATGTAAAGAATAATTAGATTTTTTCAATGAAATTAAAAACTTACCGCTATTGCAGTCTAGGCACTTGCTTTTAGGTCAACGACTAAATTACAAAAGAAAGTGCCATTTATTTAATGAAGCCATAAGGGTAAAGAAAAGACCACGATTCTTATTTTTAGAAGTACCTCCCCTGCACATTATACAAGGGGGGACGATCGATTCTGTAGCTATACTACTTGATTATTCCTCGCGTAGTTATTTATACAGGGTGAATCCTAAGTTGATACTTTTGTTACCTGTGTATAGAAGTCATTTAAATCAACAACTTTTTCAAATAACTTTTTTAAAAATAATCAAAAATAAAAACTTAATATAATTAATTGCAAAATTTATTAAATACAATCCTGTATAACTTTCGCCGAAAAATGTTGATTACATTTATGTTATTCACAAAAATTAATCTCGGGGAAAATATTCAAGTTCAACGTGAAATGGATACAATTGATTTTTCCGCAGTGGTCCACACTTTTCTTTGATAACCAATCACCTGCGCACTTATGTAACAAGTCCTCGACAATATTATTATTTAAAATGTGTTCTTCTAAGCGTACTTAGTTTTTAATTAAGGGATTACAATATTCATGATTAATATTCATTAAAAACAGATAAACATACACATTACACATACTTATTAATTCGTTTACTTTTTTCGTACACATGTTCGGATCCGGTTTTAGATTTATTAATTCTTTTTATTTATTATTATTGAGCTTTTCAAAAAAGTTATTGGAAGATGTTTATTTGAACGACTTCTATACACAGTTAAAAGAAGTATCAACTTAGGATTCACCCTGTATATTTTCAACGAGTCAACTGCTTTTTATATATTGTAGAAACTATATTCCCTAATTATTTTCCTGAGTCTGTATATTACACAGGACCGGCTACTAATAAATTCTACTTGAGTAACGGGTACTTTTTTCATAACTGAAGAATAAAGTACAGAATAGCTAGTACCTCATTACATTTTATAGAGTCGAGTACAGAACTCTGAGTACAAGTACCCGAATTTCACGGATATTGTTTCATGTACATTTGCTACGGCTCACTTTTCAATTATATATAGCTTGGCAAATTAAAACAAATCAAATATACCTACCTAAGTATTGGGTTCTCTCCAGATCATGGTAATAGTCGACTTCTATTAAGATTAGCACTTAATAGCATGACGTAATTCTGTTGCATTTTATCTTGAGTACTTTTTGCACATTGTAGAACAAAAACATGCACTATTAATATCAAATCCCGGCAAAAAGTGGCACGTCGTGTTTTTTACTTGCTATTTGTAGTTGGGTACATGGGAGAGGGGTGAACACTACGTCCCGATAGGGGGAGCTGTCGTTTAAAGTTGCTTATTGATGAATTTACTCGTGTTTTGCTGTCAATGAAATATATAGGATGGGCCAACGAAAACGAAAGGGTTCAAGTTTAGGGTTCTTAATGTCATTAAAAAAAATCGCTAGAACACTATAATTTATTTGTCGAGGAGGAAACCCTTTAGACTTATTTCCAAACCCCCTATCTTTAACCCCTTGAACAGGGTGCTAGACACCCCAAAAATCTTAAATGAAAACTGGAGTATAGTGGCACCTTTTTTGAAATGTTCTTCAATTCTCTTCTGAAAGAGCCCTTATTTGTGAAATGAGATATCATTTTAAATTTCAAATTTATTCGTTTTATTTACAAATACGCTTGAAATTAAAATTAGTTCAATAAATGTTTAAAGTGCTGGCCATTAACTTCCATGCAGTGATACAAGTTCTCCTTAAATCGATTTCTGACATTAAGGAGATAAGATATAAGATGACACTCCGCTGCCGTAAATCTTGTAGACAAGTTGCTTGAGTAGCATGGATCTTAGATTTTAGATGTCCCCACAAAAAGAAATCTAACGAAAACAAATCTGAAGATCTTGGTGGCCATTCAGTAGCACTTCTTCTACCAATCCACCTTCCTGGAATTGATTGGTCTAAGTACACTCGCATCTGCTGTGCATAGTAGGAGGAGCACCGCGCCGTCCTGTTGAGAGTACCTCCGAGAATATTTTTTCCAAGCTTTGTATGCATGTTTTAAGAAGAAGTTCACCGCTAGAACTCAGTTTTTGAAGTTTCACCTTCTCCTATTTATTCCGCAAAGGCAGCAGACTTGCAAGTAAATACCCATAATAGACAACATTTCTGTCTAATACCTACTAATAAAATTGGTAATTTTATAACCTACCATTTACAATACAATCAATACCTAAAATCTTCAGACAACAGTAACGACACAAAAGCTCCTGTTTCAAGTGCTGACTGGACTGATGATAGTAAACAAACAAAAAGTACTCGGAAAAATGTATAATAAATATAATAAATAAATATTATTAATTTAAATAATCGATTAATCGACAAATCGATTAATATTTTATTAATTGATTATTAATCGATTAGTCGATTATTTTTTTAAAAAATCGATTATTTTAGATTAATCGATAATTTTCGATTAATCGATTATTTTCGTTTAATCGCTTATTTTTATTTTTCAAACAAAACACCCAATCGCACCAGCTTGTTTTAAAATAAAATAATTATAGTGTAAAATGTTGCAATATATTTTAATAACTTTTTTAAATGCTTTATATTTGAGTTTGTATTAAGTGTAGTTAATAGCTTCGTCCGTGGTAACAATTATGAATTAATTTAGAACTGCCAATTCATGCTTTGAGCGTATCTTGGATCTGTAGGTTCCTCTATCTTTAAATTATATAACTATACAGAGACCTTATAATCGTTTTAGATACTCCTTTAAACTATGAACCACCGGGTTTTGAGGCCGCTGAACAACCATATTGTTTGAAAATATCTGAAAATCCAATCCTGCTCGGTAGAATATCTACTGGATTCCATAAACTGACTGCAAGATGCTCACAGGTATACCTTATTTGTATTTTTAAATTTTTAAATACAGGGTGTCCTAATAGTGCGTAATTGTTCTAATATTTCAAACAAGCACAGTTTATAGCTAAAGAATCAGTTCGCTCACTTTGCGTCGGCACTTTTGATCTCAATGTTCCAGTTTATACGCTGCGCAACTCGGATTTGTATCCCTGGCGCATACAAAATCAATTCATAACCAATACAATATATGACAACCGCCTATTCAAACAGCATTCTTCTGCGCATCCTGAATTTGTATCCCTGGAGTGGATATTATTTTGGAACATCCAATTGGTCTGAGTGAGCGAACTGATTCTTTTAAGCTATAAACTGTGAAACAAGTTTTAAATAAAAATTATATGGATTTGAAAAATACACATAAGTTTATGCCTTGAAATAAAAATGTAGGTAATTAGTTTTTTACTAGATTCATAGGATGAGAATTGGTTTTAAAACACATTTTTGCTAAACCGATTCGGATTAATAAGCACTTTCGAGATAATTAGGTAGGTTTACAATGATTTTAAAATTGTTTAAATTACAGGATAGAAAAATTTATAAGGAATTCTATGCTAAAATAATATACATGGTGTTGCATTTGAAAAAATTAAGTAAATTAAACCTAAAATTAGCCATATTTAAGACATTCAAACACTCTGTATATAATAAGCCAGTTTTATCACCACTATTCGTTAGCATAGTATCTTATAAGTCTGTACTTAAAATCATTCTAAACCTAGGTACCTAATTATGATAATTTAATTTGGAGTCATTCTGCATCATTCTCTAATTTCATAAAAACATTAATTGCTTGGAAACACTATACTATTTTTAAAAAAATTCTAGAGTTAAATACAGTTTTACCGAACACAAATTGAAATATTGAACAATTACGCACAGTGTTGCCAGAATATATCTTTGTTATTTACCAGATTTGTCTAACAAATGTACCAGATTGCATAAAATGTACTAGATTCTATAAAATGTACCAGATCTTCGAATGAATTGTGATGTGGTTCATTTAGAAAAAAAAAAGGGTTTTTTGCGAACGTAAAACAAAACTATGAGCAAGATCCCAACAATATACGAGTATATTACACGCGTCAAATGATAACACTCTTAAAAAGAAAAAGGTACTAGATTTTGCTTCGAGTGTACCAGATTCATAGAAAAGTTACTAGATCTAGTACAATTGTACTAGAAGGCAACACTGATTACGCACTAATGGGACACCCTATATACAAAAAAAATAGAAGGTAAAATGTTCTTATTGGTAATTGCTATAGTTCGTTTAAAGACTAACGAAGAGTGCATTCTCAAAAATGTAATAAAAGTTTGATCCTCAAAATCACTAAACCATAGACGTACACATTTTTATCGCTACTGCCTCAATCCTTTCTCCCAAAACTACACCTCTCGTGAATGAAAAATTGGGTTGTAACGCAAATCTACAACAATTCCCATTTTAACATATTTTTTTAAATAAAAAGCTCGTATTGCCCCCGTCTGGGCCGCCCTTGGACTGTGCACCCCTCCGAACTCTCTTTACCTAAAAAAATTATGTTTGGCTACCGATGCAATTTTTCGTCTTTTTATTGTTTTTTGGGGCATTGAGACCTCCCTCATGAAATAATGCAATAGTATAAATCAGCGTTACTCAAAGTGTGGTACGAGGAGCCCCAGGGCTCCGCAATGCCTTTGTGAGGGTTCCGCGAAGAAAATAGTAGTCATAATAAAAAAAAGCAGTGCTATAGGGAGGGACTTGGCTTGAGGACCTTTTTTTTTATTAGTTAAAAGTCAGTAAGAGAGGAAGCAGGATATGATTTTGCTCGGAGGACCTTTTTTTTTAGAAGTCACCAAGAGTAAGGAGGATATGATTTTGTTCGAAGAATCTTTTTTTGTCTTTCTTTCTTTATTTCTTTCTTTCTTTCTTTCTTTCTTTCTTTCTTTCTTTCTTTCTTTCTTTCTTTTCTTTCTTTCTTTCTTTCTTTCTTTCTTTCTTTCTTTCTTTCTTTCTTTCTTTCTTTCTTTCTTTCTTTCTTTCTTTCTTTCTTTCTTTCTTTCTTTCTTTCTTTCTTTCTTTCTTTCTTTCTTTCTTTCTTTCTTTCTTTCTTTCTTTCTTTCTTTCTTTCTTTCTTTCTTTCTTTCTTTCTTTCTTTCTTTCTTTCTTTCTTTCTTTCTTTCTTTCTTTCTTTCTTTCTTTCTTTCTTTCTTTCTTTCTTTCTTTCTTTCTTTCTTCTTCTTTAGAAGTCACCAAGAGGAAGGAGGATATGATTTTGATTTTTTGTGGGGGCTCCGCGAACAAGGGGGAGGGACCAGGCTCGATGCCTGTTTTTTTAGAGTCACTAAGAGGAAGGACGATATGGACCTTTTTTAGAAATGTGTTTAGGGCTCCATCAAATATTTCGCTTTTCAAAAAGGTTCCGTCACCAAAAAAGTTTGAGAACCACTGGTATAGATGAATACAATATGATTTAGTTCTAGTCCTAATCAAACATGATGTACAATTTTTTTATCAAGGGCCGATTTAATTATGAATATTAAAAGGTTCAGTAGTTGATGGGACCAAGATCTTATATGGACTTAATGGTCCTATTATTCAAATGATCATGAAATCGTCCCTTAATAAAAATTTGCATTTTTGGAAATACATAATATACATAGCTTTCATGTGTGAGTAGGGCTAAAACTTTTATGACATATAGAGTGTTCAGAAAGTTTGGATCAAAATTGATTTTCAAGTTCTTGATTCTATGCCAAACTGTTATCGTAATTTATCGAAATAAAGTGTAACAATTAATAATGGGATTGGCCAACAAGTACATATTTTTAAGTTACGGTCTTTACCGTAAGGGAAGATATTTTTTAGAAAATTAAGTATTTATGAAGTTCACTTTATCACCATGTAGAATGAAAACTGAGATGTTTACGGGAAAATTATATTTAGCTTTTCTTAATAATTATACATCTACAAGTCCCCCAGTTTGACGGTACTTTATTCGGAAACACCCTGTATTTATTTCTTCAAAATGGTTATCTAATAAGTATGTACAGACAGTGGCGTAGCCAGAAATTTTTCATGTGGGTGATTCCATCAACAAAGTGAAATAGTTCAGATGAGATTGTTTTTATTAAAAAAAGTAAATAAAAATAATTTTTTATGTGTCGGAAACGGTGACGCTAAGGGCCTTTATGGGGAGGGGGGTTCTGTACCCCCAAAACCCTCTTGGCTACGCCTCTGCATACAGATGAATACATTAGTACGTTATATTTGCGCAGAATTCCTTCGGCAGTATCACCAATAATGTACCACAAATAAAATCAGCTTGGTCATACCATAACTAAAAAAGAGAGTGTCCACGCAGATCTTGACATATCCTAAAATCGTCCAGCATTAAATGAAACTTCTTTGAAAATTATCCTGAAAGAGATTGCTCCGCATCACTGATGCCTCACTAGATCCATTGTGCATTCTTCAGAGGCATATATAGGATCTGCCTATCAAAAACTAGCTGGTTTTCGCAGAGAAGTGTCTTTATATGCCCCCATTTTTATAAGTGGCCATTTGGTGGGCTTCTACCACTCCGATTGTAAACGCCACGCCCGGGAAGAGCTATTTTTTTCGCTCGCTCAACAGTGCGTGAGATATAGGCGCTTTTTCTTAGGTAATTCTGGTACATCAACAATTGGTTTCATAAAAACTTACAAGCTCAAAAATTAGCTAGAAATTCTAGGACACAAACCTTCAGTCGGATCATATTCTCAAGCTCTGTCAAAAGTTTAGCAGGCTCGTAGATTTGAATGAACTTATTTATTTCATCCGATTGTTATAATTATAGTTTAGAAATAATCAGTGGTAGTTGACGATAGTGATGTCAGTGGTAAGACAAATCAAGTGATGACAAATGTTTGGTATTTGAAATGTAATTAACCCATTTTTTTAATCTTCCAAACGCAAAATATTCGATCCAAATGTTTATCAATCGCCCTATGTTGTAAACTCTGCTGTACCGTGAATGCAAGAAGATACATGATATACACTCGCGGGTCATTCGAGGATAGTTATCATTTCTTCAACAATAATTTCGATCTCTCTCTGGTTGTTCTCTTTTCTTTTTTTTACGCATCTAGCTTGCCACTTCTTAGTTCTTATTTTACTTTTGTAAAATTTTGATAAAATCTTAATCAAAATAATTTCATTACTAAGGCAATTTTTCATTTTGAATTTTTTACTTTTTCGGACGTTTATTTAATTTTTATTAATCGGTAACATATACTCGTATCTAGAAAATGTAATATCCCGATTTAGAGTTCATAGACCGATTTTGCACATATCGCTTAAATACGACCCTGGTGGCCAATCTGATGGACTGTATTATCATTGTAATAATTACCTGTTGTAGAATGATTCTTATAATAATTTTCTCTGCTGGCTTGTTTCACTAATAATAACTGAAAGTCTGATGATGAGGTGTTTAATTCAAAGTCAGGGCCGCAGAGAGCCAGGTCGGGCCCCGGGACAATTTTCCAGTTCGGGCCCCTCGACAATTGTATAAAAACATGAAGCCTTTTCAATGTCACATTTCTAAAAAAAAAAATAGTTCTCAAGCAAAAAACTTCTAGGAGTGAAAAAAGGTCCTCCCTCTTGTGCTCTTGGGGCGAACTTCTAAAAAATAACAAAAGGTCGTCACTTAAAGCTGCCGGGCGCCCACTTGAGCCCGGGCCCCGGGAATTAGTCCCGACTTGAGTAGCAGAGATAACAGAAAATGTGGCTATTCAATACGCTCCAGTTGTAGGTCTTGAGTAAAGAGACGTGTAGTAAGAGGTAAGAGAGGGGATAAAGAGAAGGATTTTACGGCGATATTTTTTTTTATCATTGAATATATATCTAAGCCAGGTGTAAGCGCTTGTGCGCTTATAATAAACAACGTAGAAATGCAAGCCGTGTAAGGCTTGTTGCCATATCCAACTTAACATTAACTAGGTTTTTGAATTTATTGAAATTTATTACATCTTATTTAATTTAGTTAAATTTGATGTAACTCATGATTAAAAATGTTTTGGGTTCAGTTGCAATAAAATAGGTTGAATTATTTTAACGACAACAGCGGATATTATACCCTCTTGTGTCTCCTAGAATATGTTTTATTCACTACAGTACACTATTTGTTAGTAGTTACATCTCCTGTTATCTCACCTTGTAGATACCTACACCTACTTAAGTTTATTAAAAGACATTTTAATTATATCTGTAGAAGCTTAGGAAATAATCACCAATTAAGCTTATATTTCACAATATGAAATAACAGCTAATAACTCTACACGTGTGGAATTAAATTACTTGTTTTATTTATTTTTTTTTTCACACAATGTTGCCTTATGTAATATACAAATAATTTAATTCTTTATTGTAATAACATGAAATATTTACGAATTATAGCGTCCTTCTACGCGCCCTTCTACACCGGGCAACTTAATGGTGATTCATGAACATGAAAAAATTATCTTAGTAGAAGAAGAAGGAGAAGAGGAAAACGAAGAAAATTCTAGGGAATTAGAGAGTCCTCCAACTCCAGTTATTGATTTAACTAAATCGGTTAATGATAAACAAAGGCCAGTAATTGATGGTAATCTTTTCTTCACTATTTTTCGCATTACAGACTATATTAAATTATTTAGAAAAATAAAATACTTGAAATTATGGATATTCAAAAAAATGCGTGACTCTGTACCTATACATAAAATTAGGCATTCTAACTACCTGTCAAATTGTTGCCTGTTGGCATTAATATGGCAACCCTGTGGGCATGTTGGCTTTAACAGCTCAAAGCGGGTCGCTATGCGAGCGGCCATATTGATAGAATCGGTTTATAAAAAATGTGTTTTAAAATCAATTTTCAGCCTTTGAATGTAGTAAAAAAATAATTACTTGCATTTTTACTTCAATGCCAATGGATGAGGTTATGTTGATTTTAAAAAAAATCAATGTATATCATTGGCCCTGTCATATTCACCAGGCTCACAGGGTTGTCATATCAATGCCTACAAGCAACGATTTTGTTTGGAATGTCTAATTGTCACGATTGACGTGACACATTTTACAATCTTTGCACAGATTACCTCAGATTCGAAACCCGGATAAAGATCAAATTATTTGAAGTGATAACCTTTTCCGTTATTTGATAATTTTGAATTATTGATGCGCGAAAAAGCGCGGTACTTTTAAATTTAGTAATTTCCCAAACACTTTTATCTATCTCTCTCTTATCTTTGCCTTACAACTACTGTTGAGTTGGTTATGACGATTACCCCTGTCATCTTTACTTTAAACAACCGTCATCGATTCTATATAGTAGGGAAATTAATGACGCTTTTTAGTACGCATATGCACAAGGCTAAACTATAAATTTGTCTTTAATTCATACCCTGTAGAAGATGGAAATACTTTGCTGCAGACGCACTAGCGGTGAAGCGCTCGATGACGTTGCAATCAATCTGGTGCTAAAATGCCCTATCAGCAATCAAGAAGATACTGTGGTGAGCCGAATTTCTATTAAGTTTTGATGTAAATAGTATCTGAAAGTTTCAAGTTTGCTCTTCTATGACTATATTTCTACACATGCTTGTTTAAGACGTTGTTGTCGAGGGATCTATCGCTGCAGGGACCACAGCAAACTATTTCCATGTTTTAAAAGATAAAGGCCAATGCCCACTACACCGTATCATACTATGACCGCGACCGTACCGGCATAGGCAGAAAAATATTCTTTGTATATATTTAAATGAGACAATGCCCACTAGACCGACCCGGCATCCTCATTTGAATCTGTAAAAAAAATCAGGTCCGGGCACGGTCATAGTATGGTACGGTATAGTGGGCATAGACCTTAATAATTAACGAAATATTTGTAATTTTACCTTTCGCAAATAACACATCCAATTGTGTCACTGGCTCCCCTACCAATGCTATCCAACGCAAAAACAAAATGATTTTTTTTTTCATTTATTGGTCTCGACTTATACAAATTATTTAACCAACACTGACATTAGTTACATGTAAATAAATATACAATTTAAAACACTATTTCTATGTAAAATTAAAAAAAAAAAAAAGGTGAACAATAGAGTAATAGAGATCATCAATAATGGGATAGGTCTATACCACAGGCACAGATTAACTCCACAGATTTATATACCTTGAAACTTTAAATGAGGGGTAATATTTTAATAATCACCAGATGAAGTTCCTGTACCATGAGGTCTATAAAACAAGCTGTCAAAAAAACTTTGTAATTTGAAAATGTTCATACTCTCATTAAAAAATAGAATGGTGCCTGGTGCTGTCAAAAAAACTTTGTAATTTGAAAATGTTAATGCTCTCATTAAAAAATAGAATGGTGCCTAAGCAGGTGCAGTGCCCCTATGATGATGAGAAAAAAAGTTGCCTTGCCTGAATACCGATATATACCACATCATCCCATATTTGAATATAAAAGTTAGAACATTTATTTTAACGTGCAAATGAAAATCACTCTGTGAGTGACGTCGTAGCAGCCGGTATTATAGGGAGACGCGATCACGTGGTCAAAAACGGCATCAGTCCGCCATATTGATGCGACACTTACGTCAAATAGCTGCCGCATTGTTATGATTTCATTAATGTGATTTGTATGATCAAGATTTCGTCTTTTTATTTGCTTTTTGTGTGATATTTAATTAATGTACAATAATTGTTTCATGTGCTTTTCATAACTATAATAGCAGGAACGCAATTGATAAAAATAAATCGACAGGAATAACATTTCATAGGTTAGTATACAAAATAATAATAATAAACAATATTTAAAAAAATTACTTTTATATTTTGCTTATTTAAATAGTTTCTGGGTTAACACATTATACGGAAATTATTTCATATAATCCTTACACAGTTTGTAAAAAGATATATTTTTTCAAATTTACTAGTACACGGTTATGATCAATCAGCATTGGATAGCCATCGGGTATTGTTAATAGAAGCTAAGGCAGATAAATACGTAAATGTTAGGCTATATCATTCGGCCAAACAAAAATCAAATAAATATAAGAGCTTAAGGCATCACAGTTTAAAGGACAATAAATTTTTATTTCTTAACGTGTTTTTTCTTCTCATTTAATTCTGTTTCAGTCTTTAGAAAACGCATTGCCTATTCATATGACCCTAGTTAAAAAAAACTATTATTCAAAATATGTTAAAATTCTTATAATTTTAGGGGACCTGGCGAGGCATCCATATTGTTATGACTCTAAGCGACGTTTCGTCCAAATAAAAATTACTTTTTTACTCTGTAAGTAACGTTATGCACGTGACAGATAAAAACTGAACACGGGAGCACCCAGCCCTTGTGTAAAAACGATGTTTTTTTTTTGAGAAAGAAAGCACAGAGTGTGTTGTATATACTCTTCATAAGAAAGTAGAACTGTGGTATAACTGTAAAATGTATACCTTATTAATTGTAATTTGCCATTTGGATGTTATGTTTACAGAAGAGTATTAATTAAAAATTATAATTCTGCGACATTTTACACAATGGTAAAAAAACTTAGTTATTCATTTTCTTTATTAATTTTTTATCATTCCTAAACAATCTTCTACATGGAGAATCTCTTAACTATAGTAAAATGTTTTACAGCACATTATTTATATTGTTGAAAAACGTACCCAAAAAATTTTAATTTGTAATTTCCTAATTACCCATTTGCATAAGTAATCTTCCAAAATTGATAAGGGATTAATAAATTAAATTTTAGTACATAAAAGTTAGGTTTAGGTTCCCAAATTACGATTTACAAATTATAAATTCATTTAAATCAACATTTTTGTCACCATAATGTAAATTCATAAATGGAAAAGGTAATATTTCCTGTTCTTTGTTAACTTTCGAATCTGAGGTGGATAATCTGTGATTTTCGTACAAGAGTATGGCCAATAGTAATTCATACTTTATTTCGTAGTACCTATACGGCGACAAACAGAATTATGCAAATTCAAAAATGTTAAATATTTTTTTTTACGTTCCAACAGTGCTCTAGTAAGTAAATCCAAAATTTACCCACAAATAAATGGTCACATATACTTCTAAAAATGTCAAAATATACAGGGTCCAAAAAAAAGATTTTTTTGGTTGAATATATTTTGGAACGCGCCAGTGTTGCACGACGCTGTATAAAGAGAATTGAGTAATTTTACTATTTTAATTTCCAAAGTTAATCCCGACAATGAAGCAGAAATTACTGCAAAGAAGACCAGAAGGCAGAAAAATTTCAACACCAGTAATATTACTGTGTCTGGTAAGTATTTATTAGGTACTGATAAAAACTAACACCTGTTGCATAAGTTATGGGAAAAGTTAAAGGCCGATTTTGGTAATTCAAAACACCGTTATTTGATAAACATAATTTACAAAAATGGCCAGTTATCTTTAGGCTCTAAACTATTTAGTAATTACGAGGGCTGTTCTATTTCCGTTGAGCTAATAAAGAAAAACACAGTTTATTTATGATTTTTCAAAGTATTCTCCTCCACAGTCATTGCATTTTTGCATCTGCGAAAATCATTTTTGAAAACATTTTCTCCAATCTTCTGTCTACAGTTTATTTCATTTTTAAAGGCATCAACTGCTTCTTTGGCCGATGTAAAACGTAAACCCTGCAATTTATCCTTTACTCGCGGAAATATGAAGTGATGAAATGCTAGGTCTGGACTATACGACGAATGACCCATTATTTATATCTCTGGGGCATTCAAATACTCATTTATTTGAAAAGTATTGTGAGCTCGAGCATTATCTGGATGCATCATGATCCTTCCTCTTGGACGTTTTTCGTAAACCTTTTGAAAAAGCCAAGTCAAACAAACTGTAGTGTATCATTCTAAATTAACAACTCATTCGTTTTTCGGGATCATAGCAGTATCTATACCCATGTTTCATCACCTGTGAAGCTCTAGTAAACCAAATTAGACGATCCACGGTCAAAGCAATCTATTGTAGATCTGAACCATCTCATACGGTCTTCTTTATGAGCTAAAGAAGTTGTGGGGAATCCACCGAGAACAAAGCTTACAGACTTTCAAATGTTTGTGTAAAATAGTGTTAATTGCTTTCACACTGTGAGGATGTCACTAGATTTTCATATCGTTTAAGTATAAATATGTTTAATTTAATTTTATTTCTTAAAAATGATGTTTTTAAACATTTAAGAGAACCCCCCCATAGTTCAAAATATATCATTCTTTACCGAAATTCAAATCAAGTTTTAAATGCTCAAATTCATGTAAATTATCAGGTATTTTCAACTGATGTCGAAAGGATATTTTTTGTTCTCTAGTTGAGAAAACATTAGCTACTTCTACTCTAAATCACTCGTAACCCGAATCAGTCCGATCGCAAAGTATTAAGTCGAGACCCAGGGAACCCTTCCTTTTCAGTGTGCCGCCACTACCGTGTTTTTTTACTTCGTCGTTCGAGGCAAACTGGAAAATCCAAGGTAGGAATCGCTATCATTAAATTCTATTAAAGTTTATTTTATTGTCCTCGTGGTCGACATCTCCGTAAAAAATAATTTTATATTCCGAAAAAATAAATTTTTCCTATTTCTGTACAGAATACCGTTTTGTAAAAGAGGCAAGACTAGTGATCTCACAGTCTTGTTTCGACGACTAAATTTCTCAACATCCGAAGTAGTCAAGAGTCAGCAGACCTTTCACTATTTAGTTAATGGTTTAATCTTTAATTCACGCCAGACCGTCGACCACGAACATTGCTCTCCTGTCCGTCTCCGTATCAACCTTATTAACCGCTGTACCTTGAAAATAATCTTAAAACGGAAACCGATCAAGTTTGTTCACATTTAATTTTTCCCAAAATCTGACCATAATCATTGGCGCTGAAATTTCCACCGCGAATAAAGAGTGTTTTGGTGTTTAATACCTGCCGAAGTAAGGAATAGCGAAAACCGATCGTTTCATGGGGCTATAGGATTCTATAATGACAATAATGGCGTTTAAACTGTAATTTTGGTAAACATTTTTATTGTGTTAGTTATACTTCTAATTAACTTTGAGGTTTTCACCGCTTATTAGAAATACCGTATGTACATCCATATCAAATACCACGCTTTAGCATTATCTCCTAAAAAACATGGAACTTGTGGCAAGTTGTTGGTCCTTTAACAAATATGATGGCAAAGTAACTTCTAATGGTAAACTCGTTATGATCCCTTTGAAATTTGTAATTAATTGCCCGTTAACTTTAATTTTTCGATGGGCCGTGATGGTTTCTTAACTGTTTCTCACATTCAACTGTAAAATCGTTATGGCCAGTTTGAAATTTGTAATGAACTCCCTTTTAACTTTAATTATTGGATGGGCCGTTGACGGCTTTTTAACAGTTTCCCACATTCAACTGTAAAAGCATGGTAAAAATCAAAAAGCTTTTAACTGTCGCAGACCCAATGGAGACACCGATGATATCTTCAGTATTCATTGTAATTTCTTACTTTTACATGTTATTAATTTAGAATATTTTTAAAATATAGATTTTGTAGAAGACACACGTGGTACATTCCCTTTAAAAGCTCGGTATCATTTTTATGCAAGCCCTTTGATGGGAAGTTAACATTAATATTATGGGAAACTCCTGACCATGTGCAGGCCTTTAATACGTATGCCTGGTAAAGTTACAAGCCGTATGCAAGTCCAGTGAAGGATAGTTAACATTACTAGTATGAAAAACTGCTGGCCATATGCAGGCCTTTCACTACCTATTCCTGGCAAAATAACATCGGCCTTCTGCCGCCCGTTGTGACAAAAAAACCGAATTAACAATTGCAGACCCCGAAAGGCCTCTACTTGAAATAACGTACATACGTTTTAAGGCCGTTAACTTGCTAAAACAAATTGTTTGTTGGTCTGGATTATTTATTGAACAGTGTAAGTAAAAAAGTGTGATTATTTAAACTGGAGCAAACTTAACTTCTGTTCTACCGTCCTAAGTCGTATCTCCATTTTTCCATATTTTAAATTTTACTCTTTACAAACTAGGCCCGTCCAACAAATTTGACCGGATCTCATCTTTCTTTAGAAGGCACAGAACTTTTTCTTAGGAATCATTTTTGTTTGTGAAATCTAAAATAACTTTTTCCCCATTTTTATAAAACATTTTGGGAAACTCTGTAGAACTATTATTCACATTTTATTGAATTTATACTACATTCTCAAACTGTAGTATTTGGATCGTAGGTCTTTTGAAATGTAACCTTCCTCAAAATGCATTCGCGTTGGTCTGAGGGAGTGAGGCTTTATGCCATTAAAGACAGGGGTGCATATACGGGGGAGGAAGGTTAATGGGTAATTACCCCCAAAGAATTTTTAAACCCAACTTTATAGGTAGATAACTACTAAAACGTATTATTATCAAAAATGAAGTCTTAAATATTACCATTACCGTAGCTCGATTAAACATAACTTACCTAGAACTTATGTAACAGTGATGACGTAAATTGTGCCCCCTTCTTAACTTCTAAATAGAAGAAGATAGAGACAGAAAGAAACAAAAACGAGGTGAAATTAGAGAGATATTATGATATTTTTGTTATAACGAGATGTACTTTACTTGAGACGTAAGATAGAGGGTGTTAATATCTTTAAGTTTTCTAATGAAAAGTAGGGTCGTGTGATAACTTATTTGAAAGATATTTTCATTATCTTTACATCTATGAAAACAGTTTTAAGTTCTTTTTACAGAAATAAATTAATGGAGTAAGTTACATTTTTGCTAACACTCATATTTACTAGTATTGTTTTTCTTACTGAGAAAACACTTTTTATAAATGAAAGGAACTTCAAAATATTATTTAGGCCATTATTTAGCACACTATTTACTGACATTTAGTGGCTAGTCACTAGCATTGTAAGTTTCATTACAAAAATGGTTCGTTTTCGTCCTTTAGAATAAAAAGTTGCTGCAATCATACTGAAGCTGCCGAAAATTATCATTTAGCAGAAAGAATTTTTAATGAAAGATTTCCCGAAAATCCAATTTGTCGAAAATATCAGAGACAAATTTTAAATAAATTCACCACCACTGGCGGTGTGCAACAAGCAAAAGGAAATCAATATCTGAAGATAAACAAATTGATGTAGTTTCTTTCAGTGGTCACCAATCCAAATTTTACAAATAAAAATATTGCTAAGGAATGTAATGTTTCTTCTACAACAATTAAAAAATATCTCAAAAAATATAAATCGTACAAAATGATTTTCACACATGAATTATTAGAAAACGAGCCGATAGAAGATTAGAATTTTGTGAAATATTGTCTGAAAAAATTCGGTTGTTGCCCAATTATTGTAGAAACATTTATGGTGTGATTAATAGACATAATGTACAATACTGGAGTGACACTAAAAAGCTGCATTTCCACAGAACCGTTATCCGACGATACGATTGTCCGAAAATACTGTGATTGGTGGAAATTTTGACAGTAGAAAGCGTGTCAAATGTTAATCCGAATGTTTTTACTTTCGTCCGTTGACGTAAAAAGTTAAAAAATACTCAACTTTTTTCCGACATCGGATCTGATTTTTAGCATTTGACATTTCATTTTATTATTTCTGTTTTGAGTTTAAGTGTTTGGTGTTTATGTTTAAAGTTTACTATTTATCCTTCCTCCTTGATAAATACTAATTTATTAACCGATGCTAAAAAACAAAAATTAAATTTTTTATTAATTTCAAGTCTTCTATTGAATAGAAGGGAAAAATTAGAAAAGCTCCACGATATTGAGTTAGAGATATTTATATATAAAAAAGAAAAGATTAGGGAAAAACATGTAGTAAATGTGTGAATACAACAGAAATTCAATCTAGCTCGTAAGTTTGAAAATAAAAATTTCGAAAACTAGGCAATTTTCAACTTTAACACCCTGTATATCGAAAACCAGTCATACAATTGAGTTGAGCCTATTGACACTTTTGGTTACTAGGCTGAGTACAATAACATAACACAGTTTCAGAAAATTTGACCTATCGCCTCTTTACATAAGGAAATAAGTGCGGGGTCCTTTGGATAATGGATGTGTAAGACATCTTTAAAAATGTATAGACAATAGGGTACCTGGGCTGGAATTTTAGATAATTACACAATCGGGCAAACTAAACGGTGAAAGATATTTAGATTTGTTGCGCAACCAAATAACGAATGAAATTAATTGAATCTTACACTGCCAGGAGAATTTGCTTGCGATGAAGTCACTAAATTTTCCTTTAGTTTAATTATGAAAATGTTTGGTTTAAAATAATTTCCGTCTATTAGCGTTCTCAAGAATCCCTGTATTTTTATTTTTTAGAAATTTCCGTTTTTGAACAGTTGCGAGTGCCCCCTTAGTTGAAAATATATAATTTTTTACTGATATTCTAATCAAGCTTTGAAGGCTCAATTTCATGTAAATTAACCGGTCATTTTCGCAAATGTCAAAAGGACATTTTTCAGACCTCCGATTTGTAAACACTGGCTACTCCCACTCCGAACCAATCGTAAACCATACTAGTCTGAGCCTAAAGTATAAAGCTGAGATTTTCTCCTCCGCCCTCTTTTCCAGAGCGAGTTTTCGAATTCAGTCAATTTAAAAGTTTATATATCGACTTTATTTTAATTTTTCACCGATCGTGTGGAACCTGTGGAGAACTAAAGGTAGGAATCTTTCATTATTGGCCTTTACCATTGGGATTTAATTCGTTAACATCTGGGTCGACCGTCGCTTGTTAAATATTAGCAAAGAAATAATTTGTTATATTCCGAGAAAATAAGTGTTTACTAGTCCTTTTTTCTACTGTTTTAGGATTTCTGAAGTTACGTAATCGTAGCAAGTCCAGTGTTAGCGCAGGCTTATTTCGCCAACTTAATTTCTCAACATACAAGGTTCTCCATGTGAACAGAACCTTCACTACTCCGGCAATGAGTAAAATCTTTAAATTACGTCGATCACGAGATAACGTTGCCCTCTTATCCGTGTCACTGTATCAACTGTATTAAACCGCATCCCTTTGAAAATAATCTTTTAATCGGTTACCGAGGTGAATTTTAATCAAGCTTAATTTTTCTGAAAATCCGACCATATAACAATGTTTGGCTAGCGCCGTTTTTTTATTATCACGAGAATTATTGCTTCTTGTTGGGAATATTTATTAATAATTAGCTTTTAGTAGGAACCTACGAGTCGACCGTATTGCATATATTTGTTATTTATTGTTAAAAAACTTTCGTACAACGTATTAATATAAATTATTTAAAATTGCGGATTTAATTTTTTTATTTTATTTATATATTCCCTCGAAACTTTCCTTTTGTAACTGTATTCTTTAGGTTAGTTATACTGCTCATTAACCTGGAGGTTTCATCGCTGATTAGATCTATTGCTTTGTATTGTATTTACTCCCAAGAAGTTTTAATTTAGTAAATATATTTTTATTATTTTATTTTTATATTACATTTTTCATTAGATTAATTACAGTGTTTATATTTATTTTCTTATTTTTTTTTTGGTATAAAAATGTTCACTGGATTAATTATTATTAACTAACTTTTTCACCGTTTATTAGGAATTTCGCCTTTACCGATTTATATTTATTTTCTTATTTTTTATATAAACATTTTCACTAGATTAAATTATACTGTTAACTAGAGCTTCTTTCCGCTTATTAAGAATATCCGTCTTTTCTGATTTATATTTTATTTTCTTGTTGTTGAGGGGGGGGGGGCAATTGATCGTAAATAAAGACCAAATTATTTGGGTTTTGAATTGTTCCACCGTGGTTACCGTTTTAAATATATTATTTTGTATAAACTTCCTTTCTCTTAACGATACCCCCTTTATCTAGCTTTTCCAGAATCACCTTTAGAGTAAAAGTTACAAGGTGAATACACCAATTAGGTTGGGTAAGGCAGGTATTACCGACGTTATGGTTCTTATAGATACTACCCCATCTGTAAATGACCTGGGTATCTATTCTTGAATCTCAGGGAGTAGAAATTTTGAGGGAAGAATGAGACAAAAATACAAATTTTACGCGTTGCAGATAAAGAGGCAAAACCGGTTTTCTATTCCCTCGAATTCAAGAATAGCTACCCTGCTGGAATGTATTTACTCCACTGGGGCTACTTTGAGTATACTCAAGGTGTACTCGAGGGTCGCAGAGCAAACAGCGTTATCAAAACTGGCGCCCGGGCAACCTTTTAAATAAGAGCTTGACGCCACCCACGACTTTTACTTCACCACAAGTGAACATGATATTGATGTAACTAATATTTCAACAAGACTGTGCTCCACAATATTATTCAATAGCAGTACGCGATTATTTTAACGAACCTTACAGAAATAGGTGGATTGATAGACGAGGAACAATTGAGTGGCCTGCACGATCACCTGATCTAACTCCATTAGATTTCTTCTTATGGGATTACCTAAAATCGAAGGTATACAAAACAATCTGATTCTATCGATGATTTAAAAGATCGAATTTCACAAGTGTGTGACGCAATAATCTCAGAAATGCTAGGCAATGTTAGAAGATAATTTTCTAATAGGCTTTTTTATTGCCAAGAAGTTATTGGAGAACGTTTTGAACATTTAATACGATTTTTATATTTTAGTAATAAACAATAATAGTAAATACGAATGTAACTTCAATAACTTATTTAATGTAATTTCTGTAAAAACATAAAAACTTAAAACTGTTTCATAGACGTAAAGATAAGAAAATATATTTCAAATAAGGTATCACATGACCCTACTTTCCAATTGAACATATAAATATAGTAACCCTCTCTATCTTACGTCTCAAGTAAAGTGCATCTCGCTATAACAAAAATATCATAATGTATCTCTAATTTCACATCTTTTTAGTTTCATGTCTCTATCGTCTTTTATTCGGAAGTCAATTTACGTCCACAAATTATAAAACATATTGCTTTATTATGAGTAAACATAATAGACATTCGTTTGTCAAAATTTTAATATTAATTTGTAGAAAATTACGAGATGTCCATGATGACTCTAGAACCAGAATCTGTATCCGATAATAACAGTGTTGGCGCCAATTTCAGTTGTATATGCAAGATCAAGCTGGACTCCTCCAAAATTGAACTGATAAATTGTTCTAAGTGCAATAAGCAATATCATGCAGCTTGCTTCGGTTTTATGAGGCAATCTCAGAGCGTGAATTTTTCATGTGTCGAATGTGGTACTACAGACGACCAATTAAAACGTATTGGGAAAAAAAAACCAAATAATGATGGCTAAAATTAGGTGAGACCGAACATTAATAACGGAACTAATAAATTATCCATTTCAGAGGACACAAACTTTATATTTCCAGACTTTTTTGTAATTTTTTACTGAAATGATACATTCAATTCGATACAGCTCATCTAAAATATAAAATCTCATGGTTAAAGTTTATTTTTCATAAAATAAGTAGGTGTATAATTTGATAATTTTTTTAATGAAAAATTAAGAAAAAAAAATTAAATATGTCCAGAAAAATAAACTCTTGCCCAATTTCAAAACAAATCTTGATAGAAAAAAATGTTTGTGTATTCTACATTTAGAAAATGCTTCATTTGTAAACTATAGAAAATACTCATGATTAATTTAGGGTAAAAACAAACTCGCGCTCAACAATTTGCTTCGAACGTTTTGGTCTGGCGAGACTTTGATCAAGTATTAACGTACCAGATCAATTTTATTCAAAAGAGGAATGAAAAACAAAAAAAATCGAGTTTAATTTTGTCTTATAGTTTGTATACATTTTCTTTTTCGTAAACATAAATTTATTAAGGTGGTCTCGCAAACAGGTGTGTCAAGCAGTGGTGGCTTGTGGTAATTTAAAATGTGTGTTCAATTTTTTCGAATAATTTTAGCATTTGTAAGTTCGGTTCAAAACTCTGTACAAGCTCGAATATCCCTCAAAACTTCTTTGGCATCATCCGTTTTAATACGATTAAATCCCGATTTTTTTAAGATTCCTGCGTCAAGAAAATATTGCTTGATAACTTCATTTAGAAGATCCATTACCATATGGTACCTACATTGCGCTCTATGTTAATTTCTACTGTATTTATTTCATCTGAAACTCTGACATTTTCGAAAAACTTGTCAAACTAAAAAACCAAAAGTTTTTCCTACTGTTTTGATTAGAGATAGTTTTTAGCGAGGACAAACCTTAGAACTGCCAGTGAATCCTAAAATATGCTTCTTCTACGATCACTGTCCAAAGTAGGCATTTGCGCTTCGAACTGACATTAAGTGAGCTTTGTCGCCCGCCGAGCGGAAAACTTGACAGCTTTGTTGCTCGCCTAATTTAAATCAGATATAATCTTCGAGTATATATTACTAGAGCCATCTTCCAAATGGACTTTGTTTTGGTACAGGGGGGAAAAATAGTGTCCAGCATTCCCATTGGTATGTTTCGTTTTGCTTGGCATGTCAAATCGTTCAAAATTGTCAGATCTGTCATTTGATTTTTGATTTTCATTAATTTTTAGCTTATTTTTGTAGTTTATAAGTGATTTTTTTGTATTTTATTACTTTAGTGATACAAATGTAAACAATGGTGAGAGTTTGTGTAAGTTTTAAATAGAAATACGAAAAGGCATCGTCAAGGTCATTTTACAAGTAAGTAATCATTAGCGTCTCTACCATTTTTTTAAAATAAATATAAGTATCTGCATTTTATGCAAAAGGCCGTTAAACATGAATTTAAAATAAATGGTAAATTTAGTGACTTAAATTTAAAGAACTTGTATTATGTATGAGGAATATTGTTTTAGATTTTGGACTCTACTAAAAAGTTGTATGTATCAAATTTATTACATGTTTATATTAATTGCAAACTCCGTAAAAATGATGCGACACTGGAAATAGTGTCTACCTATTTCCCCTCTTAACCCAAACAAACGCTGTTGAAAGCGGACTCTATGAAATATATATGCTCGAAGGATATAATACAATAATATTTCTTTTCAATAAATTATTTTCAAGTTATTTGTACGTAGTTTGATGTTTTATTGTCCAAATTTACATTGACTTTGAATATAAATTCCGTTTTTCATGACTAACTTATACATAGGCAACACATTATACACTACTTACTACAAATTTTCAATTTTTATATCTACTTTTTAAAATAACGTGATCGTAGAAAATATATTGTGTGCATTTTGAGCGAAAAGTTCGTTGCCGCTTGACAAAGTATTACTTTTCGCTCTTAATACACAAATAGCTATTTTATGTTTCGCACAAACCTTATGCACTTTTAGTGAAGCAATGCTTGATTATTTTTTTTTATTACTTGGCTATACAATAGCCATTATATCCATCCTCGACTTTGCAAAGCCAAGCTGAAAATAATTGGTTTGAAAACATTATATTCACTACACCATATTATAAGCAGAAGCAAGTGAATTTAAATACGCACTTCAATCGGATATTTTCGATTTTTTTAAAGATAATTATTAAATTCGAATTTGGTTAATCGATTACAAAATCATACTGTTTTCAGACACTACAATAAACTATTAATTAACTTGAAAAGAATCGAATAATTGAAAAGAATAGATTAATTGAAAATAATCGATTAAATAAAAAATCGGTTATTTGAACAAATCCATTAATCGAAAAATTTGATTAATCCAAAAAATCGAAAAAATTGATTTATCGAAAAAATCGCATAATCGAAAAAATCCATTAATCGAAAAAATCGATTATTTAAAAAAATTGATTAATCAAAAAACCGATTAATAGAAAATCGATTAACCGAAAATAATAGATTATTTTTATGTAATCAAATAATCGAAAATTTTCAATGATCGATTATTTATTTTGATAATTGCACGGCCCTAGTTGTAACCTAACGTTTTTAGCAACACAATTTTAAATAGAAAGTTTTATTTGAGTAATAAGAATTTTTTAATTAATTTAAATTAAAATCTACCAAAAAAAATTGTCTATTAAAACTAGTCAAAAGTGCCGAAAATTTAAAACAGCAGAAATCTGCTAAATGTAGCAACTATGAATCAAAGACCCTCAGTCAGAGTGACCTTTACCAAGCGCAACGAATAGTCGTTGGACCAAACGAAATCAACTGTAGTGACGTAATCTACGTGCGATGCAATGATGCTAAAAATAGCGTGGTTTCAGGAAGGCACACTGTTTCACGCATTTGTTGACCTCTCTTTTTAACTATAGGCATTGGCGGAAACTACTCGCGTTCACTTAGCCTAAGTGAACAAACTCGATCAGCCAGAGCGCAGTGGGGTACTAAAAAAGTAGAGATTAACGCATACGAGAATAATAAGTATAATAAATTTGAATTTATATTTTTTTGTGATTTTCAAATGTTTTTATGAAATTTAACTGGGTATTCACTGCACAAATGAACCAATGGAGAAACCGCCCATGGTGTCAAAAATAGGGCTGATCAAACAATGTAGTATAAAAAAATATACTTGTTTTGTATATCAATTATACAAATTTATATATAATTCACAGACCGCCAGACCAACGGTTTATTATTTAGTTCATATCCAAGTAATGATAAAATATACAGGGTGTTCGTATATTCGTCATACAACGCTCTACCACAAGAGAGATCTCGTTAATTCATGAATTTTGATGTAGAAACATGAACCCTTGAAGAGCTTATAGTTACCGAGATACGGGATATTAAGAGCTTTAAATCAAAATTTAAAATTTGCCATAATTCAAAACGTCTTTACATATTTTTTTTTAAATTTAATCCACCAAGATCTTAGCAATTACAGAAACTTTTAAAAATTTTATACGTGCTTACTAGATTAGAATGTACAAATATTGAGTCGTTACCAATTATCTAAGTATATAAATGCAGACTTTCAGAAGCACATTTCTGCAATATTGTTTATTTCAGCTCCATAAAAGGTCATTACTTTTTTAAATAAGAATAACAGAATTAAAAAAAAATTAAAAAAAAGTTTATTCCAGTGGCGTAAAAAATAGGGGGAAAAATTGGTACTAACCTTGATAGCGCGCCCCTGTTAATTTTTGTCAAAAGTTAGTTTGTGTCAAAATATTACTTTTTTAATGAGCATATTGGTCACAAAATTTAAAAAATATATTTAAAGGCATTTTTGATTTATGGCAAATTTTGATTTCATACTTTTAACGGTAACTAACCCCTTCTTCAATTTCTTCCATGTTCTCCACAACTCACAGAAATTAAGCTCTAGCTACAAAGTGTAGGGTTGGAAAAATTATTTCCTCTGCAGAAAGGGCTGAACTTCTAAAACAAAAAGAAATGTTACTAAACTTATTTTTAGGTTGCTACATGTATGTACTTTTGAGCTGCAACTAAAACGCCTGTTGTTTTATTAAGTACTTATCTTATGGTGAATGGCGCTAAATCGTCATACAATTTATCAATTAGAACGACTGGCTTTGACACTATTTATACAATCGTTGTCCCTTCATTTCTGAAAATTATTAGTGTAGTGTAAAGTGTGTGGGTACGGGGCAGTAGCCACAACGAAATTAACTGTCACAGGTGGAAAAGTGAGGTTGGGATGCGATTGAGGAAAACGGGGGAAATTGATTCGGCTCTTGCAATAATTTGTAATGTGTAAATGTTCTGGGTTAAATAAATGTTGAAGTATGCACAGTAGTTTAAATATACAATAATTAGGACATTCCCGGAAAATCCTAGCTGGTTTAATTCCATTTCAACTAACTCCATAAAATCTTCAACATCAGTTATTGCTTCTTCTTTCTTCTAAATGATAAAATTCCATTTCCAACATTAATGTTGATATTTAACCACATATTATTATTTAACAAATAAAATTCACCTCACACATTCGGTTTTATGGTGTTGAACGTGGTTTCATCGTTGGTTGATCAGTTTAATTATTCGTACAATGATTCTTTTTTGGGTTGATCTGATATCAACTTGTTGAACTAGCTTTGTACAACGAATGGTCCATGTTCCGATATCAAAATTCAACAATTAACGAGAACTCTCTAGAGGTTAGAGTGTTGTCGGTCAAATATATTAACATTCTTATCACTGATGACCACCTTCGGTGGTAGTCGGTGTTAGGACTATTACAGATGTGGAAACTGCTAGAATGAGTGGTTTCGTCAACTTAAATTGTTCCTTGTATCAAATACCACAATTGTAGAGAGTGACTCACATTTGTAACATAGACCTTTGCGGGTCTGAGGGGATAGGAAATCGACGAGTCGTAGGCGTGCAGTCATTATTAAAAATGATC